TACGTTCAGCCTTACTACCGAGGTAAACAAGAAGTCGTGACTCATACCGAGACTATAGGCGAGTCAATCGATATCAGTTTTCAGCAGATACGAGAATAACCTAGAACGCTACACACACATGGGGTCCGGGTGGGTCGTGGATAAAATTGATAATGTCTATCTAGACATAGCTAACTACGTGCCATTCAGAGGCGGGTCGTACCTAGACTTGCCCCCCTACTACAAAGCAAAACAGGCCATGGTCAACATCAAGAATAGAGGAGACGATTGCCTGAGGTTAGCTATCAGGTCAGCCTTGTTTCCAGCTGACACTAATTCGAACAGGCCTTCTAGTTATCCCCAAGACGATGGGCTCAACTGGGATGGTATAACCGAACCCACCCCCATATCCCAGATCACTAAAATAGAAAAACAGAATGATATAGCCATAAACGTCTTTGGGCACGAAGGTAACACAACGATCGTGCACAGGGTCAGTCCAATGTTGGGGAAGGGGGGGAACCCCCACCGCGTGATAAATATATTCATGATCAGGCGAGGTGATAAGTATCACTACACGTGGATAAAACACCTCAGCAGGCTGTTGCACGACCAGTCGAAATACGACAGGAAAAAACACTTTTGTGTACGATGTCTGCACGGGTTCAGCCGACCCGACCTGCTGGAATCACACCGGGGGGATTGCCAAGGTGTGGGGCAGACGGCCATATGAGTCAACATGCCCAAGGAAGGCGACAATATCCTAACATTCGCCAACCACAAGAACCAGATGTCCGTGCCTTATGTCATCTCCGCCGACTTCGAAGCCTTGGTCAAACCCGTTGAGGCTGCCGCCGACAGGGCCACACAAGAAACACAGGAGAACGAGGCCTGTGGGTTTGGATATGTGGTCGTCCGATGTGATGGGGAAACGAAAGCTCCCGTAGTGTACAGGGGTCCCGACGCGGCTGAAAAGTTTCTAAAGTGTTTGCAGGAGGAAGAGAAAAGTATTAGGAATACACTATACACAGTCGCTCCCATGCATATGACTCAAGCCGACCGGCTAGCTCACGCCTGCAGCACTCACTGTCAAGTGTGTGATAGCCCACTGAACGGTGATTCGGTGAGAGATCACTGCCACGTCACCGGTAAGTTTAGAGGCGCCGCTCAAAGCGTGTGTAACCTCAAGCTTAGAATCACCCCCAAGACAATAAACATCCCCGTGGTCTTCCACAACTTGAGAGGGTACGACTCTCACTTGATCATGCAGGCCATCGCGAAAGTCGACGGCAACCTGACGTGCATCCCCAACAACATGGAGAGATACATCTCCTTCAGCTTGAATGGCCTGAGGTTCATCGACTTGGTTCAGTTCCTCCTGTCGTCACTCGACAGTCTGGTCAAGGCCAATGATACCTTCCCCATCACTGATCGATACACCAACGCCGAGACTCGACCCCTGCTGATGAGGAAGGGCGTACCCCCTACGAGTACATGGATGGCTGGGCCAAGTTCGCGATTAACTGCCTCCTATCAACCGATTTTACAGCAACCTGGGCTGTAAGAAATATCCCAAGACAACCACCGCCTCGCCGATGTACGATGGAATAAACTGGGCTGTATGAATCTGGGTGACTACCACGACCTGTACTTGAGGACAGATGTACTCCTGCTAGACGTGTTTGAGACGTTTAGGAGGACGTGTTTTAAGCAGTATCAACTCGACCCCGCATGGTACTACACCAGCCCAGGTCTGTTGTGGGATGCATTGTTGAAAAAGACCGGAGTTAAGTTGGAATTGCTCACCGATTACGACATGCACCTATTCATTGAGAAAGGTTTGAGAGGTGGGATTTCCATGGCTACCAAACGATACGCAAAAGCAAATAATCAATACGTGAAGGGCTACGACCCGAGCAAGCCAACCAATCATATTCTCTACCTCGACGCCAACAACCTGTACGGCTGGGCCATGAGCCAGTATCTACCCACAGGGGGATTTGAATGGACATCGCACGAGATTGATGTTATGAGCATCGCGGATGATTCGAGCAAAGGTTATATCCTTGAGGTGGACGTGGAATACCCCAAGGCATTACACACATCACACAACAGCTACCCCCTGGCCCCCGAACGTATGAGGGTTAACCCAGACTGGATGTCTGAGTACCAACATAACTTGCTAGGTGGGCGGGTGGCAGACGTTGAAAAACTAGTGCCCAACTTAATGAATAAGACCAAGTACATCGTTCACTATCGCGAACCTACAGCTGTACCTGTCGTTGGGTATGAGGCTGACCAAAATACACAGGGTGCTTTCGTGTTCAACCAGAGCCCTGGATGGAGCCCTACATCAGAATGAACACAGACCTGCGAAAAGCTGGCCACCAGTGACTTTGAGAAAAACCTCTACAAACTCGGTGTTCGGTAAGACTATGGCGAACCTGAGGAAACGCGTGACCGTGAAGCTGGTTCGGTCGAATGAGGAAGACAAGCTCAGGAGACTGGTAGCCAGCCCGGCATTCAACCGGAGCAAGATATTCACCGACGACCTGGTGGCCCTACACATGAAGAAAAGCCACATCAAATTCAACCGGCCTGTTTTTGTGGGGATGAGCATCCTCGATTTATCCAAACACCTGATGTAAGACTTTTACTACAACAAACTGAAGAAACAGTACGGCGACAGGTGTGAAGTTCTGTACACTGACACGGATTCCCTTCTGATGGAGATTCGAACCGAGAATGTATGAGGACATGAAGAAACGCCTCGATTTGTAATGACACCAGCGACTACCCCAAGGACCATGCCATACACAGCACGGTAAATAAAAGGTCCTTGGTAAGATGAAGGATGAGTGTGCTGGCCCATAGCGCGAAGTACATAGGCTTGAGACCCAAGATGTACTCCATCCTGAAGGCCGACAATGGTGAGATCCGAAGGCTTAAGGGTGTTAAGAAGTATGTGGTGAAACAACACATCAAACACGCCAGATTCAAGGAAGCCCTGTTCAAGACCCGCATCTTCAGGCATAAAATGAACACGCTTAGAAGTGATGGGCATAGGATATACGGACTGACTATAAACAAGACGTCCCTGTCGCCGATGGACACTAAGCGTTGGATAGCTATTGATGGGATCAACACGTACGCGTACGGGCATGAGAAAATTGAACCAAGAACATAGGTGTATATATAAATACGATACCATGTCACGGAACCAGAGAAAGTTTGAGGCTATTTACTACAGCCCGCGTGGGTACTGGAAAGGAGCTAGCGCCATACATAAGCTGGCTAAAATGGCACGAGTACCCCCAAACGAGGCCAAAGCGTGGCTTGAAAAACAAGCCCTGTGGCAGATCTATTTACCGGCACCACGCTACGTGCCTAGAAGGAAGTTCGGTATTAACATACCCAATAGCGTTCACCAGGCCGACCTCCTATTCCTACCCCACGACAAGAGGTACAAGTATGCCCTAACCGTCGTGGACGTTGCCAGTCGCTACAAGGAAGCCGAACCCTTGACCGCGAAAGACTTGGCCCAGGTAGCCCGCGGATTCGAACGCATGTACAAACGCAGTCCGCTGATGTGGCCCACAGAGCTGCAAGTCGACCCTGGGCGGAGTTCATGGATGCCGGTCACAACTGCTAGACAAACACGATACCAAGGTCAGGCATGGCACGGCCGAGCCCATCGCAGCTAAGCCATAGTTGAGAGATTCAATAGGACTTTGGCCGAGCGCTTATTCGGGCATCAGTATACGAGAGAGATGGCCAACCCGGGGAAACGATCGACTGAATGGGTAGCGCGGTTACCTCAGGTGGTGTCGGCCATCAACCACAAAATCATCCGCCTCACCGGCAAGAAACCAGCCGACGCTATCAAACTAAAATCAATAGTGGCAGAGTTGGCTGCACCATTGCGTGGGAAGGAGAAACAGATACCCGATAGGGCCCCGTGAGGTACCTCTACCAGCCGGGGGAATACGAAGGGGACACTTAGGAAACGAGCCACCGATCCAATATGGTCAGTCAAAACTTACAACATAGATAAAGTGGACATCAAAGCCGACGAGCCGAACTTGTACTACTTGAGAGATGGGCCAGGGAGAGGTTTCATCAGAGAGGAATTATTAGTCATACCGTACGGCACAATGTTACCCCCCAAGCAAAATATTTAACACTTACCAAGTAATCCCAATAGTATCCTATAACCAGCTCGCATTAAACTGTTTCCTGTCAACACGACATAGGGTAATCACATGATCAGGAAAGTGCTAGTTCACAGTCATAGCGATACTATTGTGCCACGTGGGGTCGGGAAGTTAACTGGGGGTTCAAAAGTAGTAGACAATGGGGGGCGAGATCTAAGGGCCTGACAAAAGCTTTATTTGTGAAATAACGCTTTACAGAGGCTTTTGTTGGACTTGATCTCGGACCACTATTGTATCTACTACTTTTGTTTATTGGGTAATGCAACGTTTCTATTCTTAGATTGTTATCACATAAATATTAGCTTGATAACGGTGTAAGGATCTACATCAAAACCCTTACAGCTGATTGTGTGTTAGACAGGAACTATAGTTTGGCATGAAATGCATGTGGACCCGTTTTTTTGTAAATATCTCTTCATCCAATGACCCAATCGATCTCAAACTGTGCAAGTGGATGTTTTGTCAGACAACCTAATCACATTGTAAATCACCGATTTTATGCATTTGTATTAAAGAATCTGTCTATGTAACTGTCAACAAAATAAACAGCAGAACGCAGACGGCTTGCAGAGGGAGGGAGCCAATGACCTGTAACAGCGGCAGTGTTGGGTCATAAAGGTCAACGTTTGAGATATTTACAAAAAAACGGGTCCACATGCATTTCATGCCAAACTATACAACTGACTCTTCAGAAAACACTGACAAAGTGGATAAACATTATGTTTTCAGGTTTGTCGCTGAGCCTATTCATTTTAATGTTTAAAACCTGTGGTTCACACTGTTTATCCTTCAATGAATGTCTTTCAGTGTGGCGAGAGCAGTGGTGTCCAGGATACAGTGGGCTGTGTATGTGTAGATGGAGATGGCAACATGGCAGCCGCCTGCTCCAGTGGAGGGATCTGGATGAAGCACAGAGGAAGGATGGGCCCGGTTAGTAACACACAAGAGACTATCAATCTGTCTGTGATTTTCATTCCTAACAAGATGTATCAATGGAAATTCTGGTGCAAGAACCTGCCCTGTAATGAAAGGCTTAACTTCATTGCCCGAGAGGACCATTTACATGTATAATGTTTTTCATTGAGGACTTGGAAGCTGAGGACCTCTAAAGCCCTGAAGCTAAAACTACACAACTAATTTTCCTAATAGACATTATCACAGCCTTAATAAAAATATCAGTTTGATGTATTTCTTGATTGATCATTATGTGATATGAGTGTGTTTGCCCTTTGTTCAAAAGGAAAAGGCAATTTCAGTAATATTGCATAAGGAAATATTGTTTTATTAATGCCACAAGTAATGTTTTCAGCATAATGCTGGTTATTTTCACAATGCTTCATTAGATTTAAGATGCCATTTCTGTAATGGCAGCAGATTTCCTAAAATAGTGATATTATGTAAACATCTTATAAAAATTTCTAGTAGCATTTATTTTTGCCAAGTCAACTACACTAGAAATATTTTGGCCTAAAATTAAAACTGCCCACCCCCAGTGGCAAAATGAATGTAATAGATGTTTCTCTTTCCTTATGAATAGCATAATGTGTGCTATTGTACAAGGCAGAGGTAGTTCAAAATCAGCATACCGTTCTGATTTGTTTCATCAGAATCAGTAAACAACTAATGTGTCACACTGTATCTATTGATCTGGTTTGTTTACATGTCAATGTATCATGACAAGAGATTTTGATGCAAATTTTGTGGATGACATGAGGGCAGGTAGGGCAGGACATGCTTATTCTTTTTGCAAACACATGTCATCACTGAAGTTCAGTGCTCCATGGGGTGGTGGGGTAGCCTAGTGGTTAAAGCAATCGCTCGTCACACCAAAGACCCGGGCTGATTCCCCACATGGATACAATGTGTGAAGCCCATTTCTGGTGTCCCCCGCTGTGATATTACTGGAATATTAGATCGATGCTCAATCAAGCTGGTCATGAACAGACCACCGCCATATAACTGGAATATTGCGCAGCATAAAACTAAACTCATGCACTCTGGTGTACTGAGTTTGTTTGTGAAACTGCCCCCAAATGAGGGGAACCTCATGCATTAGCATTATTCCCCATAGGAACAAGTGGAGCAAAAGACAGTTCTACACTCAGAAGGACTGTACCTCAACACTCTGGGGATTTGTTGTACTAGACACAGGAGTCATTTTGTGGTGTTTAGTGGTACCCTGAGCCAGTTTGTTCTTTAGATGAACTGTTCATGGGTTTTACCGAAGTGGTATACATGTATATCAGTGACATTGTTCACAAACTCCATTACATATAGGAACCATTGTTCAAAGAAGTAGCAAAGATAGCCAGACTCCCTCACTCACTAAGTGAACATGTGGAAGTATGAGAAACTATTGATATTAATGTATTAGTTTGTGAAAGGAATATCTAAGTGGCTTGTGCATAGAGGCAAAAAAGGAGGAAGAATGTGTTTTGTGCATTTCTCACGTTTTACTAGTGTTGGTGGTTTATATTTTAATTTGGGTGGCATTTGTCCGGGTGGTTTTTGTCCAGGTGGCATTTGTCCTAGACCCATCTATAATGACATTGCTTTTAAGTATCGAACTGAGAAAGTGACTCGGTAAGAAGAACGTGTCGTGAAATAGACAAATGAAATTATATAAACTGTTAAATCGGTAATCTACTGTCATAACATATAAAAAGCTTGCGCCTGTGAAATATCAACAAAACACTAGAAAAATAGATCACACCAAAGCCTTAACCGAGTATTCACCGGACAACCCGCTTCCAAGCTGCGCAAACCTATTTCACTGCGCATGTGCTATGAGCGCAGCCCAGCTGTTGAAACCACTTTTTCCCCCAAGTGCTGGGGGAAAATTAGTGAATCGTTTGAACACCGATTTTGCGCGGGTTTTTTTCATCGCGTTATTTTTCAACTTTATAAGTTGAATTTGCATTTTTGATGATTTGTTTTGGTAGGTCCTTTGGTAAGTCCTTACCAAAAGGTATCAGAATCTGCAAAGTTGTGTTTTACGTTGCATGTGACCTTTAATATAGCAAGAGATGAGAGTGAATTCCAAAGGTTAAACTCTTTCCATGTTCGTAATATTCCATTCATGTGGTGGTGTGTGGTCCTGTGCATAGAGCTCATGTGATACATGTGATCTCACTTTAGGCAAGTGAGTTTGTTGTCTCTGTTCATCCAGCAGAAAATGGGTACCCAGTGGGATAAGTCATGTGACTATAACCTTCTAGCACCTAACAGGCAGCTTGGGGTAATAATGTGTTAGCGCCAAGAGTATGCTTACTAGCATGGATATGTGCGCATCATAAATATGCACTATTATTATTATAAGAAATCTGTGGTAAAGCAGTGTCTATTATAGGATTCTGATAGTATCATTAGCATGTGTTAATGAACCACTATCAAACAGCAATAAACCAGGTGTTCACAAACAGTTGAACTCAACCTGCTGCTCTGGTAGCATCCATCACAAGCACACACAAAGGCAACTTAACCTGAGAAAACACCGGAACATATGGTACAACACAAAACAGGGGAAAGTATTCGACATCCTCATCACTGAGGTGAGGTGAAATTGGGTTTAACGTCGTGCTTGAGAATATTTCGCTCATATGACGACGTGCATGCGTGTGTATGTGTAGGTGCGGCTGCTTGTACTAGCCCAGACTGAAGCTGGTTTTATAGTGCTAGCTCACTGAGATACCATGCCGCAGTGAAGCATGAATACCCCACTCAGACACAGTATACTGACTCCGAGCCGACCAGTCCTTGTTGTACCCAATAATGCCGAACGCCAGGCAGGGACCAACAAATACCATATTTAAACGTCTTTTGGTATGACGCGGTCGGGATCGAACCCGCAACATTCCGCTCTACTCCTCATCACTGAAAGATCTCAACACTACAGGGGTCCAATAACAGTAGTCTTACTTCCATCCCACTAAGACCTGTGAAGATCTGGGTTAGAATTGATCCTCAGTAACCCATGCTTGTCGTAAGAGGAGACTAACGGGATTGGGTTGGTTGACTTGGTTGACACATGTCATCGTATCCCAATTGCGTAGATCGATGCTCATACTGTTGATCACTGTATTGTTTGGTCCAGACTTCATTATGTACAGACCGCCGCCATATAGCTGGAATATTGCTGAGTGCGGTGTAAACCTAAACTCACTCACTCACTCAATCCCACTGAGGTAACTGACAGTAGCATAGCACCTTCTGCAGTTACGCATAAAAAAGGAAGCAATTGATGAGGCGGTCAAGAAGGGTATAGAACACTATCGTAACAGAATGTGGTGTAAACAAAACAGATTTGAAACAAACCAGTTTATGACAGTTGGTCTTAGAAACCTGTTTTTATTTTATCACCTTCCTTCATACGTCAGCCAGACCCAAATATTACAATTTTTTGCAAATCAATATTTATTTTTTACTTCCTTCAATTAAAAAAATATCGGTCAGTGGTGGAAATCGAAAAGGAACAGGATGTTTTCACAACTGGTCTTAACCACCAACATTTTTGAGAGATCACTTCCATAGATCATTTACTGAGATCTGATAATCCTTATAGCTCAATGATTATTCTTTATAAACTATCAATTATATTTGATTGAATTACAAGGCTCTCATCCAATAAGAAGGATTTGTTTTGAAAGTTGATTAGCTATTAAGCCTACAATTCTTGTTGTTTCCTGTGTTTTGAAATTTAAGACTGACCTTCGTGAGTGCTTAGAACGGTAAATTCTCAGTTTGAAATTTTATCTGAAATCCCATATTTGAATATCTTTGACAAAGACCATTGTGAGTGCTCATTCTTGGTATCCATACTGTGGCTGAAACACTGCCCAAATCAGTGTAAACCCAAGCCCAAGTGTAAGCATCTGAAAAAACCATGGATATGTACGATAAACACTGTTAATTGCAATCCGCACTGAATTTCACTAGTTTACAACGTGATTAACCAGAGCTGAACAGCGGATTTGTTGATGTGCTATTTTCGATGACGTGTATGTGTGATCACTGGGCAACTTTTTTATGGGAGCCACGGATTACCCCGCGGTTTAACCAAATCCGCGGTATCGCAAAGAGCTTTATTGCGAGGGATGACTGTACAAGTGAATCTGTAGAGGACAACTCTGGTGATGAGCAAATCACTTAAAAGGGATATGTTGTAACCTTCACGGACGTGCATGACTTCACATACTCTGAACATAACAGTGTTTTTGTGTTGCATGTCTGAGATGCATGTAAACTAACTGCTGTGTTTGTTGTCAGATCCACAAATATCCATCACCACGCACTGGCTAAAGGGTGTGGCTCTTGAGCTGAGCTCAGCAGTTACATAATATCAGATGAAATTCCTCTGTAATCTTGGCATCTGTAGCATGGCAGCGACGCTGAAATAACCCGCAGTGTTTACCCTGGCCGTATTCTGTGTTTCCTTTTATGGTTTTGTTAAGGATCGCAGTAAATGAATGAGTGAAATGTGACAAGCCATGTTGGTTAGAATCCACTAATGAGGAAAGAAAAGGAAGTAACATAAATGTCCCATTTCTGAAATGAGAATGGTGCAGCAGCCCTCCCATTCCTTTAAACATCCACAGGTTCCATCATGTTGCACAGTGTATTAAACATGGTGAAGCATGAGAGAGTGGAACATGCAGCTGTAAACTAATTAATTGATTGTTGCACGTGATATTTTAATGTCTTTTGATGTTTAATTGCAAATTTTACGTCTTCACTGACAAAGTCATTTTCTCATGTTGGTTCACACAAGGCAGTACAATGTTGTTTTCTTGCCTCTAGAAAAATAAACTTTGAGGAAAGGATAACCTTCAGATTAGCTGACCCCTTTCTACAGACTGCTTTTTTTTTCAGTTCTCGAAATCTGGCTTTTCTGCTGTCATTCACGATACATTCCCACTTCAGGTCTGGTGGGGTAGCCTGGTGGTTTAACCATTTCAGTTTATCACACTTAAAAACAAGGTTTGATTCCTCACATGGGTACAGTGTGTGCAGCCCATTTCTGGTGTCCTCTGCCATAATGTTGCTGGACTACTGCTAAATTAGGTGTAAAATCCAACTCACTTACCGGTATATCCACTTCACCCATTAGAACATTATGTGTGACCATCCCAAATTATTTACTGCACTTTTTAATTAATCAAATCATTGGCATCCATCAATATCCATCATTTTCTCCGCTGTTCGATAACCCAAATCAGCCTTACTCATCAACACCCATCAACACGCTTCCTATTGACCCCATATTTACACATCTAACACTTTTCCTATTGACCCCATATTTACACTTCTAACTCTTCTCCTATCAACCCTTCCAAACTTTTTACCCAAATTTACACACATAGCACTTTTCCTATTCACCCCATCAAACCATTTACCGTTTTATGATAAAACTCATTTGGACCTTGGACTAAAAATGTTTATGAAGCGAACTGATCTCGTCACTATGTGTCTGGATTAATGCTGATGTGATGTAAAGCCCAACTCAACAACTCAAACTATGTACCCCACATTTAACACTTTTCCTGTTGATCCTTTCAAACTATTTACCCCACTTTCATGCATCTAACACTTTTCCTCTTGACGCCTTCGAAGTATTTACCCAACTTTTACACCTTTAACACTTTTCCTATTGACCCTTTCAAACTATTTACCCCATTTTCATGCATCTAACACTTTTCCTCTTGATGCCTTCGACGTATTTACCCCAATTTTACACATCTAACACTTTTCCTATTGACCCCTTCAAACTATTTACCCCACTTTCATGCATCTAACGCTTTTCCTATTGACCCCATCAAACTATTTACCCCAATTTTACACATCTAACTCTTTTCCTATCAACTTCTTCAAACTATTTACCCCACTTACATGCATCTAACACTTTTCCTATTAACCCCATCAAACTATTTACCCCAATTTTACACATCTAGCACTTTTCCTATTGACCCTTCAAAACTATTTACCCCACTTACATGCATCTAACACTTTTCCTATTAACCCCATCAAACTATTTACCCCAATTTTACACATCTAGCACTTTTCCTATTGACCCTTCAAAACTATTTACCCAACTTTTACAACTTAACTTCTTATCTTTTTCACTATTTCCTGCAGTTTTTACCAGGAAAAAAACAACTTTCTATAAAAACACACAACTTATTCCAACCATCTTCACCCACTAATCAATCTCGTAATCGACCCACCTTCCCACCAACACATCTTTCCTTTTTCCAATTCCCCCTCACCTTTTGATGCGATGTCACATCACAAGATACCACTTACCTGAGGCGCCATGGATCCAGACTGAAGCTACCTGTGACAAGTCCCTGTTCTGTAACGAGTCTCTGCCGTGTGTGAGGTCCAACAGCTTCAAGTTGCTGCCATGTAATCTGCTCCTTGTGTCATTCAATCAAGCTAAAAGGCTGTGTATTGATTGGTCTGCCTCTGCTGACTAAATACAACTTGAGCTGCTTCCTGCTTCAACCTTACGTACTCATGGCAGGAGAAACACTGACAGCCTGGTTCACATTGTTTCAGTATTTCCTGTTTTAATGGGTGTTGCTTGTCGTTTTCTAATCAGGCATGATCTCTTAATTAGCAAGTCGGCAAACTTTTGTCATTACCTGATTTCTGAATCATCTTCCCGAGCAAGCCAAAGCTTGATGTAATTTTCTGTCACCAGCTAACCCCAGCAGCCAAAATATTGTGTTCAGACTTTTTAAATTAAGAAATTGTTTTTGGTATAGAACATTAAAAACTTGGTATCATTTTAATATTTTTATTATTGAGACTGCATAGGTGAAAAAAGAGTGTTGTTTTCATATGGTGGTATTTGCGTGTTTGTTTGGTGTTTAAAGCCACAGTCAGCAACATTCCAGCTATATGGCAGCAATCTGTAAATAATGTATTCTGATATAGAGTTTGTTTATTGTTTAATGCCGCACTCATCAGTCTTCCACTCTGTAAATAATCAAGTCTGGACCAGACAATATAGTGATCAACAGCATAATCCACACAATGGCTTATTATACATATTTTAGAAGTAACTGTCATGAATAAAAGTAATAATCTATCATGTCCATGGCAATAACACCACGACTCAGGTTACTGCATGCAACTTCAAATTTTTTGTAATTAATCTGTTTTGAGGTCTAATTTTCTATGTTTATTAATTGCAATCATATTCAATATTCAAGGTCTACCAAAGAATCATACCAAAGCATGCATTCATTTTCTGCTGATTTTGATCCTTCTATTTCTATTGGTATTCATTATTCATTTCTGGCATCAAACAATCATGGCATATAGGTATCCAGTAAAATCATATATTCATCCCAATTTACTTATTCAGCCTCATGATATTCCTGGAATATTGTTAGGTATAGAACCTCAGTGCAAAAGAATAACATGTCCACTATTCTCAGAAACAAATAGAGTTCATTGTGAAGGGAAAATTACCTGTGAAAGTTATATGAATGGACCACTGAAAATCAGCGATGACAGCAGTGGCCGTATGCATATGTCGGGCGTAAATTCTAGTCCGGGCGTAAGTAAACTGTACGCCTGGGCGTAACATTAAACTGACATGCATATCTTAGGCGTAGCTAAAGTTATGCCAGGCGTAGCACGCTATATTTACGCCACCTACCCAGCAGGCGTAAGCCGGGCGTAGCCCTGTAATGGCGGCAGTCGTATAGCGATATCACAGACGACAGTTCTACAGAAACCATACATTTAGAGAAAGGTCAAACCCTTTGGAAATATACAATGACCTTGATCTGTACATAAGATTTAGATTCAGAAGAATTGACATTTTAGTGGATACAATCAGAGGTGATATTGATTATGGCACCTACCGCAATTCTACCCTTATCCTGGAAATGCAGGTACTTGCAGCCTTACAGTTTAATTCTACGGGATCATCTGTTTCGCGCCTTTTCCTGGTGGTTGAAACACGTTCGAAAATCTAAAATAGCACACTGCGCCTCGACGTAAATCCGTTAAGTCAGGCGTAGTAACGCCTACCCTTAACCGACGTTGTGCATGACGCCCGACATATGCATGCGGCCAAAGGTGTTTATGGAAAGGGTAAACACCTCCTGCCACCTGACATTCACAATATTTGCCTAAAACTGGAAGTATTATTAGTCTGCCGCCACATAGCAGTTCTCTTGCCTTGCGAGGACAGCCTGTAAACAAACCAGACAATCAAGTGTTTGATGGACCAGAAAAATTTTAGAGATATTTTTGAATTGTCATAAGTAGTTTCAGAGATTCCAATGCATATAAATAAAGAAAAATGTTTTGAAAATATTTTTACAACACCTTGGGGGGTAGTTTTGATGTTAGTTGACTCAACGTACCTACATATGCAACTCAGCTTGTGGTGTACCACAAGGCAGTGTTAGAAGCAATCTAGCTCACTCACTCACTCACTCACTTACATGTGTTCAATGCCACTGTCTTCCCCTGCAGGCAGCTCATTATGGTGTTGGATCCTGGGCTCACAATGGCTGCTGTGATGGGAAACCAGGTGTCGCTGTTGTCTCCTCAGGTAACTTTACTTCTGTCCTTCTATAAGAGCTAGGGGAACCGTTATTTATAATAATTTATGGCTTCAGAGCTGTCAACCCCTAAGGATGGTTTGGAGTGAGACTGAAAAAAATAAGCCAGGGTCCAGGTACAGGGCGATGCCCTGGTGGGGGGGCAAAGCCCCCCAGCCGAAAATGAGGTTTAGTGATTTTCAGGAGCATTTGGAGCCTTCTGGTGGCATTATTTGGACACTAAAAGATGCATGCTAAAACATGAAAAAACATCACATACCTTCATTCTGTGTATTTCTTAGAAGATAAGCTGTGCTATAATCCATAGATTGATATACAACTCACAAGATACCAAGGGTTCAGAGTGGATGTGAACAGTGAAACGCAAAAACGAATGAAAATGCGTATTAATTTTGAAATTTTTTTTGCTACCAGATATGCGTGAGATTATTATTTGGAGGTGTGAGAGCGTGACATTTGTCAATAAAGCGTGAGACTCACGCAAAACGCGTGAGAGTTGACAGGTATGTGGCTTGGGGGTGTGATGATGAGTTTTATGAAGAAACATGTACAATGTGACCCCCCCACCTAAACTTTATGTACAAAGTAAGTGCCCCCCTGCATATCATGTACAAAATTGCTGACACACCCCTAGTACATGTGTACAAAACTGATGACTCCTTACCTCCTCAGAACAAAATGGGTGACCCTGTTTAAAATCATCATCACCCATCTAGCCATTAGCTTTCACCATCAAGAACAACAATGCTTATTGATGATACAGAGTATAAATTAGGACAATATGCAGATGATACTGAGTTGTTTTTAGATGGTACAGAAAAATGTCTATATTCCGCTGTTGATGCAATTAATACTTTCCATAGGATGTCAGGACTAAAAATAAATATTGATAAGACTAAAGCTATCTGGATTGGATCTAAAGCAGGTTGTGGTGATAAACTATGTCAGGATTTGAATATTGAATGGCGAAAAATGAATTTGTTGTTCTGGGAATTATACTTAATGCTGAACTGAAGGATCTATGGATCATCAATACAAAGAAAAAACTAGAGGAAATTAACAGATTATTGGCTGTGTGGAGAAAAAGACATTTAACATTAATCGGCAAAATCACTGTTATCAAGACACTAGCTATGTCAAAATTAGTTCATATTTTCAATACTTTACCAAACCCACCCCAAGATTTTGTTACCTCCCTTGATAAAATATTTTTCAAATTCATCTGGACTGACAAAACTGACAAAATTAAGAGAAGTACCTTGAAAAAAATTATTATATACATGGGGGTTTAAGAATGATCGACATAAAAACCTTTATCAATGCCTTGAAACTATCCACTTTGAGACTTTATTTAAGAAAATCATCAATATGTAATCCATGCAATTTTCCATTACATGATATCATGAAATTTGGTGCTAACTTCTATAATATTGCTGATATTCATAATCCATATTGGAAAGATGTTTTAAAAGCATGGAACATGTATTGTACTAACATTACCATAGAGGAAAACAACATTGATGAAATTTTAGCACAGCCATTATGGTTTAATCATAATTTTAAATACCAAAATCATTATATCAGTCATTGGGCAAATAAAGGACTATTAACCATCAAAGACATGTGTGATGAAGAAGGTTTGATGTCTTTTGAATCTTTAAAAAGTAAATATGCAATAAAAGGGACAGAACTAGATCATAGATATGTTCTAAATAATATACCTGAATCATGGAAGAATACAATAACAAATCACAGGTGTATAAATAACTATGACATGAATCTTAACTCCTATCAAAAGAATTTTATGAAATCATTACAAGGATCAAGATTATTTTATGATATATTGTTATTTAACAATAATAACCCTCATATGTGTCATAAATGGGAGAATGTGTTTGAAGATACTGACTTTGATTGGCCAATGATTTTCAAGTCTTACAGACAAGACATTAATGATGTAAAACTCTTAGAGTTCCAATATAAATTTTTTACACGGTATTATCTATACCAAAAAGGAACTTTTAAAAATGAACCTTATCCAGAGCGCCTCATGCAGCTTTTGTAAAGATGAAGATGAAAACTTGTGCCATGTTTACTGGGAATGTAGTGAAACTAAGAAGTTTTGGAAGGATCTTCAAATTTGGATTAACACTTATTTGATACAAAAAGTCAATTTGACAAAATATTTGGTGTATTTTGGCTCCTTAAGTAAAAACCCATTACTTAATCATATAATCATTTCAGCAAAAAAGACAGATCTATGTCTCTTCTTTGAAAAACAATATTCCAAAATGCGATAACTTTATAAAGACTTTAAAAGATATTTTTTCTGTTGAAAGCTTCATTGCCAAAAGGAAGAATAAAATGAAGAAATTTGCTAATAAATGGCATCCATTATTCCCAGTATTTCAAACCTGACCTGTGTATGCAGCAACCGCTTCTTTTGTAAAATCTTGATCTGTTTCCCCTTTTGAAAAATTATCATTGTTTTAGTTATATATTGACTAGTTAGTTAATGGCACTGGTGTAACTTTGGGGAACACATATTATAGGTTGGATATAAGACACAATATACAACACAATAAGCCAGATGTTGCGCAATATATAACACAACACATTGGATGTGACACAAGACACAGCATGACATGTCAGAATAATTGTGGCACTATATACAACACATGTTAGATAAGACATATTTACAGTGTATATCAGATAATACACTATGTACAACACGATAGATGTACAACACGATAGATTGGCCGTGACAGTACAATATGCTATGTTGGGTGTTGCACTATACACAGTATGATATGTCAGATGTGGCGCTATATACAACGTGGTATGTCAGATGTGGCGCCGTATACAACAAAATATGTTGACTGTGTATGCAATATACAACATGATATGTTGGATGTGACACAATATGCAGCTTGATATGTCAGATGTGGTGCTATAAACAATATGATATGTTCATATATGATGCTATTTACAACTTGACATATGGGATGTAATACTATATACTTATGATATATCAGATATGACATTATATACAACTTATGATGGAAAACCCCCAAAAAACCAAAAACTACTAATAACGAAACACTTCTAGAAAATTATGCACATATTTATACCATGCATATGAACTTAGAGCATCAAAATACCTCCCAATTCAGTAAGATATATATTTTTGTAGGATTTCCCCATGTACTATGACATTATATATATGTGTTGTAAACTCAACCTTTGTTATTGTATACATGTATGTGAAAATTGGATATACAGTAGAACACGGATATAACGAACTCCAAGGGACCAAGAAATTTAGTTCGCTATATCCGGTGTTCGTTATTCACATTTGACCGCCATCTTGGATTGTAGAGATGTAGAGACACGTATATGCTGAGGCTACAAATCTTTATTCTTGTACATGTATATTGACATAACATTAAAATTCTGAATTGATCATTCACAGACATTAGCTAGAACATGTTTAACAATCTCAACAATATGTTGATTCACCGCCAACAAGGTTGATGTATACCGCTAAGTGGCTGAGCTGACACTGAGCTGACACTGAGTGAGTTCGCTAATCACGTCGTTAATTGGGCTTGGGGGTAGTAAATCAGTTCGCTATAGCCGTTAATTCGCTACTCACGAGTTCGTTATTCACGTATAATTCTAATGATATCATAAAGGATTGTTGTCGGGACTTTTAAATTTGTTCGCTATATCCGTTTGTACACTATATCCGTGTTCGCTATATCCGTGTTCTACTGTATGTTGTATACGGCCTGTGGCCTATAGACAATAAAAAGACTTTGACTTGGAAAATTTAAAAAAAAAAATGCTTACTTGTGTCAAAGTAATCAGTGTTTCAAATTTCTTGATGTCACGCAATATTTCTCTCCGGAACCAGTTTTGCTCAATTTCTCAATGTGCAAAGTGTTTGGAGTGCAAGAGAATGTGAGCAGTGTGCAGTTACATTGAAAACAAGTCTCGTGTAGCATAGACAATGTTCCGGAGTGAGACAACTTTTTGTCTTTGCACTTATGTGGAGTTCGTTACCATGATGTCAGTCATAGCAAGCCATGAGTGGAGTGTACTCTGAGAAGATGTAAATGATAAACAACATCAGACACAATGAGATCTACAATATTTGATTTATTCCAACATATTTTGGGTTTGTTTTACAGTTAATGATACACCGAGAAAAAGAGTTCATAGTACAAAGTCACCTAACAAAGGAAATTACGAGAACCTATCACGCCTAATTAAAATAAAACATAACAAGCTTACACATGCTAATGTTAAGTTATATTAGTCCGAGCAATAAAATATATATAAAAATACAGATATATACCGAGAGAAACAAATAAAGGATTACAGGAAAATTCAAGCGTTCCTTTAATATTTTCCAGTTTTATCACCAGCTTTGAATAGCGCTGTGGCGATAAAAACTGGAAAATAATAAAGGAATGCTTGCATATTCCTGTGATCCTTTATTTATTTCTCTCAGTATATATAAAAATGATAATACATGTACACACACACATTGAGAATATATGGTTTATTCAATAAAAATAGTAACTATTGTTTTCATATTTACAATGATTCTAAATCTCTAAAGTTAGCTGGACCAGGCACACCAAGGCCCTATTCGCATTTCACGTACAATCTTTTTACACTCTTATTATGTTTAATGATGCTTTGCAAGAAGATGTTTGGTACATCCAAACTGCATCATTTTGCAAAACTCTTTGTAACCACTTGGTCTGTCGGACGTGGAAGAAGAGTGCAAAATAACAAAACGAATCAGTGCGATTGGTCTAGTCATTGCTCTTACTGTGCTAACTTGGATGATGATGCGTTTACCACTTATCAGAGAGTTGGAAGTAGGCGAGTGGCAGACAGGGACCATAGGATACCATCTGAGGGATTTTTGGATGCTCCATCGGACTCAATTCTCAGTAAAAATCTATAAGGTATATTCCATCCTCCTAATTGTAGTCCAGTGACGAAACATGCCTATTTTCCCACTAGAGTGGTGGTGCTACATACTTCACCACCTCAATCACGTCCTATGGCTCTCGTGATGATTTCTCAATCACCCGGAGTGGCAGTTACAACACCAAGTGGCATTTTGTCCCAGTTTTCCGGTTCGGCAATCACCATTTCTACAGTTACATATTGTAGTACGGACTTGCGATCAGCGATCCCTCAGACTCCACCAATGGTTTGCAGTTTGACGATTCCCCTCAGTTCGGCCATTCCGATTAGTTCTACAACTCCATTTATTATGACGCATCAACCCAGCTCCATTCTACCACTTGATTTGGCGCTCCAGCATGATGCACACTTTCAGTTTGGTTCAGTGCTTCCGACTAGTGTGCCGCTTCCATTCGGCGTGACACTTCAGTCTAATGCACCAATCCCGTATGCGTCAGGAGTTCATACCACCTCATTTAGTTTGACGCTTCAGACCAGTGCGCCACTCTCATTCAGTTAGGCGCTTCAGACCAGTGTGCAGTTAGGCGCTTCAGACCAGTGCGCCACTTTTGATTGGTTCAGCGCTTCAGACCAGTGCGCCGCTCCCAGACCAGCGATTGGTTCAACACTACAGACCAGTGCACCGCTCCCGTTTAGTTGGGTGCTTCAACTTAGTGCACCTCTCTCGGTCGGTTAAGCACTCCCTCTTCATTCTACAGTCTTGACTACATCTAATAGTACAGCAAACTCTGCCGGTTTGTCGGTTTTTGTTAGTGTGGCATTCCCTCACCATCCAGTTTTGACACCCCTTCAACAGAATTTGTCTCTTGCTACTACACTATCGACACTGATGACTTCATCTCAGGCTACTGCGACGGCTCCATCTACGTCTTCCCTGCTTATTATCCCTGTCTCTTGGGATCATACTTGAGATAGTACCGGTCCACAGCCTTTTGATTTCGGCGCCAGGACCCTCCCCGAGCGTCTCCGACTCCTCAGGTTTTGCAAGATCCGTCATCTGATCCTTCGTTGGATGAAGCTCACCTTTCTGCCACTCCATCCCCGCTTCGGAGTGCCTTTCTACTTCAGATGGAAGTGTAGATGCTGTAGAGATACCACAACTTCTTTCATGGATTGCTGATAATTTGAAATTATCAAGGAGCAGGTCATCAGTGGACTTGTTCTCCTCTTTTGACATGTGACAAGGTGATTTTGGGACTATTACTTTCGCTCCTAGGCCTTGTATCACACAGTTGGCATCGTCGTTGGATGACGTTTTTAACAACAGTTCAACCTAGCTGCAGCACATGTCCATGGTTTTGCTATGCTGGTTACTTCACCTCCTGTTGATATTACGTTGTTGGGGACCAAACATCGGACCTACACTCCTTTCTTGGTGGAGGATTGGGAGTTATCCCATCTGGATTCAGCAGTCCTCAAGATTCAGACTCCATTCAACATGATCCTCACAGTCTCAGAGGCGGTTGCTATGTCAGTCGCTCATACGACTTGATGGTCCTGATGCAAGAACAATTCCAGATGGTGTTGGATCAACTGGCCTATCTTTTTTGTTATACTTGACGGCCGTCAGGCGTAGGGGTAAACTTAAACTGTCGTCCTGGGAGAACCACTCAATTCTGACCTGGTCCACCCAGATGCTTTTCAATGGGGCGATCAGAGAGGATGCTGGCAAGGTCAGGCAAGATACTCAGCTACAGATGTTGGTGGAACTTCTGAAGTTCCAACGACTACAGGTGGAAGACTCTCTGCGACAACGACGCCCTGCGCACTGAGTCCCCAACAGTCCAGACCTACGTTCTTCATTGTCTGCTCCTTTTTGAGGTTGCCCCTCCTACAGGAGTCGTTCCAGAAGACAACAGCATTCCTTTACCAGATCCCGTAGCACAGCTAGGCCCGACCTGTCCCATGCAGCAGGATATTCCAAGCAGTGACTCACTGACATCAACGCATGACTGGGAACTTCCGCCTCCAGTCGTGCAGGTTGTGGACTCACCAGTCGGCAGAACACTTGCCATTTATGCACCCAACTGGACAAATCTGGATGACCCGTTTGTTCAGTCGACACTTTCCACAGGATTTCAACTTCCTCTAGTAGGCTCTTCTCCCTTGACACTACACCCGGTTCAAAGAACATATCCTGCAACCCAGTCAGCTGTTCTGAGAACCACTATAGAAACTTACTCCAGAAGCTTGTGGTGGAATCACTCGGGCCCGTATCCCGACACTCTGGGATTTTACTCTCCAAATTTTCTTGTCCCGAAGGATTCAGACAAGCTCAAATTAATCTTCAACATGAAGCTTTTCAAAACAACATATCTACAGCAACCTCCCCACTTTTGGATGGTCTTGGTGGCTCTTCTATGCACGATCATCAAGGCAGGTGACTTCATGGTCAATCTGGACCAGCAAGATGCTTATCTCCACGTGCTGATATTTCATGAGCATCGCAAGTTTCTGCGAGGGCATCCACTATCAGTGGCGTGTCATCCCATTTGGAATTTCCACTACGTCGATGGCTGCATTCAGGCACAGAGAGATCAGCGGATCCTGCTTCTCCACATGCAGTTCGCCATCAAGCTACTTCGCCAATTAGGCTGGTTTGTCAAGAGGGCCTCAAAGCATATGCCTTTCCACCGCTGGTTTTACTCCCATGAGTTCTACTCAAGCTGCGAATGACTCAGAAGATAACACTGATTTTGGTCACGCCTTACTGGCCAGCAAGAAGTTGGCTTGTCGCCCTACAAGAGCTTGCTGATCATAACCAAGTACCGCTTGGTCCCGACGTCCTGATCCACCCTCACTCTGATCAGCTCCAATGGTTCGCGCTAGTACATTCATCTACATGTTTTGCGCTTCTGCATAAATCCTTAATTGCTAAGGGTTATTCGAAGCGAGTGGCTACATCGTACAAGATCACTCTACGATGATAAATGGAAGAACTTTGAAGCTTATTGCAAGGTGAAGGGCATTACTTTCCCTACTGCAGCATAACCGTAGATAGTTGCTGAATACTTTCTTTTTATCATTATTATTATAGGATATTCATATAGCGCACATATCCACACAACTTGTACATGCTCAAGGCGCTGGTATTTTTTTCCCTCGATTATTGGATGTCAATCTCAAAGGCACATTGTATAATCAATCTCAACTCCCTGGGGATCATACAACTCTTGCAGCCACTAGTCTCACCGAGTTATTACAGCTTTCCCATCCTTATAGGGTACCCATTCACAGCTGAGTGGACTGGGACACATTGTCACACTACTTTGCCCAAGTTTACTGCATGTAACTGTACCCGCAACTAGGTGTTTGGACGTATTCATCTTGATGCATCTCAAGACTGTCGTAGGCTATGCAGGAGACTTTTCATTCCACTGTCTACAGCTTCATCAGCAGAAGTCTTGCATACAACCCTGGCTTTTTGGATGAGGTCTACCATCCTACACGCCTATGCCTACACTGACCTTCCACTGCCTACTGCTGCCAACTCTCATGAGACAAGAGCCACCATATAGCTGGAATATTGCTGAGTGTTGCGTACAGCTAAACTCACTCATGAGACAAGAGCATTGGCTTCAACAAAGGTGCTCCACAGCAACTGTCATGGAGGGTGCTTCTGGAAGTAAGACATAGTCTTCGCCTCTCACTATCTCCGAGATCTCTCCGTCACTGATGTGGAGGGTCTACACCCGTTTGGTACTGAACGTTAAACGAGTTGAACACGGCTGTCTTCCCTTTCACTGCCTTCCAGCGTGTGTCTGTGGGGGATAGTTTCGAAGCAGGGGCTGTCAAGATTAAGGTCTTAGACTTCAATTCACTGGGGTCTTCTGAGAAATCGCGGGAGGTGGGTCTTACTTGCCAAACTGTGTCCTTGTGTCTTGAACAAAAGTTGCGGCTAAAAACCACATTGATTCGGGACCGCCCACTCCCTAGAAGTCTTTCTGCTGTGTAAGCTCAGGGGGTTTATCAATGGGAAGAAACCCATCACATGTATTGGAGTATAGCATATCGGGAGTTGTGCTTTCTCCAAGCCTCCTTGTGTAATATGACTTCACGGTCGTTATACATTCGACACAGGATAATCTGCAGCCCACCGTCCAACCGTGAAATAAATGCATACCATGAGATAGGATGAGTTTAAATTTTTTGAAATTTTAACTATAAATTGTATATTCATATACTTATCCTATCTCATGCGATGGATTCCAACCCGACCTTCCCCACATCACAGATTACTTGGGGCTCCAAGACGGGAATGACAGTAGTGGGATGTCATGTGACCGTCCTGGGCACTTTCCACACTTTACAGGGATGAATGATGTGTCCCGGAATGGGAGGGGTTGGGAGCAATTGGGTGGGAGAGAGGCCAGAAGATTTGATTCAACTCAGCCTAAAGCACGTTTCCACGCCGTTGTCGAAGTGAGAGAGAGAGGTACATACCGTCAGATAGGATAAGTATATAAATATACAATTTATAGTTGAAATTTCCAATTTCCATGTATGTTCTGCCACCCTGTTGAGATATGTTAGACACACTGATCTCTACTCCAGGCGGTGGTGAACATCTCATCAAGACCTTCCTGGCCAAGACGTGTGCTGACAGTGTGCAGAAGGAACCTAATGCCAGTCTAGCAGTCAGTTCCACATTCAAGGACAACTTTCTAGGTACAACACATCACTTACAGAGGTGGCGAGGTAGCCTAGTGGTGAACATGTCATCCTCGGAGGATGGGGGGACACCTGGCCCCGATTTCTCGAACAAACTTAAGTTTTTACTCAAATTTCAAACTGAGTTTGCCAATTTGAAACAGCTGAATTTTTAACTCAACTGCATTTTTAAAATAAAAAAAGCCCAAACAACTTCAGCAATCCATCCACCAAACTCAAATTGTCTAGTATGCTTGAGTTTAATATCAATTTCAGTTCATGCTGCTAAATGCATTTTCTCTATTTGAGTAAAAACTCGAACTTAAGTCAAAACTCAGACTTAAGTTTGTTTCGAGAAATCGGGACCAGGTGTCCCCCATCGTGATATTGTTGGAATATTGCTTAAAGCAGCATAATTGTCAACTCACTCACTTTTTAAAGAAAGTTGGGAAGACAATAGATGGAAGAGAATAAATAAGACAGGCTGACGTAGAGGATCATAAATAAATGTAATGAGCCTCCTGGAGAGGTGACATGAGGTAACCTCAAGAATTACATTTTGCTTATAAAAAGTATCTTGTAATGTTTGAAATAAGCATTGACCTATGTGACTATCCTCACTTTACCAGAGTCGGAGTTCCTGTCTGGCGTGGAGGACAAACATGGTGGTGTGCTGGTGTTGAAGCATCTCATGGAGGATGACGGTTTCAGAGAAGGTACAGGACCACAGTGTACATCACACTTATATTCTGGTAGTGTCAGATACATGGCACGGTCTTCACTTCACTAGTCAACCATTGGTTTGGGTTGGTTTGTTGTTTAACGCCACACTCAGCAATATTCCAGCTATATGGTGGCGGTCTGTAAATAAGCGAGTCTGGACCAGACACTCCAGTGATCAACAGCATGAACATCAATCTACACAATTGGGATACCAATTGTGTCAACCAAGTCAGCAAGCCTGATCATCCGATCCAGTTAGTCGCCTCTTACAAGCACTAGTTCCTGAAGACCAATTCATGTGTCATTCATTCAATGTCATGTCAACCAAGTCAGCGAGCCTGACCACCTGATCCCATTGGTCGCCTCTTACAACAAGCACTGGTTCCTGAAGACCAATTCCTGTGTCATTCATTCAATGTCATGTGTCAACCAAGTCAGCACTCCTGACAACCTGATCCCATTGGTTGCCTCCTACACCAAGCACTGGTTCCTGCAGACGAAATTCATGTGTCATTCATTCAATGTCATGTGTCAACCAAGTCAGCACTCCTGACAACCTGATCCCATTGGTTGCCTCCTACACCAAGCACTGGTTCCTGCAGACGAAATTCATGTGTCATTCATTCAATGTCATGTGTCAACCAAGTCAGCACTCCTGACAACCTGATCCCATTGGTTGCCTCTTACACCAAGCACTGGTTCCTGCAGACGAAATTCATGTGTCATTCATTCAATGTCATGTGTCAACCAAGTCAGCACTCCTGACAACCTGATCCCATTGGTTGCCTCATATGACAAGCATGATTTGCTGAAGACCAATTCTAACCCAGATTTTCGCTTGACTAGCCCACCACATACACAGGAGTAGAATGAGTGTTCAGAATGAGCTGAAATGTCACTCAGTCTGATCAGTCAATGAGTTATATCATTACATGTTAGTTTAATATGAGATGAAAACCAAAAGCCACATTAGTCATATATAACTCTTTGGATAAGGATTTGCTGAAAATCTGGAATTGATCTCAGAAGATATTGGCATGGCCAGTGACACCTCCCTACATAGCTCCACGTGTTATAGAGGGCATCCCATACCAAAACACCCTACATGTAAAGTAACAAAGTAAATTGATATCTAAACAGTCTGTGACTAAATAAAAGAGTAAATATTTTTCGATTTGGAAATTACTTTTTTTTGTTTTGATACCATATCAGGATACAGATTATATCAATGCACGAGATATATTATTGAGAGTCCATCTGTCAATGTTTTGTGTGATAGAGTCACGTTGTTGGTGTTGCAGCTGAAGTTCTGTGGGCTCATACCACTGACAGCATGTGCATAGGCTATATGCTGGAGACACACTCCAAACCAACGGTGAGCAAGTTGAAGATATCATAACTCCAGAAGAAAGTTGTTTATCTGCCACTTTTAGCAATGTTCAATTCATAAAAGTAATATATTCAAAGAATAATCTTCAGAAATCATACCGTTGGGAATTTAAACTCTGGGCCACCTCACCATGCCAGCTGTGTCTGTTGAGAAGTTTGACAAATGGAAATTTCTCACTCTGCAAAACCCCAATTATTCTCAATGGGTGCTTCCTGTTTTACGCTACAACAGTTGATAACTGAGCTGATCAGAAACTGATAGTTTACACACTTATATTTCATAGGACAAGTGGGGCATTCTCATCGTGCTCAAGGCTTTTTATTTAACTTTTTTACCATGGTAATTTAAAAAGAATTTAATGTAGAGGATGAAACTTAGTCCTAAGGGTGTAATGTGTATTCATGTATTCATTAGCATTGAGTGACATCCATGGCTTGGTTGTAGTGGTGGTTTAACAAATACCATTTCTATATCATGACTTCCTGATTCAAGGAGGAACTATCAGTTCACAGTCACTGTTTTGGATTTATTTAGGTTTGATATAAAGAAGAGGGCAAAGTCTCTTGAACATGTTTCTGTATATTTTCAGACTTTTGTATCTCGACTTCCTGAATCATCACTACCTGGAAAGTCTTTTGCAATGGAGGGAAGAATTTTAAACTTTGACCAATCCAGCTGAATGATTTAAACTTACAAGCCTCTTGCTGTGATATTACATCACTTGAACCCAAATGCAGAAGCAACACAATGATCATATATCATGTTATTCCACTTGTTCTGAGCTCAGCAATATTCCAGCTATATGGCGGTCAGTAAATAGTCATATCTGGACCAGACAATCCAGTGATCAACATCATGAGCATCGATCACGCAATTGGGATATGATGACATGTGTCAACCAAGTCAGCGAGCCTGACCACCTGATCCCATTGGTCGCCTCTTACAACAAGCACTGGTTCCTGAAGACCAATTCCTGTGTCATTCATTCAATGTCATGTGTCAACCAAGTCAGCACTCCTGACAACCTGATCCCATTGGTTGCCTCCTACACCAAGCACTGGTTCCTGCAGACGAAATTCATGTGTCATTCATTCAATGTCATGTGTCAACCAAGTCAGCACTCCTGACAACCTGATCCCATTGGTTGCCTCCTACACCAAGCACTGGTTCCTGCAGACGAAATTCATGTGTCATTCATTCAATGTCATGTGTCAACCAAGTCAGCACTCCTGACAACCTGATCCCATTGGTTGCCTCTTACACCAAGCACTGGTTCCTGCAGACGAAATTCATGTGTCATTCATTCAATGTCATGTGTCAACCAAGTCAGCACTCCTGACAACCTGATCCCATTGGTTGCCTCATATGACAAGCATGATTTGCTGAAGACCAATTCTAACCCAGATTTTCGCTTGACTAGCCCACCACATACACAGGAGTAGAATGAGTGTTCAGAATGAGCTGAAATGTCACTCAGTCTGATCAGTCAATGAGTTATATCATTACATGTTAGTTTAATATGAGATGAAAACCAAAAAGCCACATTAGTCATATATAACTCTTTGGATAAGGATTTGCTGAAAATCTGGAATTGATCTCAGAAGATATTGGCATGGCCAGTGACACCTCCCTACATAGCTCCACGTGTTATAGAGGGCATCCCATACCAAAACACCCTACATGTAAAGTAACAAAGTAAATTGATATCTAAACAGTCTGTGACTAAATAAAAGAGTAAATATTTTTCGATTTGGAAATTACTTTTTTTTGTTTTGATACCATATCAGGATACAGATTATATCAATGCACGAGATATATTATTGAGAGTCCATCTGTCAATGTTTTGTGTGATAGAGTCACGTTGTTGGTGTTGCAGCTGAAGTTCTGTGGGCTCATACCACTGACAGCATGTGCATAGGCTATATGCTGGAGACACACTCCAAACCAACGGTGAGCAAGTTGAAGATATCATAACTCCGGGAAGAAAGTTGTTTATCTGCCACTTTTAGCAATGTTCAATTCATAAAAGTAATATATTCAAAGAATAATCTTCAGAAATCATACCCGTTGGGAATTTAAACTCTGGGCCACCTCACCATGCCAGCTGTGTCTGTTGAGAAGTTTGACAAATGGAAATTTCTCACTCTGCAAAAACCCCAATTATTCTCAATGGGTGCTTCCTGTTTTTTACGCTACAACAGTTGATAACTGAGCTGATCAGAATCTGATAGTTTACACACTTATATTTCATAGGACAAGTGGGGCATTCTCATCGTGCTCAAGGCTTTTTATTTAACTTTTTTACCATGGTAATTTAAAAAGAATTTAATGTAGAGGATGAAACTTAGTCCTAAGGGTGTAATGTGTATTCATGTATTCATTAGCATTGAGTGACATCCATGGCTTGGTTGTAGTGGTGGTTTAACAAATACCATTTCTATATCATGACTTCCTGATTCAAGGAGGAACTATCAGTTCACAGTCACTGTTTTGGATTTATTTAGGTTTGATATAAAGAAGAGGGCAAAGTCTCTTGAACATGTTTCTGTATATTTTCAGACTTTTGTATCTCGACTTCCTGAATCATCACTACCTGGAAAGTCTTTTGCAATGGAGGGGAAGAATTTTAAACTTTGACCAATCCAGCTGAATGATTTAAACTTACAAGCCTCTTGCTGTGATATTACATCACTTGAACCCAAATGCAGAAGCAACACAATGATCATATATCATGTTATTCCACTTGTTCTGAGCTCAGCAATATTCCAGCTATATGGCGGCGGTCAGTAAATAGTCATATCTGGACCAGACAATCCAGTGATCAACATCATGAGCATCGATCTACGCAATTGGGATATGATGACATGTGTCAACCAAGCCAGCGAGCCTGACCACCCAATCCCGTTAGTCGCCTCTTACGACAAGCATGGGTTACTGAAGATCAATTCTAACCCGGACCTTCACGGGTAGTGAGTGAGTGAGGTTTTACATCTCCTTTTCGTAATATTCCAGCAATATTATGTTGAGGGACACCAGCAATGGGCTTCACACATTGTACAAATGTAGGGAATTGAAAACGGGTCTTTGGCGTGATGAGTGAACACATTGACCAATATTCTACCCCACTGCCCACTTCTATGTCTGCCAACAATGCCTAAGTTTCATGGCATCAATCATATGGGGAGCTAAACTGGAAACAGGCATCAGACTTTCAGCAGGATATGTGGATATTCCCACGGTGGTTTCCTCTTTTGCCAGTCTTTAACTAATCCCACACAGTTCAAACAGTTCTACCTGTAATCAAACAAAGAATTGACGAATAAGCTTTTCAATGTATAGTTGGACAGATATCTAGTTCAAGGAAACGTATTATCTATAAGCATATCATAGATTGTTGTACTCTGCAATATTATTTAACAAAATCTATTCCACTAAATTATAGAAAATACTTATCAAAATTTCGCTTGTCTGCCCATAATTTATCAATTGAGTGTGGTAGATATAAAAAATAAATGTAAATGAAAGAAAGTGTATCAATTGTAATTCTGATATTGAAGACGAGTTTCACTTTGTTTTGATTTGTCCTCTATATGTAAATGTCAGACAAAAATATATTAAGCCATATTACTGGAAAAATCCATTTGTCTTTAAATTAATCCAGTTATTTTGTTTAAAGAATGTTAAATAGTTGTGCAATCTTGGTAAATATGTGTTTTCTGCATGTAATATAAGAAATTTGTATCTAAAATAATTATGTGCATTCTCCATATATATACAGTCAAATCCCCGATGAGTCGAATGCCGGTGTCTCGAATATTATGCATAACTCGAAGTACCTGTCGGTCCCGACCATTCCCTGTTATAGTTGTCATCATTTGAATACCGGTTACACGAATTCGTCTCATAAATACACACGATGACTCGAGAAGGAAATTTGGTCCCATGAGATTCAAACAACAGCAATCTTGTATACATAAGCCGAAGTCAGTCAATGAGAAGTTGATTGGTGTAGCAAACTGATCCAATTAACAAACCAGCGCGGCTCACACCTTTCCGCCATTGACAGGTGAGTTCAAAAGGCAGATTAGTGATTTTATGGAAACCAGTCTGTGCTAATCAGACTGGAACTGATAAGGTGCCCCTATTAGTGATAGGGAAATCATTAGGTAAACAAATGCTTAGGTGGAGGAATTAGGACTGGATCATCTTTTGTTCTACCCTCATAGACATACCTATGTCTCGAATACATCGATAAGTCGAATGTATTACTTGGTCCCCAGCGATTCGACTCATCAGGATTGGACTGTATATGCATATTTTCCACCAAAATTGTCAATCCCTTCCACCTGTATCATTTTATGCTTTATATAACCACCGATAAGTTGTAAAACTTAAGGTTAATAAAGAATAAAGAATTGAATTGATAGACTACAGAGAGAAAAAGACCATCTTCAAGCAGGAAGGAAGACCATGATAGAGTATGGAGATGCTGTTTCTCATCTTGTTGGGCTTTAAAGTCAATTGTGTATGAACCATCATTGTGGACAATTTCTTATATTTACGCAGTTACATAATGCTAAACGTTGAGTACAGTTATGTATGTTATGTATTATGTATGATTGTGATTAGTAATTTATCAATTTATGTATGCTGAACATAAAAATACAAATGACAGTCTTTTGTGTCTTTCTTTGCATGGTCATCTATTCGTCATCACCCACCCTCCCCCACCATTGTCTTGCTAATTAACATGGTCTGGTGATCCTCTTAATCCCTAAATAAACAACTTGCCCGACTGGCAAAACAGTCACACCCCATTCCCACATAGTGCAGTCTCAACACAATTACATCCATGACTGGGATTATAGTAAACACTTCAAACTTTCTGTACATGTGATGGGCAATCAGAAAATAAATATTTGTTATCATTTGTTGATAATTTTCATTAAAATGTTATGATTTGTCAGGTAAATGCTGAAAAACTTAAGGTTTCCTGCACATTATGTGTAAAACAGTCTTGTAATTGTTGCTTGTGGTTCATATAGAGGTCATCAACTGCTGCCAACATAAAATGTTATCAATATAAACAATATACAGAACCTTTTTTCATTTATTTAATTAATATGAGGCATTCAACATGGCACGTCTTCATGAATCTCTTGAGGACAATGTCTCCTTCATTTCTAAGGACAATGTCTTCTCAACTCCTTGGCACGTCTTCTTCATTTCTTGAGAACAATGTCTTCTTCACACCTGAGAACAATGTCTTCTTCAACTCCTTGGACATGGACAGTATCTTCTTCATATCTTGAGGACAATATTGTCTTTATTTCTTATCATCTTTGTCTGGTTTAGTTCTATTCTGCAACTGTTCAGCTATCTCATCCAGCCGATCCTTATCATAGCGGTCCTTGGCGTCATGGAAGTCTTTGGTGAGCTTGTCCAACTGATCAAGGTCTTTCAAGGACACCTGACCTGATCCCCCTCATGGCTGCCTCAGGCTGCAATATACACAAAATGTCTACAGAGTACATTGATATGAAGTAAGGTAGTATAGTTTAAAACACGTAAATTATGCACCATATTGTCCTCAAGATATGAAGAAGATACTGTCACATGCAAATCGTGCTCATATTCAGAGAGTGATAATACAAAGGTGTCAAGTATATGCACTAAAACGTCCACTTTCTGTAAATCTAAATGCAGAAAACTATTCAACACAAACTTAAGAATATCAATGCTATAATAATTCACTGCAACACAAATGTGTACAATTGTTAAGATTACCATGTTGAAGGACAATGTGAGGTGAGGTGAAATGGGGTTTAACGTCATACTAAAGAATATTTGGCCCATATGACGATGTGCATGCATATGTATGTGTGGCTGCTTGTACTAGCCCAGACTTAAGCTGGTTTTATAGTGCTAGCTCACTGAGATACCATGCCACATGAATACCCCCTCAGATACATTATACTGACTCCGAGCCAACCTGTCCTTGTTATGCCCATTAATGCCGAACGCTAAGCAGGAACCAACAAGTACCATATTTCAACATCTTTTGGCATGACGCATCTTGGGATCGAACCCGACGACCTTCCACTCTCCGGGAGGACGCTCAAACCACTACACCACGGAGGTGGCCCAAAGACAATAAGAAGTCAGAAAATTCAATTATAATCATTAATAGCTTAGTGGATCTGCTTTGCTAACATTTAGCACAATGACCTTATGAATTTAAGGTTGAGACTTTCAATATAACAATGATAAAATTTGAATTGATGACACATTTAGTTTCTTGTAAAGTAAATATCAAGAAGTTCAAAGTTACGTGGGGATCTTACTCTTATTTTTGGGTTTCAGTTCATTTGTTGTTTGAAAAAACAAACATCTGTTATGGCTTACCTGTGATTTATCAGGTTTCCAACCAATGAAGTACATTATTTGAAATGTTGCAGGTACCCCGTCTTCATTCCCATGCATTTCTGCAATATATGGAAGGTAACATCTGAAACCCTGAAACTATCCATTATGTGATAGATGTCTTCTCACAGCTTCCTGGTAATTGTTGTAAACTGTCAAATCTTGTGATAATCAGACTCAGTTTTGAGAAAAACAACAAAATGATAACCATAGAAAAATGTTTTCAGGTAATCTTTTTTTTTTTGCGAATGTGTGTGGCACTAGATTATAACAGATACACCCATAGTATTCTAACACTTACAGAAGAGGCTGTTTCTGAGACACAATAAATGAGGCATCCTGATGTCAAGCCTTGCACAGCAAACGAATGATATACTTAAAAAAAAAAATACAAATAAAAAATTCATAAATACGTGAACTTTCAGTGACCTGGTCAGCCTGTGGATTTATAGATGAGAATAGGTCTGCAGTAACCTATGTAAGTTATAATGAGGAATAAGTGTCCTGACAGGGAACCTGTCTTATCATTCATCAATGATTCCATGCCCATTCTGTCAACCCCAGTCTAGATGTAAGAATGCATTACACCTGATATGACATCTTCCACCTTTTTGTATTATTCGCAGCTTCGGTCAATTTATTTTATTTAGTAGGATTATTTGGAGGGATTTAGGGTTTAGGGTCTAATCCAATATGGAAGGTAGATACAATATAGACAAACTTTATGGATTGCAACTTCTTTATAACATCTAAATGTCTGTATATATTGTACTTCCTAACTTCTACAATGCCACTCAAAGATGGTATCAGACAGCAAATCAGCCCTCTCCGATCACCAACAGAAATTCCCTACCCATCAAATCAATTTTGACAAATTTGAAATGCTATCAACCAAGAATCAGGACTTCACAAAAAGAAAAACTATTGGAAGCCATTGAAATCTGCCTCCACAAACCATTGATCAACAGAGACCAAGATTACTACATACCATCGGCCTATGAAGAACTAATCAAACTATAGACTCTATAAAGCATTTCCTGTTCTTAGTCTCCCACTGGCCTCTCATAATTATGTACCAGTTGTTATTCAATTACATGTTGTTGTTAATGTTAATCTGCTGTTGTCAAAACATACTGTGTATATATATACCCCTCTACATCTGGTTGTATTCACTTTTAGCTTGATAACGATTTAAGAATCTACATCGAAACGTCGCTCTATGCAATAAATAAGAAGTTGTCATCCATAAAGTTGTATGTTTCATTTTTGAACCACCAACTTCTAGAATGCCCATCAAACAATCAAAGATGGTAGGTAGCGATCCGGTGTAGTGCATGTGTACTACCACTGGCATGCCAATCAAAGACTAGATTATCTTAAGGCTGCCACATTACACATGACAGCATAACACAGCCACTTCTCATTATTTAAGGTAGCAATCACTGTTCCCATGTCCACAAACAAAACCCTGGAGAACCAACACTCACCTTTATATATAGCAGCTGCAGCTTTGGTGGTGTCACGGTGCAGCAATGACTTCCTGTTCCAGGAACAGTTGTTTTCTCCCATACCTAGAAGACAGAACATGATGATACACCATAGGGCTGCGCAATATAACCGGTTCAGACATGAAAACGATACTCTGATCGAAAAACGGTATTTTGACTTGCAATCGGAAAACTTCGTAACACGTAAATTATTTATTTTATCATGATTAAAAGTTGTTATTAAAGCTTAATCAAGCATGGTAATTTGGTTGTGTTTTTGCTCTATAAATCAAGCATTAACTCGATTATAAGTATTTTTTTGTTTAAAAATACGTCATGCAATATATTGCAATACATACTGCAATACATGCTTTCGCATCGCAATATGAAAATTCCCTGCAATACCCACCCCTAATACACCATCAAACAGGTGAGGTGAAATAGGTTGTAACCTCGCATTCAATGTTGTATACCTATAAAGCGACATGGAAGCATGCACGTGTGTGACTATTGCTATGAGTAGGCTATGAGTTATGATGCTAGCCATTAAGATGCCATTCTGAAGGTTAACTACCCTACCCTTACTGTTGTCTCACCTTTGAGATCCTGCATAAGTTCGTACATGGACGGGTAGTTGACTACAAGTTCGTCAGTGTCCTGCCATCATAAACAGGCATGAAATAAATAACAATAATGGGTATTTTATTTATCATGCAAGAATGCGTACGTAAAATCCATGGCTTTACATGAAAGACAGTTGTTGTAACTGAGATGAATTTATCAAATTAACCCTTGGAGATGACTCCTCAGGATGCAAGTTAAATCTAGCAACACATTGCCCATTTGTGTTTATTAACTTTATGTAACATATCAAGTATTTGCAGGATAAGTAAAGAGAGAGTTATCTTTGACATAAACAGGGATGTTTATGAGAAACTGTTTTATAAAGAATTAACCTCAAAGCATCATGAAGCTGGACTTAGTCAAGGTCATGTTAAATTTGTTAAGTTGTCAACAACAAATTCAGTGAAAATATCAATACCGGTAATCTACCAATTCAGCTTCTCATTATCATGATCTTAGACTCTAATATTGTCTTTCAAGTCATTAGACACCAAAAATGTAAACATTTTCTATCATGGAAGCTCCAATGTAACATTTTATAAGTTTTATTGGTAATTCACCATTTGAGCACCCAATCTGCTGGAGACATGAAGGATTTATCCATGATTTTCAATGTGCTTGCTGTATTTAAATCAGGAAATAAAAAGTCATTTTATAGAAAATTTAGAGGTATTTTGGTATTGAATTCAAAGCAACAAAGCACAACAATGATGCTTTTAGTGAACAATATTTCAGTTCAAAGTAAAATGCAAAGCTACACCATAACATAACAACATCCTGAATTGGGAATTCAGATAACAACATTCTGAATTGGGAATTCAGGTTAGAAGTTATAAAGATTTTGTCAACAATATTCATAGACTCGGAGCTGATTAACAGCCTCTTATACAGCCAGGATTAATCCATAACCCATGAGGTAAAGGCTTTTTTTGAGATAAAGGAAGTTTTGCCTCACACTAAAATGCCTCCCTTGCATCTTCCAGTACGTACGATAGTTAACATGGTGTAGCCAGATCTTGTGAGAAGGTTGCCCAGGTCTCTTACATCGTGAAAGGAGAGATGTGAGGGGCAAAACCCTGGAAGAAACAAGTGACTTTCACATGACTTATTTCATGGTCAAGTTCATTGTAAGTAAGAGTATGTCTTTCAGAATTACAATCCATAATTTTCTTATTCTACAAGTGAGATTATGGGTATGACCAAGATTTGTCAGTGGTCCAAATGGCAAGCACATAGAAAATACAAAGGCTTCCTTAGCCAGTCAACTGCCACTGTACTTGCCATTTATATAATTTTTTCAAATTTGTTACTACAAATTGGAAAATGCACAATTCTTCATACTTATGTGACTCAGACAGGTGACATGATGATCCTCTCTCTCTCTTGTCATGCAAGGTGGTGATATTTACCCCTTCCCGTTCTGTTTCTGCCAACTGCAGGGATACTCTCAGTTCAAACAGAGTGTCTCCTCCAAACATACTGCCAATAAACACCCCATCATCCTTCAGTGCATTGTGGACCTACACAGGACAAATATACAGAAACCACAACCAGGTGAAAACAGGCACTAAATGTGTATCAACAACTCATGTATACAATCTCTTTTTAGCTTCAACTGATAGGAATGACTCTCCGCAAACAAACGTTGTAACAGGTTACCTTGGAAACGCTTTCAAATATGCAAGATATATCGATGCATATTTTAATGTAGAAATTAAAAGTAAATCAACAGGGGAAAAAACAGAAAATTGAATTGTACGTAATATCCTTTGATCATTCAGGCATACATTTTTTGTGAACTACATAAGCACTGAGCGGAAAACATTGCTCCCATTGGCATGAGAACTGGGTTATGATATCTCATTGAAGTCCTGTTGCATTATCTAAAACCAGTGAAACAGGATAGGGGTATGAATGTCAAAGTGGGGAACAACAGGGAAGAAATTTTAGTATTGAAAATTTTAATATAAATTGTATATTTATGTACTTATCCTTTCTCACGATTTGCACTTCTCTATCTTGCTGCAACGCTGAGTGGAACAAATGAGAACTTTTCCTGTAGGCCTCTCTTGTCCATATGCCCGTGTTCCCCAGGCTGCTCTCTTTATAGGACAGGTCACTAGTCCCTGGCTAAGCGTGCAGCACGTTCCCCTGTCTACCCACATGACTACCTCAGAGTGATCATTCTCTTCTTGGAGCCAATGACAGTTATACGTAACCGTCGTAATCTGAGTAGAGGGGAGGCTGGGTGGGCATCCATCTCGTGAGATAGGATAAGTATATAAATATACAATTTATATTCAAATTTTCAAATTTTTAAACTTATCCTATCTCACGATTTGCTCTTATCCCATGGTTGGACGTCGGGTCACAGATTACCCTAAGTCAAAAGGCACTGACAGTATATACTGTATAGGCTAATGACAACCGTAGATAGCAATGAACAAGGGAGGCCGGATATGACTAGCATAGTACCTCTACTAGTGATGGGTTCTCCTGAACCCCTTGGCTTACTAGGCATCATCGCTCCCAAGGAGAGGGTGCTCCTGAGCAATGTGGCGTTCGGCCCCAGGATACGACTAGCATAGTACCTACACTAGTGATGGGTTCTCCTGAACCCCTTGGCTTACTTGGCATCATCGCTCCCAAGGAGAGGGTGCTCCTGAGCAATGTGGTGTTCAGCCGCAGGATCCGACTAGCATAGTACCTATACTAGTGATGTAGTGATGGGTTCTCCTGAACCCCTTGGTTTACTAAGCATTATCGCTCCTAAGGAGTGGGTGCTCCTGGTCATGATAACAGGTAGATCTTCGCTTGGAATATCAGAAGCAGTTGTTTCCACTCCGTAAGTGACGGGCGTTTGAGACGTGACAGGGCATCGGCAATGACATTCCTCATCCTGGGAATGTGTCGGGCTCTGGCCACTGTGTTGAGTGAATCATTCAGATGATGAATTCGAAACATCAACAGAGCTGCTGATCCTGTTGACCCCTGATGGTTTATGTACGAAATTACCATCGAAATGTCTGATTGAATCAGTATGCGTCGACGAACAGGTGGCACCATACAGCCTCCAACGCAAACATTCCACTTGTTGAGCCACCAACGAGTACTGAATGTAGTTGTGAGGGAAGACGAATCAACTCCCTGGGGTTGTCGTCCCGGATGTATGGGCACAGAAACATCTGAAGAGGACGCAGCTGCAGCTGGCCCCTGTAAGTCAGCGCTTGTGCCGACGTCAACCACCCTAGTAACTTCTGCCACTGGCGAAAAGTTGTGGATTGGACCAGCACTAGTGGTGCATTGCACTGAATCTTGTCCCACCTCTCCCCTTGGGCACAAACATCATGACCTGTCGTGTTGAATATTGTCCCAATAAAAAGAAATCACCGGGTCGGTGTTACCTCCGATTTCTCCGAATTCAGCAGCAATCCTAATTGCACGAGCAACTTGATGATGAACTGCCTGTGGAGAGGAAGGACGACTGGATCCTGCTGGGCTTGAACACAGCCTTCGATATAGTTCTCGAATGTCACGCCTCGACAATGCAGATAGCTTGTTATCGGATTGGGTATCTGAGTAAAAAGCCACGGGGCCGTACATATGCCAAACAGCAGGACCCTCCATTGGTATATCAATGACGCCTCTTGAAAGTAAATCCAAGATACTTCGGATAGTCTGGATGTATCGGGATAAAATCATCACCGTCCGACATGGGAATCTCCGGACGACGAGCAGTTAATACTGGTTATTGAAAACGGGGGTTTGTCGGGTGATCAACTGTTGAAGTGTAACGAGCTCTGTCTGCCAGCCAATGGGAGCAAGCATGTCTATATGCTCTAAAAACGTCCTTGATAAGGGAGCACATTCCCGACAACGTTTGCTCCAGGAACACAGGTCAATACAACCCACACATGACGAGTTGGGATCCGAGGAAGTAAATATTGTTACAGTGTGTGCAAAATTACTTAGGGTCAACTACCCATGATATATTTCTCATGTTAACTTGTAAGGAAAGCTGAGAACTCTCACAATACGTCCACACAGTGGTGCAACAAGAAGAAGAATGATCACTCTGAGGTAGTCATGTGGGTAGACAGGGGAACATGCTGCACGCTTAGCCGGGGACTAGGGACCTGTCTTATAAAGAGAGCAGCCTGGGGAACATGGGCGTATGGACAAGAGAGGCCTACAGAAAAAGTTCTCATTCGTTCCACTCAGCGTCGAAGCAAAAGAGAAAAGTGCAAATCGTGAGATAGGATAAGTTTAAAAATTTGACTTTTCTCAATTATTTTTCTTTTGTTTCTGTGAATATATTTTTAGATTACAAAAATGATTGAACCTGTGATCAAGAAAACAGAAACTGTACCAACCTGCCTAAAGCATCCAGGCAAGTCATTCACCCAGTGAAGGCTGCAACATCCATAATGAACACAAGCATCACCACCATGGCCTATATTTACTGAATATGATTTATTTTTATTTTTTGTTGTTTAACAGTAATAACACCGCTCTCAGCAATATTCCAGCTATATGGTGGCAGTCTGTAAATAATCAATTCTGGACCAGACCTGGACCAGATAAACATAAACACAATGAGCATCGATCTACACAATTCTTATATGATGACATGTGTCAACCAAGTCAGCGAGACTGACCACCTGATCAAGTTAGACACATTGCTGAAGACCAGTTCTTACCCTGATCTTCATGTGTTACTGGATATGAAACAGCAGCATACAGAATTCGCTGAATCAACAAAATGCAAATGATAAGCGTTCCTTTTGAATTTACTAGTCCATCACAAATACTGAGAGTGTGTGAATCTTGTCTCTAGCCACAAGACATGTACCGGTAAACCTAACAGTTGGGTTGCAGGACGATCATAATGTACCTGAGACTGCTGACAACAAGGTCAAGGGAGTTCTCTTTGAAAGGAAAATATTCTTCATCAGCAATAATTCGATGGGTGGGAACCTCAGGAGATAATTCACTTTGCATCTGCAATGAGAAAACACTAATTTAGTGATGACATAGAATGACATTCATACTTTAACTTTATACATATTTCTGTGGCAAAACGCTGTGATTTTTTCAACAGTCTGAAGCATAATAAATATTGTTTTCATTTTTTCAACCATGTTTGGGGCAAAATCTTTTCTGATAAAATCCCCCTCCCTTCCCTTTCGAGAATATCATATAGTTCCCAATTGATGCTCAGTGTTGTAAGTTTCACTCAATCCTTTTATTGATATTCAGTATCAGCATGTAAAGTACATTGTAAATGTTTTTTGTTACACTGTATGTTGCAGTATTCCAGCAATATCACAACAGCCTTTGTTGTAATAAAGACTGGGACTAACAAACCAGTGATAGATATCTTGGATTCAAACTCACAACCAAAAGATCCTTACACCAGAGAAACAAATCAAGAGATGCCATCTGCACCACCTCATCACAGAATTAACTGGTTGATTTTAGAATGATGTCACATTACAGTGTTACATAAAACAGCGTCCTATGGTCACTGAGTATATGAATCTAGCACCGCCTCGACTTTATAGAGTGATTACACGGTACCCTGGAAATTGTTAATTTCAAACACTGACTACTTACTGGCAATTGCTTTTATCATCCATAGGTTTAATTAAGTTAATATCTACCTACCAGTACCCTGTCTGCCATGTCACACTGGTATAATGTTCCAACCATGTCACTATAGATGTGCTTAGAGACATGTCCGCGGCCACAACCAAGATCCACAGCAACACCAAACTTTCTGTTGAGAAATACATGAACATTGAACACAATTAGACATGCTTGATGTCTAAAACAAAATCCTGAAGGTGAAATATCAGAGAATAGCCGAGAATTCTTTCTTGTCCCATGTTAACTGGTTGTTTGTTGACATAATGTATATTGTGTTGTATAGCCACTCATTTTTTCCATCATTAGTCAAAAGGATATTTGCAGTTGTCACTTTACCTTTTAACATCGCAAATTCTGTCAGCAACTCTGAATCCAATCTGCAAATGTAAAATGCAGGCAAGTTCTTTAAAGGGCATTTAGAAATGATGTCACAACATGTGTCAAAGATTTTGTTAACATCAACTTCTGATTTTGCTAAACTAAATGTTTTTAATGTGATCTAGCTGCACGGCTAAAATTATAAAAAATATACTCTATGATTCTTTAAATGGAAAGTGAAATATATTTGATCAATTCAGATGATATCAAACCCATCTGGCAACTTATTAAAATGTTTATCGGTGGCACTCTCAATCTCACTGTTAAACATTGGCGTGGCCAGCAAGCCCAATATAACCCCTGCACATGTTTATCCGTTCTTTGCTTTGGGAGTTTTGTCAAAGTGTAATAATATAATCGTTTTTCTGTATCAACATGAATAGCCATTGTCACTGTGAAGCCTTGTTGACTAATGTTGTAGTGAATTATTATCATTGTTAGATATCAGAGATGATACGAACCTCATCCTTCAAATACTCATAAACTTGATAATCTTTCATCAAAGCCGTTCTGTTTTTCTGTATGCGTTTCGCTTTCCTGTCAAAAACATTCATAGGACTATCAGACTGGCCAGCCATCCCTCTGCAAGACAATACACTGTTGAATTGCGACCACCATAGTTTCCATGAAGATCGAGCATGGGCAACTCGAGACCACGTTTGTGATGACAGCGATGTAGCTCTACCGAGGTGCACGCTCATTCTGAAATATTTTTATTCTGTTATCTGATGAACGTTAAAATTCCGCAATCATGTCTGACGGGGCCAAAACAAAGTTAGAAACAGGCAAAACATGAGTCGAAAGGGCATCTACTTCGACAAGAGGAAGTCGACACCAAACATACCGCAGAGAACTGAAGAGTACAGAAATTACCTCCCTTAGCTTACAGCGGGGAAAAGTTTAATTATGAAACGGCGGTACAAAACCTTTTTGTCAATGGTTTCGATATACTGGTTTATATAATTGATAACATATTATATGAAGTGGCTCATAATCTTCTTTGATTTTAATCCCATTTTCTGTTTCTATCACGGGCTGAATATGGCAGGGCCGTTTGATGAGGTTAAACATTTAATGTAAAACAGGTAAAAATATATAATGAATCAAATAGTATCGTCAAGGATTACCATAAAGAGTTCAGAAAAATCTGCTTATCGTAAATTATAATTTTACTGTTTATCGTACTCTCGTAAAAGTCGTACTCGCCTCTAACTATCAAATGAAACACGAAAACCAATCATGCAGTTGATCAGTGGTTGGTATTTGGAAAACACGAATTACATTAATGAAACGAAAGCAGGTCGAGATGCCCATATGTTTTAAAAACCAAAGTAACATGCATTCCATAGAGATGAATCGATCCGCATTTCAAATTCAGTTGGAGACTAATATTGAAGAGTGGGAGCACCTCTGTTGGAATTTAAGGCTGTTCTCACCGATCCATTTGCTGTTGTTAAATCACTTGATCGGTTTGTTGGTGACAGGCCTTCGTATTCAGTAACATGTAACTGTCATGAACATTTTTAGCGGATTGTTACGGAAGGAACACTTGCTGCAACATCCTTGCAGGATCAGCCGTCCCTGCTTTGGCCGAGGGTTCGTTTCCTGAATAGATTCACCTTGAAACTGTCACCACAATGCCAGTATGCATATATACGACGTGAAACCTGCACCACTATGCTCTCCTCCCTCATTAAATCGACATTCCCTAATAACACTCAAATAATGTTCCAGTGGCGCTATAAACCCCTCAAATTTCCAATGATAAAGTGAATGAAAACCAAAATATGGAATTTCTCAAAAAACATATTTTTATTGAATAATGACATCTAAAAAATACATAGCACTTGCACATTACGATTTCGGGTTACTGGTGAAATAAAACCGACTGGATGAATCTGCGTTGTTTCAATGCAGCCTCCGTGAATCACTGCTGCGTAAGTCATTTCAGTTTTTGAAAACAGTCTCCACACGCTTAACTCAACAATAGGACTCATGTTGTGGTTTCAGTGTCGGTTTCCTTTCAAGTACTTCTTCCCTAATGTGACCTTCACACAACCAAATCCAGCTCGGTGAAAGCCTAAGAAGTGGGGCTGCGTCTTCACCTCGAAGCTGTTCTTGCTGATGAGGACACGCGAAGCACGTAGATCTCCTTCATGGGATCCCCCTATGACATGCACCTGTCCCCGGTGTTGACAAATCTCAAAGTCCACACATCCGTCGAGCTCCGGCAGACTTGCCTTACAGATGAGTTTGCCATCTGTGAACTGCTGGAGGCCATATCTGGATACAAGATACACCTCGCCATCGATAGTGAGGGCCCGGATCTCAGTGGCGGGACTGGGGGTCGAGTGCAGAACACACGATTCATCTTTGGAGGTGTCGTAGTACTGGGTCTTTTTCACGTAGTTGCCGTACTGGTCAACACCGCCGAACATGTAGATCTTGTCGTGGATGACCGCGACTGCTGGCTTCTGTACAGGGATTTGTAGTATACCAGAACAGTTTCCCCAGACATCGCTGGACACGGAGAACTTGCTGATGGATGAGACCATTCCGCCGCACACACCCCTGGCGTCGAACCACAGACCCCCGACCAGATACAGGTGATCACCAACCACTGCTGAAGAGTGGGAACATCTCTGCTCAGGCAGGCTGTTCTCACTGATCCATCTGTTCTTGTCAAATCTCTGAAGACGTTTGCTGGTCAAAGTCCCGCCGCTGACAAAGATAGTGGATCCATGGGCACTTGTAGCGAAGTCGAAGCCGGGATCGTGAGGCAACGAGGCGAGTCTGTACCAGTGGTTAGACTGAAAACTATAGCCATGCACAGTCCGTGAGGTTGGGTAGGTCTGATGAAGCAAAACATTGGCGCGGATAAACTCCCGGGGATGTGTAGTCGTAGTCTGGGCGTTTGCTTGGTGTTGAACAGGACCCTGGTTCTGGTTGACGGTCGTCTGCGACGTGGTCTGTGATGTCACTGGTGTTGATGTTGCTGACGAACCATCCTGCTGTCGATGTTTTTCGACGTAACCGCCAATGACAATAATGATATCCTCCACGCCGGCTGATGTCCTTGGGACAGTCCTCGAGGACGAAAACTCTGCCCTCCTTCCTGGAAGAAGCTGATAGGCCTTGGCATTTTCAACTAGTTGCAGGCATAACTTGTTGCGGATGACGACGTCATTGGAGGCGATGCAGTGAAGGAGATAGTGAGGGTTGATGAAGGGGAGGCGGACACTTGCTAGCACTGTCGACAGATTGCCCTTTCTTGAAGATGGATTGTGCCTCAGCCATTTCATCACTGCATCGAACACGAACTCCTCACTTGGAACTTTGAGCTTATCTTCTCTTAGGATACCGCTTAGTTCATCCGCCTTCAGTGCTTTGAAAGATTCGGTACTAGCAACATCAACAAAGTTGGCCACGATATAGTCGAAGGCGAGAGTCTGAAGATCTGCCAACTTCTTAATCCTTGACGTTCTCCATACTTCAATGCTTGTCTCTGACGTCATGTGGTCGCCTAGGTAACGCTCACATTCGTGCTGCAGTCTTTCCATGCCGAGCTTCAAAGACGCAAACATGATATCAGCAGCGTTGTCTCCAGTCAGCACCACGTCTTCACCGTAGATGTAGTCCAGCAGGATGGTGAATATGTTCAGGTCGATGCCCCGGATGATCATCTTACCAGTGGAGTTCTCGGTGTCACCAAGCGCGGTCTTGAAGAAAGAGGACGCCGAGCACAGTACGAGGCGGTGACAGCGGTGGTCTTGACCCTTCACGACGACACTGATGTCACAGAATTTGCCGTCAGCACGTGCTCGCAGGACAGCAGAACTCAAGTCCAGGGCAAAGGACATGCGGCGTATCACTTTACGGTTCGCCTCCCTGAAGAAATAAATTGTGATTAAATTTCGAAACAATTAACACGCTTGATATGGATGTGCAACTTACACACGACGTTTCTGAGCTAATATTTACCCCTTCATCAGGTAAATGGATTCACCTGATAAATAATAAAGAAGCTGCACATCCATGCACATAAGTATGTTGTATTACCCTACTGTTAACTTCTAAATGCCTATCAAACATCTAATTAACAGTTAACGTGTTTGAGAGGTATTTAGAAGTTGGAACAATAAAGATGAACAACTTCTTTATTACAGCGAGAGCGTCGTTTTGGTGTAGGTTCTAAAACCGCCATCACTTGCTTGAAAACGGTGTTAGAACCTACACCAAACGTCGCTCTCACTGTAATAAAGAAGTTCCATATAACCATATATTGTTAATCCTTCAATTAACAGCTGTGATTGTGAACCTGAAATATTTTCCAAAAGTTTGGTACAAAAGTACTAGAATCTGTACTTTACTGAGAAAGTGTAATCCCAAATATAACATATGTTACAGTTTGGTAGTATTCCAAGTTCAGTTTAAAATAATTATTTTCTTATTACTATAACTTCATATACATTCAGTATAAATTTAATTTTTAAGAAATTAAAGAATTCAAAACATATGTTAAAATATTTGATACAAAAATTAAACCAATTTTGCTACATGGGGCAGAGGTTTGGGGGTTTTCTCGTTTGGAAGCATTGGAAAAGGTTCACTTGTAAGCTTGTCAAATAAGAGAAGGGCAGCTATTATATTATTCCATGAGAAAACAGATTGTGCAAATTATGTGCATTAAATGTAATTGAAGATGAGTTCCACTTTTTGCTGGTATGTCCTTACTACACTGATTTAAGGACAATATTACCATTCATACCCTACCATGTATACATTTAATTTGTTAATGAACTCCAATAATACAACTTATATTCGCTAACTTGGTTTGCATGTCCACCATAGAAAAATAGTTAATATGAAATTAGTGCTGCGTTCGTCTACTTACATTGTGAACTTTTCAGCTGCGAAAAATGACTGTCTTGGGGTGGCAGAAATTTGAAGCATATATATTGGTGTCAGAAACATGACGTGACTTAAAAGTCTGATCAAGGGATGTTTGTTCAAGCGAACCCCATTTACCTCTACTCCTGGCCCCAATCGTTGTGTTAACAGGCAATGGATATGCCCACCCTGCGAGAGCTTGTTAACGAGATGTGAAGACATTTTCACGGTCATTTGTGTTAGGTGTCCGTTGATTGTATTGTCACTGGTTGGGTGGAGACGAGGATGTGATGACAGTCACTTGACTTAATACGGAAAACATACTCCCTAATAAATAGGCTTTCATCTATAGATTAAAGGATTAGTCGCGCTTCATTATGGGATTTTAAATGGAGTTTTTAAATGAATTTCTCTGTTAACACACGTCTTATCTAATGAATTCAAATTCAGAGCCATCGGAAGCGCTCATGAAACAACAAACATCATCATCAGTATGTGTCATTGCGAATGTTAATAATAATAATTAGTCCATTTATATTGCGCTTAATCCACACCCACAGCCTGCCCATAGCGCAGACAAGATAGAATTTAGGTGTCACTTGTAAAACACAGAGAAAAGGTATGTCTTAAGATTTGCTTTAAACGTGTGACTTCTTTGAGTGGCATTTTAGAAGTTGGGAGATACAATATAGAATACTTTTTATGGATAAGAACGTTGTCATTCCTGCTTGGTACAAGAATCTGTATCCAAACGTCGCACTCACGAAATAAAAGAAGTTGTAACCCATAAAGTTTGTTCTATATAAAACGTGCGACTGTTGGGCTTGTTCTAATGTGAGCCGGTAACTCATTCGAGTTCATGGCGGCCGCAACTTGAAATGAGCGAAAACCATTCGATTTTCACTTCCATTTTGTAATGTGAAGTAAGTTTTCATCACTGGAGAGAAGCTGTCTGCATGGAAGATAGTAACCGGACAAAATCCCCAAAAAAAAAAAAAAGAGAAAAAAAGAAAGTGCATGGTACGACAAAATCCCCAAGGGAAAAACAGTCAAGAGTTTAAGAAACCCATTTATTTATTGTTCCATATTTCACTGACTGAGTTTGGTTTTACGCCATGCTTGAGAACGTTGGTGCTTTGCTCACAATACGTGCGGCAATATTTTGTATGCGTTGAAGACGGTTTAAGAGCTCACGAGGGATGTTTAAAAGGAGGCTATTATATTCTGGATAGAATGAGAATGTTGTCACCATAATATATATATTGGTATTGCACAGACGGGAGGGAGTTTTGGTGCAAATCGGTGCCATGAAACGGTCCAACTTTATCTGAGAAATTGTTGAAGCATACTTTGGAATACCTATTTTATATCTAATGTTCTAATTTTCAAGATCCAGAAACGTCACCATTTATAGAAAATTTCTTTGGCGACAACTGCCCGTTCAAACTTGTCTGAAATTGTCTTCTGCGTGGATATATTTTATGCAAGTCGTGCATGTCACGCTTTAATGTTATTGATAAACGCAACCATAATACTGTTTTCACACGCTCATCCCAATTGATGTGTCACCCTGTTTTATTATTAAACATGCTGTGATTCTACTGAAACGCGTGTGGTCATTTTATAATTCTTTTGTAAACAGTTGTTACTTTCTGTTACATTTTAAAAACATTTCACAAACTTTCATTTCAGTAATGTGGCTTTTGGGTCCGGACAAATGAAATACAACTGGAGACAAAAGCTGAAATGTGTCGCCCAATGTTGCACAGTTTATGCTCTTGAGGTATTGCCACCTCTGGGAAGGCTGACTCTCCGCTGTAGTACAACGTCCACGCTGGCAATTCAGGCCACTGGTTTGTTTAGTCCGGAATCGATAAAGTTGTAAAATTGCTGACAAGGATCCGCACACGCCCATGTTATAAGACAGTGAGTGTGGTTTTCGGGGTGGGGTGGTGGGAAAAGAAATTAGTTTCACACGTTACACATTGTGGGGGATCGAACCCTGTCTTCGGTGTGAAAAGCAAACTCTTTAACCACGAGTCTACCCCACCGTCCCTGTACAATGGTAAACTTAGGTTACTGTAGGAACACAGGGCATTTCACATAGTGCAGTTAGTTGTGCTTATACATTACTGTGTGATGGACTCAGACAACTTACCAGGAGCCCTGAGGAGGTACTACAAGCAGTTGTTGATAGGTGTGATGAGCTTGGTGTTCAACCAGACCCCTCTACTGTGAACAGGCCGCCATTAATGTTGTAGGTGTTGTCTTAGGTTCGGGTCTAGGACAAATGCCACCCGGACAAAAGCCACCTAGGACAAATGCCACCCAAACAAATACCACCCAAATAAAAACCACTAACACATTATCATGTTTCCCAGATGTATTTGCATGATAATTCATTTTCATTTACACACTTTCATTATTGCTTTCATTCTCATCCTTTTTCATTTTTCATTCACACTTTCAGTAATATTGCTTTCATACTCCTTCCTGCGATGAAACATATTCAACTTGGTTGTCCATATTGGAAGTGAAATGGTCAGTTTGTTAGTTATTTGCTTTATTTAACGGCGCACGCACAACTAAAGCCGTTGGCTTGTGACAATCCATATTCATGTAATGTACATATTTCATGAATAAAATATGTTTATATCACAACTAAGATATTTCAGCGACGGGGTAGTACACTTATTAAGAAATGAGGGGGAACAACAAATATATATTTTGAAAGAGTGGTGTTACTACCCAAAAAACCAACTGAGTATTAAGGGAACTGTACTCTTCTGTATATATTATTTACATACAATCGTTAAAATTAATCCTCCTTGCTTACATCTAATCATAACATCTCTTCTTACTGCTACTCCAACAGGCTAAGTAGATTTGTTAACCAAAGGTTTTATTCTATTTATAAATACACCGGTTAATGCCATTTAATACAACATTCAGACTGACTAGTTGTGAACCCAAACTCACAACTCTTCCCCAAGACTCCCCATGTGCTTAGTTAGCCTTACTTTCAAAACAATGCTATTATAACAGGCTTCTCACCAAATTCAAGGTAAAACTATTTCTTAAATCAAATTTTACATCCATTTACGTTAACATTTTGAAAAAGTCAACATTACTATGAAATCAAAATTTTACATCAAAATCAACTTTTTTATCAAAGTGAATTTTTGTTAAGAAACCAAATTATTCATCAAAGTCTATATAATTTTACAACAAAATGAACATTAAAGTCAATAAGGGTGGTAATTGTCCTCTCTGTAATGGTAAAATAACTGGGTGGCTTTTGTCCTAGGTGGCATTAGTCCGGGTGGTTCTTGTCCAGGTGGCTTTTGTCCTGCTCCCCTTAGGTTCGCATGTCAATACACATGGATGTTTCTATCACCTGACCCAGAGTACTTGACGTAAAGTGCAGTCTCTTGGTCTCGTCTCACACTACCGCGACAATGAAGATGCCAGATCGTAGGAAAGAGGAACGATAACTGTGATGCTTTCGCGGCTATCTACAGATCGGAAAGAGGTCAGCCCCAAAGAAGAAAACAAGACGTGCAAAAGCTCCTCCAAGAACGTCTTGGGGGTTTGTGCAGGAGTTATGTGGCTGGTGAGAAGACGCTCCCAGATTTCTTGCATGGCATTGGGCGCTGTATGCGAACTGATGTTTGATGAAATGATAAATGCTATGATCCAATAACATATCAAAATGTCAAAAATGTATGAATAAATGTATGCTCATTGCCATTGTAAAAAATTGTCAAATAAAAATAAATGTGCAATGAATGTAAAAAATGTGCTCAAAATATGTGCTATGTGCTCTTTGAACTTGTTGAATGTTGAGATATTGACAAATAAATAAATGGATATCTTAAACTCTTGACTGTTTTTCCTTGGGGAATTTTTCAGGGGGAATCTGTCCTACGATGCACTGGGGAGAGAGAGAAGAGGGAAAACATTTTTTTGTCCGGTTACCCACGAACATATACTAGGCACATAAAGAAACTGTGCATACACAAATTTAAAATCTAAATTTATCAAACCTGTGTAGACACATAAGGATTTAAACTCAGAGATTAGTGACATGTATCCAACATGCATGCACGTGCCACGTTCCGTGACGTCAGTGGGTTCGTCCTTGAGACGTGCAATACGTTGTTGCACGTGCATTCCGGGAAAGAGAAACAGAGCAAATGAATGCCACACAATACTGTCACTTTGGAAAGCTCAACCCCTGCCCTTGCGATCGTTCAAAAATTAAACGGCTATTGAAACGCATAGCATGCCAAGGCTCACGTCTGCACAACGCCATGAGGCCATTGGGATGGTCCGTGGGTGAATGTCTCAACGACAAGTGGCTGCACATTTCCACTGCCACCGGAACACCATTTCTGCACTGGTGAGACGCTACCAGAACACAAATGACGTCATCGATCGGCCACGTTCTGGACGTCCACGTGTAACAACGCCAAGACAGGACAGATGGATAAGGGTGACCCATCTTCGCCACAGGTTTCAGACTGCAGTAATGACTGCCCGAACCATCCCAGGACTTCGCCGTATCCACCCCAACACAGTTCGACAACGTTTACGTCATCACGGGATCAGACCACGACATCCCGCCATACGGCCTATCCTGACACAACGTCATCGACAAGCTCGCCGAATGTGGTGCCGAAATCATGTCCGCAGACCCTTGTTTTGGTGGAGAAATGTTGTTTTTACAGATGAGTCCAGGTTTAACATTTCCCATAGTGATGGACGTCAACGTGCCTATAGACGCGTGGGAGAACGTTATGCACAGGCCTGTGTCTTGGAGAGGAATCGCTTTGGTGGTGGTTCCGTGATGATTTGGGGTGGAATAACAGCACGCCAAAGAACTCCTTTGGTGATTGTTCAGGGCAACTTAACTGGTGTGGGCTACAGGGATCAGATTCTTCGACCTGTGGCAATTCCTTTTCTGCAACGTCATGGCCCTGGGTTAACATTCCAACAGGACAATGCCCGCCCTCATACGGCAAGGGTTGCTATGGATTTCTTGCAACACCACAACGTTGACTCACTGCCTTGGCCTGCAAATTCACCGTATCTCTCCCCGATAGAGCATGTTTGGGACGAGATGGATTGACGTCTACGCCGTCTTCCTCATCCGCCAGATAACGTCCTTGACCTTGCAACAGAACTTGAGAGAATCTGGCGTGACATCCCACAAGCCGTCCTTGCATCTTTGATAGGCTCTATGCATCGTCGATGCACTGCTGTTCTCAATGGCGATGGTGGACATACCCGTTATTGAGCTTGTGACATGGTCGTTTGACCCCTGTCCCGCTTGTGGACTCGTGACGTCATTGTGATTGACTTTTCAATTGAAGTTCTCCCGACTTATGGTCTCATGATCCCTCCATTACAGTTTCTATGCACCTTTGACATTGTTATCGTACTTATCAACTGGGATAATATTTTGACAATGCACAGTTTCTTTATGTGGCTAGTATATATTGTCCATGATCGTTGCCAAGAGAAATCACGGATACATTCGGTGTCTGATAGTAAGACGTCTGTCGAGACACTGCATTGATGTTTATATATTTGCTGTCTTGTGTCATGGGGTGAAGTTTGTGCCTCTGATGTAATGCCACATTTCTTGGAGGGTATGTGAGGAAATACCAGTGCTAGATCTGAATAAAGACTACAAGCTTTCTGCCATGCCTGTGCAATTTAGACTGAAGGGTTATCTGTCCATATCTGTTGTTCAAGGGACAACAGACTGCTTGTGCATGAATTCCATGTCCATACTGGCACTATGGCGGAGATCGGTGGTCAAGGTCAATGAGATTTCGAAGGTCAAGTTAATATCCGGACTTATCTAGGGACAAAGAGGATTGTCTTTGTTCACAGTGTTTTGGCCTAACCTTAACAGTTAGAGATTTTGTATGGAGATACCACAATAAACACTATTCAAATTTTAATATTTTATTGTGAATCTGTAGCTCTGGGAAGTCCATGAATGGCTGAATTGGGTGGCCTTGACCTTGATTTTCCAGGTCACTGGAAGATCTTTTACCTTTTGATAGTGAAATGTCCAGGGATAAATTTTCACTTGTTATGCTTGAAGATCATTTTAGAGAGCATACATACCTCATTTAACTGCAATTATCTTTACCATTTCCTCTGAAATGGACTCGAGTTTGACATTTATACTTGATGATGAATATTTCTCAATAGAAAGACAATGAGAATATGATCAGACATTCCAGATCCTGTTTTTTTGTGTGTTGAAAGACATGTTAAACCCACGCTCACAAATTATTCAGTCCTGCTTCTATTCAGGGACCACAATTGTGGTAATTAAAATTCCATGTCAAAGTAAGTGCATCCTTCAAACACACTTGAGATAATGCCAGAATCAAATGCAAAAAGACACCAACTAAAATAACTGGGACACTTATCATGAACCAGTATTTATCTAAACACAATTTTAAGTACACAACTGCAATGTCCAAATACATATTAATAAGAAACATATATACTTTGGCCACAGTTAAAATAAAATGTTTAAAACATAACAAATTCACACCAATTTATTGGTCACACAATTAATGAAAAATCACATTAACAAGTTCAGATTGTTTGCTCTGCAAAATATACTTGACATCAGAACTGTCATCATGATCATGGACGAACACGTGTTTATTAAGTAATCAATGTATATGATAATGTTAACAATTTACAATTAGATACTAAGTAGTTTGGATTTCACACAAGAAACATCACGGAACACCAAGCATTCAGCACAGAACAATAAGCACCATATAAAAAGTTTGAAACTCAGAGATGGACACTAATCACTGGCAAGCGTCAATGTCCTATTCTGAAACAAAACCTGCAAACAAGTGTTTCAGTCAATCATAGCATCAAAGAATCATATGGACAGTCAGTCACATATATTATGACATACATGGTCTGCTTTAAGTATTTCCGTGTAGGCAATATCAAAACATCTTAAGTAGGCAACATTTAAAGCAAATATTACAAAATTGTCTTGTAAAGTTTCTAAAATATTTCTCTTCATAAGCAAAATATTAAAAATCTGAATGTTGGGGTTTGCCTGTAAAAAGTCTGCTTTTAACATCAGTTCAATAAATTATAAAAGATTGAACTCCCTACATGCTGATCCATTGAAGGATGTAAACCAGAAGTGATGCAGTTCCATAAACATGCAACTTAGCACAGAGAATTAAGGGTGCAATAGATGACTAGACTTCTTTATGTTTCTTGATAAGAGAATGTCTGATGACTCAGTTATTTTGAAACTAAAGCTTATGAGATGTTTTTCATTACATACTCATATAATGACTAGTCTTAATGTATTTACTTTCTTAAGCGGCATGTTATATTTGAAAGATGGTAAAAACACAGACATATGCCAGAGCTCCAGGATACTGAGTATAAACAATCATCTGCATGTTAATATTTTTCAAGTAATCCAAAGCAACAGTATCTTCAGTATGGCATCTTGATCACATGGACATGGACACAAGTCTTGTTCTGTTCTGTATTCATGTTCTGGTCATATTATTTGGACTGAGGATTTCTATCCAGTAGCCATCCGGGTCTTGAATAAAAGCAAGTCCTTTCATTTTACCTGAAAACATAATGCATACAGTGAGTGACACTGTAATGTTCTGGGTCCAGATCCACAACGTGTTGGTAGCATTATGAGCTATCATAAATCTATACTATATCACTGGCTTACAAATGATATTGGTTCTTGAATGCTGTGTGGATGGGGGTCCCTGAGGAGAGGGTATACAGACAAAAGTAGGAATAAGTTCTGATATCACACATGCTGTATACCATATATATGTACCGGGACTGGAACAGCTTTGATATAGAAAGGTCTAGAAGAAACGGGTGGGGTGGGAGGTTTAGTTGCACAGTCCATTTTCACCCGCTTGATTGCGAGAGTTTCAATGGTCATTTAATAAACTTTCAGGACAAAAACCTCTGAAAAAAGGAAATACAGGACATGACGGTACAGCTTTTATAGAAAGGCAACCCACCCACCCCACCCCTCTGGATCTTTCAGGACTATGACTTACATAGACAACAAGCAATTGAACATATAATGTGTAGCAGAGAAATATTTAACCAACTGTATCTAAACAATGAACAAAGAGGGCTCAGGAGTCAGATAGTTTGTAGTGAGTGAGTTTAGTTTTACGCCGCACTCAGCAATATTCCAGCTATATGGCGGCGGTCTGTAGATAATTGAGTCTGGACCAGACAATCCAGTGATCAACAGCATGAGCATCGATCTGCGCAATTGGGAACCGATGACATGTGTCAACCAAGTCAGCGAACCTGACCACCCGATCCCATTAGTCGCCTCTTACGACAAGCATAGTCGCCTTTTGTGGCAAGCATGGGTTGTTGAAGACCTATTGTACCCCGGATCTTCACGGGTCAGATAGTTTGTAGACAAGTCCTGCTTAACTAAACAGATATAGTGACTCATTGAGCTATTGCACCACTTTTAGTAGAACAATTTTTTAAGTTAATACCAGTGTGTCCTCCCAGGAATCAGGATTATGCACTGTGTAATAGTGAAGACTCACAATTGTATCTGTGGTGTGTCTAGTAAACACTCCTTAGTCATCATGCTACTATCATCGAACACAACAGACCTTTCTGATCTTATTTAACTCTTTCAATTCTGCTGATAATATATGATAAATTGAAATTTAATAAGTGTTTTCAGACATTGTGAAATGTGATAGATTTAATATATGAATCATAAGTCAGGTAGGTTCCTAAAATTATGTCTCATTTTGACGTGACTACTGCCTGGCCGATTAATCGGCCTCCGGTGTCTGGGGACTCATAACGTTGTGGCCGATTATTCGGCCTGGCGTGTTGAATGGGTTAATCTATTTCTGTGTCTCTTCAGTTACTGTCAAGCCGACTGTTGAGCAGCTGTTTTGAGTTTTTGGTCCATCACAATCTTCAATGCTGCATAAGTTAAAGTTTGGGTGACATGAGTGAGTGAGTGAGTTTAGTATTACGCTGCACTCAGAAATATACCACTTATATGGTGGCGGTCTGTAAATAATCAAGTCTGGACCAGACAATCCAGCATGACCATCAACTGTGCAATTGGGATACGATGACGTGTCAACCAAGTCAGCTAGCCTGACCACCTGATCCTGGTAGTTGCCTCTTACGACAAGCATGGGTAACTGAAGATAAATTGTAACCCGGATCTTTACGAGTTTGTGTGACATGTAATGCTATACTAAGATCAGACACAGTTGTGTACCTCCATCGGGAGTCTTGATGAAGGTGACGCCTAGCTGTTCAAATCTCTCAGAGGCCTTGTAAACATCTGGTACAGATATCCCAATGTGACCTGGAAACATACATGAGTGAGTGAGTGAGAGTGAGTGAGTGAGTGAGTGAGTGAGTGAGTGAGTGAGTGAGTGAGTGAGAGTGAGTGAGTTAGTGAACACACAATATTGTAAATTCGCACTCACTTATTGTTCAGGAAACAAGTGATTGTCACAACATTAATATGATATTCTGAGAGGTACTCAGCTGGTATATACAGTGAAGTAAAACTCACAGACACACATATTTAATAAAACAATAGTACTCAGAAATGGTGAGACATCATCAAATTGGCCTCACACATTGTATCTATGATGAATGAATGCTTTAACAGTAAGGTTACGCTACTGTCCAGTAGTGGTGGTCCGATTAATTGAAATAATCGAAGATTGGTCGCAATGACAAAACGACCAATCAATCGATCGTGTTTTCTCATAGTGGAACACAAACAATTTTGGAACACTTGTTTGCAATAACGATATTTTTCACAAGGTTGTTTTTTTCTGTTACATTTCATTAGCACTACAAGCTCTTCCAATTCATGATTGAATTTATTTTAAAGACTCCATGAAGTTCATGTTCCTAATATACTAGTCATCCTTTAAAGATGTGAAATTTGCAAATGCATTTTGTGCAATTTGCGAAAAAACGAAAGAACTACATGTTTTTTTCTTCATTTTTTGTGCATTAACAAACATAACCAGAAAAATTTAATAAATGACGCTTACCAATTATTTTCGATGATTGATCAGTTGTAATGAACCAATCATCAATTATGAGATTTAAACCAATTCCCAACACTACTGCCCAGTATAAACTGTATAGAGATGTACATACCAAAACCTCTTGGATCTTTGTTTCCATTGTGGTAGCTCATGTCTTCATTCTCTGTACCCCAGTTGCTGGAGGAGGAGAAATTGGTTCGTGTAAAGGCAAATGGTCATATAAAGGTAAAAGCGGGCAAAATGTGTCTGTTGACCTGACATACAGCAGGTCCCAGAGGGTTGGTTACAATATGAGGGATATAATTCCTTTGACCATTGGATCATTCGTGCATCACAGTGACATCCTGATACAGGGGTGGAAATAACCCATTGCCCGACGTCCGAGTCCAGTGATTTTTTCTGTCGGGCAAGTATATCACACTGTACCGGTGTCCAGTTGACTTTCCAATGTTAATTATGCTGTTTATGTAAAAAATCAGCAAGAAAAAGGTTGGTATAGTGGTAAAAATATCAGGGCAAGTGACTTTACATGTGCCACTGTACCGGAGTACACTATCAATTTTTTACAAAGTTATTTCCACCCCTGTGATAGTGAGTGAGCACAGTTTAATGCTACTTTCAGCAACACTGATCAACAGCATGAGATCAATCTACGTAATTATGATACGATGACATGTGTCAACCAAGTCTGCAAGCCTGTCCACTCGATCCCATTAGTCGCCTCTCGGGACAAGCATGGGTTGCTGAAGATCAATTCTAACCCGGATCTTCACGAGTGCAGGCTATCATGGTACACAGCACAGCACTCTCACTGAGTGAAAACAGACAGTACCATAGATCTTCACGAGTGCAGGCTATCATGGTACACAGCACAGCACTCTCACTGAGTGAAAACAGACAGTACCATGCAGGCTACCATGGTACACAGCACAGCACTCTCACTGAGTGAAAACAGACAGTACCATGCAGGCTACCATGGTACACAGCACAGCACTCTCACTGAGTGAAAACAGACAGTACCATGCAGGCTACCATGGTACACAGCACAGCACTCTCACTGAGTGAAAACAGACAGTACCATGCAGGCTACCATGGTACACAGCACAGCACTCTCACTGAGTGAAAACAGACAGTACCATATATCAAAACAAAAATGGCATAACCACTTCTTCGTAGTGTTTCCATATATATTTCCAAATTTTCTTCCTCAGTACATAGTACATTTTCCCTATTTGTTTTCCTCAGTATATATTTTACCATACTAAAGTACATCTGTGTGTAAAGACCTGTTCCAACACTGACGTAAACAGCCCAACCAATGGCTGATTATCATAGAGATTGCATCCATCTACACCTGCAGGTGTGTTTTTCATTAAATCAACATAATAATTGGAACTCACTGTGTTAGTTCCAGGGTAGCCTTCTGTCTGAAACAGTAGAGACTTTTCTCCTCCTCATCATCCGGTATGTTCTCTGGCAGGTCGTACCCCAAGAAGTATACGGTAAACTTCATGGACGGCATGTCCAACCGCTTTAGCAGCCTGTAACAGTTTCATCTCTGTGAATTTGTAATGTTGTGACAGTATACAAGTTTGTTGTTGAACGCCGCACTCGGCAAAATTCAAGCTACATGGCGGTGGAGGCAACGACATTTAATAGCGCGTCCACAGGGATGCAGATAAAGTCCAAATATATTTTGTAAGATTTCAATCAAGTAACAAAAAGTTATCACTGAGTTTGCTACTATCTGGGTTATGGTATCATTTGCAATTTAATTGCTGTAACAATGTGATGATCATGATACACATCATAACAACATTAACTGAATTACGACAATATTACCACATAGTATTAATAATAATATTTAAGTGTCAGGGACCCCCATTTTGCAGTCCAGGACCCCTGAAAATTAAGAGTATGAGTCCCAGGGACCCTCAAATACAGGACTCAAAGAAAATCCCTATCTATGGATTGGGATACAATGACATGTGTCAACCAAGTCAGCAAGCTTCACCTCTTACGACAAGCATGGGTTGATGAAGACCAATCCTAACCCAGACATTCATGGGTAGATAGTATACAAGGACACTTGAGGATGTTCAATTAAATATCTACAATGAGTTGACATCAGAGAAAAACAGCATCATTTCAATTTCATAATTTTTATATTATTGTCAAACCACATTCATATATAATTTCTAAACTTTAAAAGAATGGGATATTGGGCATGTTGGGAGATAATTAGTCAAAAAGAATTTTAAAGTAGCATGAAATTGATAAACTGAAGGTTAATGTAGTGATCCCTTGACTGCAGCTAGACATTGCACAACATCTTACCTCATCCCAAGAATTCTTGTGTAAAAATCCAAAGACACTTTTGGGTCCTTGACTCTCAGCATAGTTTGTTGAAAGATAAAATCCTGCAAAACATACATAAAAGGACACAAAACGATCATGTTTGATTTAAGACTTTCAAACACTGAACTGGTTGACTAAATCATACTCAGTATTATTATCCTAATTACAAAATCACTAAACGTCTAAGCTTCACTCACCATACTATACTAATTACCCTTGCCCTTGACTGGAATTGAGCACCAGTTACCGTTGTGGGTGAATGAATTTAAGCAATATCACAGAATATACCAGAAACGGGCTTCATACATTGTACCCATATAGGGAATCAAACCATAGTATTTGGCATGAAGAGCAAACATTTTAACCACTAGGCTAACCCACCGTTCCAGTTATCCTTGTAATGACTCTAGAAACTTCGATGCTTTTGACATTGATCACTGGATTGTCTGGTCCACAGATGATTAATTAATTACTGCCACCATATAGATGGAATATTTCTGAGTGCAGCATTAAACAACAAACAAGCACACTCTGAAACAACTGCAGATATGTTTATTGATCACCTGGCCCCTACTACTGTCAATGATTGTTTAATGATTGATGAATAACAAAGTTGTTTAACAAATGATCATTATTTTGTCGTCTCTTTTCGGCTATTTTTTATGAGGGGTGACCACTTGCTGGTAGAACAGCCAGGTGATCAATAAGCATGTGCAGTGAACTTTCAATTTCACACATACAACTCGCACACCTGGCTGTTCTACCAGCAAGTGGTCCTCCCTCATAAGAAACAGCGAAAAGTGACAACAAAATAATGATCGTTTGTTAAACAACTTTTTTCCTACACTCCACTCAGTACTACAAACAACACAACAGTTATATAGTTGGACTCTATTATCGCTGGTTCTCTATTATCGCGGCACGCGAAAACATCAGGAAAGCAGAAACACCACGCTCCGCATCGGCTGTTTACATGTGCAAATTACGTAAATATATTCATCGCTCTTGAAAAAGTCATTTATTTCATTGGAATGTCATGTCTAATCGTAGAAATATTAAAGCATTCATCTTTTCAGTAAGTTCTAGAACATTTTGAATCTAGTATGACCCCTACTGCCGTTACATCTTGCATGAATCAAAACTTACTTCGTCAAGAGTAATCCTGCAACAACTATAAGGTCATTTGCAAATTTTCCGTGATAAAAATATAACAGGAAGTGACGTATTATGCAACTTCACTCTACACACGGCAGCAACTTGTATGGTACGTTTTAAGGTGGACGTTATTGTTACCTTGTATCCAAATGAATAGATCTAGATGTTTGGGTTAAAAACATGATGTTATTACTAATGTGAATGAAATTGCTAAATATTTTTTAATGATCAAACTATTTAGATTCATTACTTGTCTTAGTAAACGTTTCACAGTGTCATCTGCTTGTACAGTGTGCCATAGTAAGAAAATAGCAATACCACGATAATAGAGAGTGACTTCAATTTCCGGGTCAAACGAGACAATCGGAATTGCCGCAATCGTATTAAACGAGTTGTGACTATGTGTCACATTATTTGTGACAGTAATGAAGATTAAACATCAGTCAACTGAAAATATATATAAAATGCTAAATGTCAGTAGCCGTTTATAATCCCGATGGCGACAACATTAACTACCGCACACCTCGATAATAGAGGGTCCCATGATATGGTATGTCATGTGCGGTGCACTCTTGAGAAAGTGAAATTTCAATTTCACACATACAACTCGCACACCTGGCTGTTCTACCAGCCAGTGGTCCTCCCTCATAAGAAACAGCGAATTGACAACAAAATAATGATCGTTTGTTAAACAACTTTTATATTCGGGTGTCCAAAATTATGAGACAAATCATAAGAGTTGGTCTGTCGATTTCATGTGACTGTGCAAAGTTTGATTTTGTTGCATTTATTAGATTTTGTGTTAGTGAGCAATTCATCGGCCTCAAATGAAGTCAAACGGACTATAAAACAGGTGATTAAGTTGTTGCGGCCTGAAGTGCAGGCTGGTACTTCGGAGTTATGTCCCCTTATGAAGACACCCTAACTCCGCTTATATTCCCAGCCAAATTCCTTTGACAATGGGTCAGTGTCATATGGACCTAAACTGTTATTTTAATACTAAGATGTTACTTTAGTTAATGGGTCGGGTTCCTTGATCGCAGCTGCCATGTCTTCTTGTGATAAAGCCATACTCGCAACTTCTCAGTTTCCAGTCACGTTCGTATATTCGTCTCAACTCGGGAAATGGCGGAAAGAGCCGAACCGTATCGACTTTTGGTTGAAAATGTATTGTCTGGGTCAGCTGTCATTTATATCATTTTAACTTGTCAATGTATTTTCAAATCCAAAACAATACCTTACATTATATTTGGAGTATGTTCTCAATATTACCATGCCAAATTCTTGTTTGCGACATTCAGGCTTCCGTTACGGAAACAGCAATGGCGGGCTTTCCAAAGAGTTTTGTTTATTATGATTTCCTTTAAGATTTTACTTGGACAGTATTGATGTGAGTATCTAAATACCAGTTTCTACCGAAACTTTAAGTATTATTATGTGAAATGATAATTATTTAGTTAACGATCATACTGTGCAAGATGGATAATTTTACCGTTACGTGGAGTTACTATAATATGACAACAGTTTATCAAACTTTGAAATCTGAAATGTAAAGTAGTGTTTTTAACAAACCATCATTTTCACCAAATAGATTCTTATTTGTGACACAATTTTTCCAGAGTAAATGTTGTTGATACATTTATTTGCACGCCTTTATTGTATTTGCAATCACTAACTTTGGAATGGTTCGTCCAAAAGACAGTGCTGATCGCGATGTTTGGTCATTATTTTTCGTTCTCAAACAAGACAAATCTTGCTAATATGATTCTGCTTACCATGAATTGTTTCAGATTTATTTGTATTTGATGAATTATATTATGGTGTCTATCTACTGGTTTATTGTTTTGGTGGATTTTATCCCATGAAACTTTACATTTGTTTGTTAGAATTCCTACAAATGTATCACATGTGCATATATATGCAAAATGTATGTATTGTAAACATGCCCTCATGATATGTGCTGAAACCTACACACATGAATACAAATGACAGATCCTGAGTCATTCTTATAGTAGGGTTGCAGTAGAATGCATGAAAGTCAGTATGGTTGCAGTACAATTCATGAAAGTTGAAACATGATAAAACTCAGCCACTGAATTATAACTAATATAAGACTGAAAGTGTCATTGTCGACACAGGTACTACAAATGTGTATGCAGGTACATGTTCATGTACAGAAATGTACCCCGAACAAAATCTAAATAAAGAAATGTATCTGGTACCCTAAATGGCAGACGAGTCAATATTCAGCAACCCCAAACCAAAATCGTATGTAGTTATTCCAGTTCAACTGATTGTAAGTGGTCTTGATTATCGTGAAATATTTGTTACTGTGTATGTTCGTTTCTTATGTAATGCAATCAAATGTATCTAATACAACAGTTTGACCATTTGGATCAAGAAAATGGCACAATACTGAATAGACCCATCCTAGGGTACATTTCTGTATTCAGATTTTGGTTATGGTACGTTTCTGTACACAGAGTACATATCTGTAGTACCTGTGCTGACAACGATGCCATCTGCAATAATAAGGAAGTCTTTTTCTTGATATTCTCACCCCTGGGATCTGAATTAACGTAATGTATTTTGTAATATCGAAATGATCAGCAATGTTTTTAAACATTTTTGAACCATTGACCAAAGTTGATCTTTATCATGTTTGAGATCATAATATGGTTTGTATAGTTTCTAAATCTTTGAAAAAAGAAGTAAGAATCTCATTCTACATAGTTCAATATGTTCAAAACTACAAAACATAATTATATAAAATAAACAAAGCAGGGATTTACCTTGAGTCCTGTATTTGAGGGCCCTGGGACTCACTTCTCTTAATTTTCAAGGGTCCTGGACAACAAAATGGGGTCCCAGACACTTAGATATTATTATTAGGCCAAATAAACATAATGTTGTTTCGATTACACCTATTAAAAATTTAGGGTAGGTAGTTCAGATTATTATTTTTTTACATATTTTATTTTAGAAGTAAAGTACAAACTAATAACACATTTATTAATGTGTAATTGTTTATTCAATCAAGCTTGTGACCATCATATCGACTTTTTCTATCAGAATGACAGATATCTGTTGGTGCGGGGAAAAAACAATGGTATCAGAAAGTTTATTGTATTCATTCCGCTTAAAAAAATAAGGTCGGCACCAGAATTCAAGGGTCAGTCGGGTAATCGGAACCACAACATATTTTTTAGGTCTTAATACTGTTATTGTATTGTGTATCATGATCATCACATTGTTACAGTAATTAAATTGCAAATAATACCATAACCCAGCTCGTAGCAAACTCAGTGATAACTTATTGTAACTTGATTGGAATTTTTATAAAAAGTATTTGGACTTTTTCTGAGTCCCTGTGGATGCGCTATTAAGCGGCTAATAAATTTTGTAGCGTCCAATGTCAATTTTTATGTGTATAGGATGCAGGAAGTCGCGTCCTGTAAATCCCTGACAAGGTAAGTAAGCTGAAGTACTGGAGATTAATATTTAGATAAGTCATGAAAGTAACATCAACACTTACTTGCAGAATATTGGTCGATTATAGACCACCATCTGTGACAGTAAATTTCATGATTATATCTATTAATATAGGAATAAAGGTTTTCAACACAATTTTGATCCTTTACAGATGAGTTCCAGACTTAATCCTACAGAGTGTCAATCTGCTTTTGAAGAACTGTACAAGAGCTCCCCAGCTCCTATAGTAAGTTGTCACATGATTCAGTAGTCTTGAAGTTCAACATAGAAACTGTCAACATGGTTATGTTCAGCATATTGTATAACTTCGGCCCATTTGCACAAAACAATACTAGTGGGACAACTTTTGTAAATTCTTAACATATTGGAACATTATCATCTTAATTGCCGTTGACTTGCATAAACAACTCTGTTAGATGTAATCAAATTTGCAATTGATCCTGACCAAACTTAAGTAGCTTCAAGTATCATTGCAACCCCTTCATATCCTTGACCATGTTGACAAAAGGTATTTGAGAAATGGTCAGTTTGAAGTAAATGATCTGCTGTATGTTCAAACATTGACATTTCATTTTGTTAACCTGGGCGATTCAGTTTGACAATTCCAAAACACGAAGAACACATCACCGTAGCCTTAACCCTTGTAGCTTTTTCCTACATCATACAACTGCGGACTGCGGACTTTGTGTACCCCTCTGATAAGAAAGTGTAATCCCAAATATAACATATGTTACATTTGACCACTTTCTAAAATGGCATTGTGTATTTTCATAGCTTTCGGCCGTGGGAGCCGTGCCAATTAACACTTATCAGAGGGGTACACAAAGTCCGCAGTCTAGACTACCAGTTGTCCGAGTTCCATATTTATGGAAGTTGCAGTGGCTGAGCGGTCTAGGCATCTGACTTTGTGTGCTGGCGATTAGGTGCCTGACTCTGTGGGTGTGGGTTCGAATCCCATATGGGACTCAACCCAAAAAGTACTAGAATCTGTACTTTACTAAGAAAGTGTAATCCCAAATATAACATATGTTATAAATGTTAAAATGGTTTAAAATTAGAAATGAAAGTTTGTCCGAGTGTTAATCATGATGCCCTGTAAACATGTCAAAGGAAGACTGTTAAGGTTGTTTAGATCATGTATATTAACATACCATAACAATAATAGAAAACCTATTGTAAACCCCTAAACATTTTCAGGTTGCATATTACTTATATAAAGTAATGTAAAGATGGTAGAAAAAGAATGACACAATAACACCAATTTTACATGATTCTTTCTTTGAGGCCTTGATGAAGACAATTATTTTCTTCCCCTAACCCAAATCAAGAAATATTTGTCTTTAATATTACAATACCATCAACTCATTCATGTCATGTGCTTTCTCCTCACATAACTGTAAAATGTTTGTTGAGCTCTTATAGCATGGTATCTTTAAACCATTATGGTCAATCAATATGTTCAAAGTAAATGTATCTTATAGATTTGTATGAATTTGTTGTGCGGTATACACACTCTGTGAAAGAAATATTAACAGTGTATTATCAAGCTATTATTTACTACCAATAAGGTTTGCAAATACTCTGATGTCCATTCAAATATTTCAGATATCATGATAGCACATAAACATTCTTGCATTTTAGGTTTTGAGGTCCACGAGTTTCAACAATGGCAACAAGTCTGTGTTCATAAGTCCCAAACCCCTGTGTCACCAACTCATAAGTCCACGGCCAATCGTCACCTCTACATCAGGGCCGAGGGGAGAACTGAAGGCCCAGGTATTCGAGTCCCTCAAGAAACCCAGTGATGCAAGGACTGGTGATAATGTCATTCCATCGGGTTGCAACACAAAGCACGCAATGACAGAGGGAGGGGAGGGACATAGTACAGTGTCATCACATGGGAAACATGAGGCTGGTATTGGTACAACCACGCCCACCCAGCCGGACACTTCCACAGCTGATGTCATGCCGGCTCTGAAGGATACTACACAAAGGGACATTGGTAAGAAGGGGAAACAGTAGCCATGACAGTTTCTTTAGCATGTTTACATGTTGTTGCATGTACACTCATTGAATATTTATGTGGAAAATATGTAAGATAGATTTTGATGAAGACGCTATTCAATTGCATGGTTAAGCCTATGCTTGACATTGTCGTATAATGTGGAGTACTTTAGGATCAGGCCCCATCTGTTAGATATCTCATACTTAGTCAACTAAGGGGCAAATACTTGCTCTAATTGATTTAGAATCAATGTCGATTGTGGTTAATAATGTAAAGATATTTAAACACGCCCATGAAATGTTAAGAAACAAACACATTACAAGCTTCAAGAAGTGAAATGCTTTTAATGGGTTTTGTGTACATCTTGTGTTCTTGACAATACAGTCGAACACCGTTGTCTCAATATTCATGGGACCAAGAAAAAATATCGAGTTATCCGAACTTTGAGACATCCGACCAGGGCATATCATCACATATCACTATGAAAGGAAACAAAAAAGTAGATTTCATGTATATTTATTTGTATATACATATTTTTAACTTATCCTATCTCACGACTTGCCCCTCTCTCTCTTGCTTCGACTTTTAGTGGAACGACTGTAAACTTTTTTCCATAGGCCTCCTTGTCCATTCGCCTGGGCATTCCATGCTGCTCTCCTTAATTAGCTTCCTAGTTCCTAATAAAGCTTGCAGCATGCTCCACTAATTGCCCACGTGACTACCTTGAATGATCATTCTCTTTCTTGTCGCACGACTGTGTGGACGTGCTGTATATTAGGGACATTATTTCACCCTAACATCATGGGGAAAACTGATAATCAGTCAAGGAAAGGGAAAGTTTGTGCTCAATGCAAGACGAATTATTCGTCCCTCGACCCTCACTCGTCTTGCAGTGACTGTATTGGACAATGTAACTGGAACAAACGATGTGGCAAGTGTAATTCACTAAAAGATGAGGATTTTAAGGCCTACCTTCGTGTTTGCTCCCGGAGAATCGCCCGATAGGGACAGGAAATCAACAGAATCTGATCCCACTCCGCCAAGCGTATCAAGTTACAGCGACAGAAAATCGTACCTTCACGCGCAAAAGGCGGCGTCTGTGGTTCAAGAGGATTTTATGGGCGCTTTCATCAGATTCTTACTTATCTGAGGACGTTAGGCACCTATTACGTGCATGCGCATCAATCACCTCCTTCCATAGCGTCAGATCACTTTCGGGTGGTTGTGATCGACAATTCTTCGTTGCCTGTCCCATCTACACTACCAGGGACCTTAGATCGACACTATCATCATCCAGATCATCGGTACATATCCCTCGACTGTCTCAGTTTGTTTGGAGCCTGGCCAACCGTGTTCAACCAGCCAACTGTCTCCCCACAGTTCATTGAACCGGACGGAGCTGGCTACAACAGCGTCGCCGAGGATGTTCATCATCATGAATCAACACTTCAGGTTTCGATCACCTAATCACCGATCTAGATCACCTTCATCATTCTAGATCACCATCACAAGATCTAGATCACCTTCACAATCCAGATCACCATCACATCCCGATCCTAGATCACCGTCACGCCGATCAAGATCACAACTATCGATCAAGATCACAGTCATCAATCCAGATCACCTAACCGATCCAGATCACCAAACGGGTCCGGATCACAACTTCTTATCAGATCACCTGACAGATCCAGATCACCTAGCCGATCCAGATCACCGAATCGATCCAGATCACAACATTGAAGTAGATCATAGGACCAATCCAGATCACCGAATGGATCCAGATCACAACTTCGAATCAGATCACCGGACCGATCTAGGTCACCTAACCGATCCAGGTCACCTAACCGATCCAGATCACAACATCGAAGTAGATCGCCAGACCGATCCAGATCACCGAACTGATCGAGATCACCGACATCAAAGTAGATCACCTAACCAATCCAGATCACCAAATCAAGCCAGATCGCAACTGCAAACCAGATCACCTGTTCAATCCAGATCACCTTACAAATCCAGATCATCTTACCAACCCAGGTCACCTATGCGATCTAGATCACCTTACAGAGCCACTGACCAATCGGGATCACAGTACAGGTCCACATCTCATGGCTGATCCTATTCAGATGGTCGAACCAGAGCTCCAATCAGAACCAGATCACCAACTAGAACTACAGCGACCCTGAATAGTTCTTCATATCATACCGGATCACCTAGCCATACTAGGGAATCCAGATCACCGGCTTACCAACCTACTTCGGTACTTACCACGTCGAGATCTCGATACAGTTCCTCTGACCGACGTTTGGGTGATCATTGCTCTGATCCACTCTAGGCCTACAGCTTCTGAGAATCGCCGACTCACTCTAGGATCATCGCTGAGTCAAGGGAACCTGATAACATGTCCACTCCTACAGCTGCTCCGATCTAAATATGATGATCAGGGGCCATAACCTCAGCCTCCAAATACAGCCTGATGAGATCATATAGAACCTGGTCCACCTCCTGAGATTGATCCAGTCCAAATAGCCATGCCTGCATGCCACGGCCACTCTGAGTTATCTACCCCTGGGGGTAGCTTTGCTTATTCAGGTACCCTTTGGATTGTTGAGAGCTCCAACTTCCCCTGAGTACTCAGCCCGTTGACCTGGATCACTCTTATACTCTTAGGAACCGTTGGTCTACATACCACCTTGTATTCTGAAATTATCCAGTACACTAAATGATGGTTTCAGCAGTCGGCTCTGTTAACACTGCTCTGGAACAGCATACTTACTCTGATCAATTGAGGACCGAGAGTTGGCTTGGATTCAGCCGTGAGACAAAGACTGCTACATCCGAGGATGCATGATACTTTATGACTTTAGCTCTGGACCAGTTCCAAATTATCCTGGATCAGTTGTCTCATTTTTTGTGCTACACTCCTGGTGTTCGCCGACGTGGACCCCTTAACATCTCTTCATGGGAGGAGCGATTTAAAACAGAACTGTTTCACCAGCCTTGGTTTACTGACTCCCTCTTCAATGGTAGCATCCAAGAAGTATCTAATAAAGTTGATAAAGAAACCCACTTTCAAGTCTCGATTGAACTGTTAAAGATACAGAAGTCACAGCTCCAGGACTCATTAAAACAGCGTCGGACTGCACAGTTCACCCCTACCAATCCGGATTTACGCAATCTTTTTCGTGGCACATCCACTCAAGGCCATGGCTGAGGAAACAGATCTAGCCGTGGTGGTTCCTCCCGTCGCCCTCCCAGGACCAACTCTGCCCACAATAGGTACCAGGGACCAAGCGTGACGGCTTGAGACACTCGCACGATTGGGACCTCCGGCCCCCATTCGTTCCGATTTACAACACTCCGGTAGGCGGGAGATTGCAGATCTTCGCCCCGAATTGGACCATCCTCAAAGATTTGTACGTCACCAACCTGCTACTTCACGGCTATCAGCTACCCATTATTGGCAGTCCACCTCTGACGTCGCATCCGGCTCATCGCTCATATCCTGTGGACCAGCTTCAGACTCCTAGGTCCAGCGCCCGTCACTCCAGGATTGTACTCCCCCATCTTGTTGGTTCCAAAGAAAAATTCCAACAAACTCCGGCTCATCTTCAATATGACAGTGGCAGGAGCTACTAGGCCTTCTGACGTCAGCTCAAGCCTTAACGTACAGAGGCCAGCTCCAACTTCGGCCGATACAGCGATTTCTACGCCCGTACCTTCAGGCCGACAACCCCAAGGAACTAATTTGCCTTCCAGAACCGCTTCGTCCAGTCCTTCAATGGTGACTCGACAAACGGAATGTTTGCGCTGGGAGTCTCTATGATGCCCTTTGCACTGACTCAGCACCTATTCGTCGATGCATCCCTCATTGGTTGGGGAGCTCACTTCCTCGGCCACCAAGTAGCCGGGCTGTGGTCATCCGACGAACGGGTACTTCATATAAACGAGCTGGAATATCTCACATTGGGCAACAGAGCTTCAATCAACCAGTCTGTTGATCCAGTCAGACAATTCGACAGTGGTTTGGTATATAAATCATCTAGGCTCGACAGGCTCGGCAAATCAGCTACAATGGGCGATCAGGTTCTTCCATCTCATCGACTCACTCAACATCGTAGCCAGAGCCAGACATATTCCCGGGGTGAAAACTGTGATCGCCGATGCCTTGTCCCGATCCAACCGACCGTCCCCCGACAGAGTGGAAGTTACTGCCCCAGATCTTTCAGTCGATGATCTACTTGTTATCACGGCCTCAAATAGATCTGTTCAACAATCAACTTCCAAAGTTTATATCACCAATCCCAGACTCCTTGGCGTGGGACCTCGACGCATTGGCAATATCATGGGAGGGTCTCAATGCTTACGCGTTCCCCCCTCCAGCTCTGCTACCAAAAGTAATACAGAAACTATTGGCCACCAGCAACATACTACTGCTTTTGGTCGCACCTTTCTGGCCAGCAAGAAGTTGGTTCGTCAACCTAAGAAGCCTGGCAGAGCCAAACCCAGTACCGCTTCCCAACCGGGACGACCTACTTCTTTACCCTCACTCCGAACTGCGCCACGGGTCACCTCAGACCCTCAATCTACACGATTGGTGCATCTTCAGAGGTCTCTCATAGCTAAGGGCTACTCTGGCCGAGTAGCCACAGCTATCACTTCAGCGCATCGCACTTCAACCCGTTCCTTGTACGACAACAAGTCGAAGAAGTTTGAAGACTATTGCAAGCTTAGGGGAATTGCATCTCCCACTTCCACCTCGGCTCAGGTCGTTGCTGAGTTTCTCCAGCATCTCCGCACTACTAAAAACTCAAGGGTACTACGTTAGCTACCTACTTAGCCGCCATCAACTCGGTTTTGGCTACCACCACGGGCACAAAGATTTCCACTGTTACTGAGTTGCAGAGTCTACTACGCTCCTATAGACTCTCTGACCAGTCCAGGAAGTTCAGACCTCCGGCCTGGGATCTGTCCGTCGTCCTTTGTCATATGATTTCTACAGATTATGAACCTTTAGAAGACAAGGACTTTGAACAAGTGACATTCAAGACATTCTTCCTGGTAGCTTTGGCTACCGCTGCTCGTATATCTGAACTACATGAGCTTGATGTCAATCGGGTGCGGTTCAAGCGGGAAATAGCATGGCAAGGCTTTCCTGGGCCTCTGCTGGGACTTCATTGCGAAAAACCAACTGCCAGGGCAACCGGACCGGATGTTTACCATTCCCCCATTGTCCACCATTCTTGGGCCTGATGATAATGAAGATTTGACACTCTGCCCTGTTAGGGCTCCAAGGATCGTCGACGGCTACGGAAGCACCTCTTCATACCCTTGTCGAACGCTTCAAGAGCTGAGGTTTCCCGGACCACATTGGCCTTCTGGATGCGTGCCACGATCCTGCGAGCCTACACCTTTGCAGGGTTGCCTCCTTCAGCCGCTTCCAATCCTCATGAGGCTCGTGCACTAGCCTCGACGATGGCCCTCCATAGCAACTGCTCCTTGACCGCTATCATGGAAGGTTGCTTCTGGCGTTCTGACACAGTCTTCTCTTCACATTACCTGTGAGACCTGTCTGTCACGGATGTCCAGGGACTACACCAGTTCGGACATCTTGTACTGGCTCAGCAGCTTACATCGGCTCAACAACGCAGATGAGGGACAGTTCCGCATTCGCGTTACTACTTCCTTATATATACTGAATAAAAGTTGAACTGTTCTCATTATATGGGTTTAAGAACTACTTCACTTGGCCTCCATACCAAGTCATCGGAATACGGCCACCTAGCGTGGCCCTGTGGACCTGAGGCACAATCAGTATGACGATGCAGAGGTGTTCGACATTCACGCTTACTGACATCTACTCCACGGAGCAATTACGTCAGTGAAGTGTGACACTCCCGAATTCCAGTGGATTTCGTTGCGTTCTGCCTCCAAAGTTGCCGGGCACATCCTTTGACTAAGCTTAGGCAAAGCAGTGAGGGTAATTTGATGCTGCCCAGAACTGAACGTTAAACCTTGGAGATGCCGAGTTGTGTTTCTCTTTCACCCTCCTCGGTCAGTGTCTGGGGGGCCTTGAAGCAGGGGCTGGCCCGATTCTAGTCGCAAGACTTTAATTACGGGGGTTCTTTGTAAATCATGGCGAGGCAAGGCTTACTTGCCTAGTTGCGTCCCTTGTCTTGTACAAGGTTGCTGCCGAACACCACATGGCTCGGGAGCACCCATCTTCCTTGGAGTCGTTGTGCTTAGTAAGCCAAGGGGTTCCGGAGAACCCACTACAAGCATAGGAGTTGCGTGCATGCGTAACAGGCCTCCCTTGTATATTGCTATCTACGGTTGTCATCAGTCCACACAGCTCCAAGACCAGCTGTTTGCACTGTCCAGACAGAAGGGTAATCTGCGGCCCGTCGTCCAATCACCGGATAAGTGCAAGTCGTGAGATAGGATAAGTTTAAAAATTTGGAAATTTTAATATAAATTGTATATTTATATACTTATCCTATCTCACGCGATGAATGCCGGCCCGGACTCCCAACTACTCAGATTACAACGTTGGCTCCAAGATGAGAATGATCATTCAAGGTAGTCACGTGGGCAATTAGTGGAGCATGCTGCAAGCTTTATTAGGAACTAGGAAGCTAATTAAGGAGAGCAGCATGGAATGCAATGGACAAGGAAAAAGTGTTACAGTCGTTCCAATGTCGACAAGGAGGCCTATGGAGATAGGATAAGTATATAAATATACAATTTATATTAAAATTCCAATTTTACAAGGGATGTAAGCACACCCGATAGAGATGGTGCAGTGTCCATCTTGAATATTACAAAAGTTGGATTTTTTCAACAAACAAAAAACAACTCAACAATCACATACTAGTCACGTGATTACACAAAACCCTCATTGGATTCTCAGTATGTTTTGTTTCGAATCTATAATCCATTATCAGTAGTGTTTAGTCATAACAGTGAGTACTTCCTAATGAATCTTAAAGGTCACATGCAACCAAAAATAAAAATAATTAAAACACAATGTTGCAGTGATTATGAAAAACATATAAACAAAATTATAAGCGTACAATCATTGTATGTGTATATATAGAGATGTTGGATTTTGTAAATACATGCTCATTTCTGGTGTATAACATTTTGCAATCAACAGACATCAAAACATGTCATGTTTACAAGTATCACACCTGCCTGTCTGTGTAATTACATAATGTGACAGAGACCGAACTTGGGCCATAAATCAATGCGTTTTGTTTATGGTGTATAGCCTGATAGGTGTTAAGTTCAAGTTGCATGTGGTCAGTGATCGAAGTTGTGTATTGAATATTGTCATTAGCAGACAGGCAGGCAGACACATAGGTGTCAATAAAACAGACATTGAGTTTTGTCTGTGACAAAGACATATCTATATCACAGTTAGAAATTCTGTCAACGCTAAATAATGACATTGCTTTTAAGTGTCGAACTGAGAAAGTGACTCGGTAAGAAGAACGTGTGGTGAAATAGACAAATGAAATTATATTAACAGTTAAATCGGTAATCTACTGTCATAACATATAAAAAGCTTGCGCCTGTGAAATATCAACAAAACATTAGTAAAATAGTTCATACCAAAACCTTCACAGAGTATTCACCGGACAACCCGCTTCCAAGCTGCGCGAAACCTATTTCACTGCTCATATGCTATGAGTGATGGTTTTTTCATCGCGTTATTTTTCAACTATATAAGTTGAATTTGCATTTTTGATGATTTGTTTCGTTAAGTCCATACCGAAAGGTATCGGTATCTGCAAAGTTGTGTTTTACGTTGCATGTGACCTTTTAATTAAATAACAAACAAGTAGCACCTTCAACTCAATTAGCCCTAATTAGTTTACACTACCCAACCCTTTCATTCATGCCGCACCGTGTGTAAACATGTGGAAACAACCTCAGTTCAGGGGGATACTTGCCCATGAAAGGTAAGTTAATGTCGAGTTTCTTTGCAAATATCGAGTTAAAAGGGTAATTTTGCTTGCTGGAACCTTGAAATTATATCGAGATATCCGAAATATGGAGACATCCGTATTGAGTTAAAAAGAGCTTGAAAAATGATGAATTAAGAAGGAATTTACTGGGACCTAGACCTAGAGACACTGAGATATCGAGTTATCAGAGTTCGACACAACGGTGCTCGGCTGTATTTGTGTACTGTGTACAATTAATGTGATGAGGCAAAACCACAATTCTGACAGCAAGAATTCTTTTCAGGGGAGGAAGATGAAGAAGATGACCCGATTATTGACAACTTTTTTTCCAAGAAGATGCCACGAGACACTGACTCTCAGACAGAAGAACAAGAAGGAGAAGAAACATGCCAAGATGCTGATGTTGAGGATGCATCAGAAATGTCTTCGTCAGAGGAAGAGGACTTGCCAAGGACAAGAGCCAGCCTGAAACAAGGCCACGAGATTTCTCAGCATCAATCTACCAAACTGTATGAGTGGATTGTCAAACCAATACCTCACTCCAGGGGATTTGTCTGGATGGCAAGAGGGAGTAAGTGTTTTCTCCTGACATGCTTGAGGTGGGGTGATGCTGGATGACTGGTGTTACTCTGTGTAGTTTTCTGTTGGTGTTAGACTGCCACTTTGTGATCAAGGAAGACACGTTCTGTGATTTATGGTTTCAGTTATTAGTTATGGTGATTTTGTTGAAAATATGTCACAAAATTACTGTGTAGTTACAGTAATGTCACACATTGTTTGGTATGCACAACTAGTGCTGGTTATCGCTCACAATATGCACATCAATAATTGGAGCTCAGTAATCGACTGATAAAATGCTTCCACATGTTTTGTGTATGGCAAAAGGGAGTCACACACCCTGCCACACCCTTTTATGCCCTTTCATGCCCTCTCAGCATTCCATCTGCACCCAATGTTCAAAGTTCATAGCAGTCTTCATATGGGCAATGCTTGTTGTGATATGTCAAACTCAACCATTGGGTCAAAGCAGAGAGTGAGTGAGTTTAGTTGTATACCGCTTTTAGCAATATTCCAGCAATATCACCTGGGAACACCAGAAATGGGCTTCACACATTTTGCCCATGTGGGGAATCTAACCCTGTCTTCAGTGTGACGAGCAAACGCTTTAACCACTAGGTTACCGTACCGCCCTCAAGCTGAGAAGACTAGTTGTTTTCCCACATAAAACTGGTTATGTCTTTTTGCAATTTACATAAACCATGGCTCTATTTCAGTAAGGAGATAAACGAGTACTGGCAGACAGGTGTTGTAACAGAGAGGGTCACAGCAACCGTGGTAGCCACGTCCAGCGGATCACGTTATCAGCTTGTTGGACAAATGGATGTGTATGAGGCAACTGAAGCTGGTACTACCTCTTATTATACAAACATTCTGACTGTCTTTAGTTTTATATCATGGGTATGTCTTGTGTGGAAGATAGTAAAGAAATATGTCAGGTTGATAATTCCCCATATTTTTTTAAAAGTATGAACTATTAATCCATGTGTTTATTATTGCCAGTATTCAATGTTTCTACCTAATCATAAGGATGTATAAATCTTGCATATTTCATATCATCTGATAGAAACTACACTCACCATGTTCTTTGCATATATGTTTTTTAGTGAATGTAAATTCTGTGTGTGCAGTGAAAATATTTGGGGCATTATGTGTTCCATGATTGAGTGATCATACTTCTAGTATTGATCACCCGTGAAGATATGGGTTAGAATTGGTCTTTAGTAACCCATGCTTGTCGTAAGAGGCGACTAGCGAGATCAGGTGAAGCTTGTCATCGTATCCCAGTTGCGTAGATTGATGCTCATGCTGTTGATCACCGGATTGTCTGGTCCAGACTTGATTATTTACAGACCGCTGCCATATTGCTGGAATATTGCTGAGGGCGGCGTTAAACAACAAACCAAACCAAATCTGGTATTGATTCAATGAGAATGTTTATGGATCATGAACATGATGATCATTTTGGTTTTACTTTGTCATGGTTACAGAGACACCATTACAATATGTTTGATAATAAGCTCTTCCAAATATTTCGTCCTTTTCAAATCATTGGAAAAGCAAATAGTGGCAATGAAGTGTTTTAAGTTAATTGTGATCATGGTGATGGGGCAAAAGCAAATATGGTGGCAATGAATGTGTTTATAAACTTAATCTCACGATGATTCTCTCTGCTTCGTGATGGGTGCACTTTGTTCTCAGATGGTGTCTCACATGGTGAAAGCCATATGTACATGGATATTTATAAACTTATCCTATCTCACGATTTGCACTTCTCTCTTAAGATTTATGCTGAGTGGAATGAATGTGAACTTTCTCTGTAAGGGTCTCTTGTCCCTATACGGGTCAGACACTGGGGCTGGTTCCTCTGACCGGCTGCTTTGTCAGAGGGTATAGGACACTGGGTCCTTAGTCCTTGCTTTCCTTATAGCATGCCAAGCATGCAGCATTCCCTGTCTATCCACGTGACTACCTCAGAGTGATCATTCTACTTCTTGTCGCATGACAGAGTGGACGTGATATATCTCTGAATTTGAGTTGTTTTTTGTATCATGGGAAAAGCTGATCCTCCCACTAAGAAGCATAAATTTTCGCTCAATGTAAGAAGATTTTTCCACTTGGGACCCACACATATCGTGTGTTGATTGTGCGGGTCAATGCTCTTGGGAGAAACGTTGCGATAAATGCTCTGGTTTATCTACTGAGGTCTTCAAGGCATATAAATGGATCTGTGCCCGCAGGCATGCAGATAGGGTTAGAAATACTTCTACTGACCATAGCCCTTCCCCTACTAAGAAACCTCGTTTGGATCGTCCTACCCTCCACAGCTCGTCGTTCTAAATCCCTGTCCTCCAGGGCCGAGGATTTTATGGACGTTTCCTCTGATTCGTACCTTTCGGAAGATGTACGAAAGGATTTTTGGACGCTTCATTCACCTTGTTTTACCTGGTTGTAATTGATAAATCTAACGCATCCCAGGTTTCTACAGCCTCCCCTGACCTTCGGTTCACAACTTTTGGTTTCTAGGGCTTCTGACTACAATCACTTCGATTCACCATTCGGCTTCACCTGTGCTGCCTGAAAAGTCTAGTCTTTCTAGACGATCCCCCTCGGTTCATTGATCTTACTCATCGGAACGGTCTACTTCTAGCTGTTCGAGATCCCCGCATAGTTCTACTGCGAACCTTTTTTGGTCGATTGATTGAGCGGTCCTGTTCACCCCAGCGGACTAGTTCTCATCGTCATTCTGCTTTTAATGATCGAACCTAATCATGAATCGATTCGCATTGTTGTTTCGGCACTCCTTCCTGTTCAGATTCTCGTTATTGAAGCAGTTCACCAGGCTGAATTGTTTCACCATGTCGTAGAGCATCGTGTGAATGGATGGGCTCACCTATATGTGATGACTCGCATCGGCGAACTGGTTCAATGCCTTCCCATCCAGGTTCACACCAATCAGCTGTTTCACCTGACCGGTTTGGTACACATGTTTATGGGAGTCTCTCCCTTCCTTGCGCTCCCCTTTCTTTTTTATTGCATTAAGGATCCCTGAGATAAAATTAATGTCTTATGGGTTTTTTATACTGTTGCCTAAGCATGGAAACTTGATTCGTAGCATATCGATGTCAGAAGGAAAGCGGGGATCGCCTGGTTGTCATTCGGGATGCTTCTCATGGATTTTCTCGCATTTTCACGCAATAAACGGGAATTGTAATGGGCGATCAAAAACATATAACAATCGTAAACGTAAGACGATAGGATACATGATGATCAAAAGACGCTGCAAATGTAAGTAACTTGCTAGCGTTAACAATTGACACGCTCTGACAACATCCCAGAAGTTAGTTCGCTAACATAGGTATTTGACTATGAGATGACCGTCCAAACGATTATAATCGAGCGATTATTGATCTGACACTAGCGATTATCGATCTGACAAAATGTAACGATAACCAGCTCTAATGATCTACCTGTTATCACGACCAGATGTAGACCTGTTCGCCACTCGGTACAGCCATCAGCTCCCGCGATTCGTGTCCCCAATCTCGGATCCTCAGTCGTGGGAAAACAACATGTTAGCCATATCGTGGGAAGGCCCCCCCAAATGACCTACTTTGTCATCCACACTCAAACGTGTATCACGAGTCGTCACAGACTCTTAATTTCCATGTCTGGCGCATTTACAGAAATCGTTGACAGCCAAAGGCTAATTGCGTTGAGTAGCTATGGCCATAACATCTGCGCATTGAACATCGACACGATCGTTGTATGACAAAAGATGGAAGTAATTTGAACACTTTTGCAAAGTTAGGAGAATTATTTCTCCCACCACCGCCTCCCCTCAGGTTGTTGCTGAATTTTTACAGCATTTCGGGCGTATTAGAAGCTTAAAGGTACCAAGTTGTCAACCTATCTGGCTGCCATTAATTCGGTTCTAGCTACTACGGTGTCTACCACTCCCGAACTCCAGTATCTGCTCCGTTCGTTCAGACTTTCAGACCAGTCCATGAAGCTTAGGCCTCTTGTCTGGGACCTGTCGGTTGTCCTCCGTCACATGGTATACAGTGACTATGAGCCGCTACAAGACAAGAATTTGGAACAAATAACATTTAAAACTTTCTTTCTGGTAGCATTGGCTACTGCAGCTCATATTTCGGAGTTACACGCACTTGATGTTAATCATGTGAATTTCGAATGGAAAAGGCATAGCAAAGTATTTCTGGGACTTCGTTGGGACTTTGTCGCGAAGAACCAGTTGCCCGGACAACCGGATAGAATATTTACCATCCCACCATCGTCAACCATTCTCGGGCCAGACAATGTCGAAGATTTGTCTCTGTGCCCTGTCAGAGCTCTACGTATCTTCCTTGCTGCCTCCCAAGAATGCTGCCGACTTCGTAAGGGGTTATGTCTACTGGAAGGAGAACATTATCTCTGGATGTGTGCTACCATACTGAGGGCATACACCTTTGCTGAACTCATGATCATCCAATCCACATGAGACCTGGGCATTAGCCTAAACGATGGCCTTACATAGCAACTGCTCCCTGACGGCCATCATGGAGGGTTGTTTCTGGCGTTCGGACATGGTCTTTTCGTCACATTATTTGAGGGACTTATCGTTTACGGATGTCCAAGGTCTGCACCAGTTCGGACCCCTTGTCCTGGCCCAGCAGTTGTCGTCGGCCAATCAGCGCAGATGAGTACAGTTGCGCGTTTGTTCAATCGCTGTCGTGTACATACTGATTAAAATTCTGATTTTTTTCTGATTTTTGTTCTCAATTCTTCTGGGATTAGAACTCTTCTCTCAATTTTATTGAGGTATTGCAGTTTCTCTTTACGGATCTACAGATGGTTAGTATCTTGTATTTTGTGATGTTGAAGTGTTCGACTATCTCGCTTGCTGACCTCTACTCCATGGAGCAATCACGTCAGTGTAGTCCTTCCTGATTTCCTTTGCATTCATAGCATTCTAACTCCTAAGTACCTTAGCACACCATTGTGACCTAAGTAGTGGAAGTCATGTGGTGTTGTTTTGGTACTGAACGTTAAACTTGTGAGCTTTCCGATTCAGTTTCCTTTTCCACTCTTACTAGTCGTAAGACTTTAATTACGGGGGTACTCTGATAAATCGTGGCGAGATTACTTGCCTAGTTGCGTCCCCTTGCTTATGCGAGGGTTGTGGCTGAACAACACATCGCTCGGGAGCACCCACTCCTTGGGAGCGTTTGTGCCTAGTAAGCCAAGGGGTTCAGGAGAATGCGTCGCAAGCATAAGTACTGTGCTAGTCGTGTTCGGCCTCCCTTGTTCATTGCTATCTATGGTTGTCATTAGCCTATACAGTGTATGCTATCAGTCCTTTTTGACTTGGGATAAGTGCAAATGGTGAGATAGGATAAGTTTAAAAATTTGGGAATTTTAACTATAAATTGTATGTATGTACTTATCCTATCTCACACGATGGATGCCCACCCAGCCTCCCCTCTACTCAGATTACGACGGTTACAGATAACTGTCATTCGCTCCAAAAAGAGAATGATCACTCTGAGGTAGTCATGTGGGTAGATAGGGGAACGTGCTGCACGCTTAGCCAGGGACTAGGGACCTGTCCTATAAGGGAACACGGGCGTATGGGCAAGAGAGGCCTACAGAGAAAGTTCACATTCATTCCACGCAACGTCGAAGCAAGAGAGAGAAGTGCAAATCGTGAGATAGGATAAAGTATATAAATATGTAATTTATAGTTAAAATGTCCAAGATTCTTTGACTGTTTGATGCCCATGTTGTATGCTGTATGTTATGTAGGAATCCCTCCTGAAACTGCCAAGAAGTTCAAGAAAGGGTTTCCAGACAACTGGCTCCATTTGGTGGAGGAGTTTTTCTCCTCCCTTGATCAGTGAGTTTCTTTTTCACTATGAGCATGAAGAACACTTGTTTTGTTTGAATGTCAACATATATCTCTGCATCATGGGTGACTCAGTCTCAAATTGAGTTCCATCCCTTGGGTACATCAGAAACCTTTGATTTGCCCAGAAGAGTTTCCAGGTCTTTCAGCACCATACTTGTTCTTGTGGGTTTCCCCAAACTGGTAAATGTCTGAGATCTGTGAAGCTGACATAACTGGAGTGCTGTTCAAAGCAGCTTTAAAACCAGACTTACTCACAATTGTGAATTTACAGATGATGATGTGGTACATTACGCGTCTACCCATATGATTATGTATCAATTAAGGTTTTCATGGTTTTATTTCTGCATTGATTTAACAATGTAATGTTCATGATTGCAATCATCATACCTGAGGTCATACAGTATGTAACATAGCTCCTCTTTTGAGGTAATACTGTATGTAACATAGCTCCTCTTTTGAGGTAATACTGTATGTAACATAGCTCCTCTTTTGAGGTAATACAGTATGTAACATAGCTCCTCTTTTGAGGTAATACTGTATGTAACATAGCTCCTCTTTTGAGGTAATACTGTATGTAACATAGCTCCTCTTTTTAGGCAATACTGTATCTAAGAGCTCCTCTTTTGAGGTAATACTGTATGTAACATAGCTCCTCTTTTGAGGTAATACTATATGTAACATAGGTCCTCTTTTGAGGTAATACTGTAAGTAACATAGCTCCTCTTTTGAGGTAATACTGTATGTAACATAGGTCCTCTTTTGAGGTAATACTGTATGTAACATAGGTCCTCTTTTGAGGTAATACTGTATGTAACATAGGTCCTCTTTTGAGGTAATACTATATGTAACATAGGTCCTCTTTTGAGGTAATACTGTATGTAACATAGCTCCTCTTTTGAGGTAATACTGTATGTAACATAGCTCCTCTTTGAGGTAATACTGTATGTAACATAGGTCCTCTTTTGGTAATACTGTAAGTAACATAGCTCCTCTTTTGAGGTAATACTGTATGTAACATAGCTCCTCTTTTGAGGTAATACTGTATGTAACATAGCTCCTCTTTTTGTATGTAACATAGCTCCTCTTTTGTGTAATACTGTATGTAACATAGCTCCTCTTTGAGGTAATACTGTATGTAACATAGCTCCTCTTTTGAGGTAATACTGTATGTAACATAGCTCCTCTTTTGAGGTAATACAGTATGTAAACATAGCTCCTCTTTTGAGGTAATACAGTATGTAACATAGCTCCTCTTTTGAGGTAATACTGTATGTAACATAGCTCCTCTTTGAGGTAATACAGTATGTAACATAGCTCCTCTTTTGAGGTAATACTCATAAGCTCCTCTTTTGAGGTAATACTGTATGTAACATAGCTCCTCTTTTGAGGTAATACTGTATGTAACATAGCTCCTCTTTTGAGGTAATACAGTATGTAACATAGCTCCTCTTTTGAGGTAATACTGTATGTAACATAGCTCCTCTTTTGAGGTAATACTGTATGTAACATAGCTCCTCTTGGGTAATACTGTATGTAACATAGCTCCTCTTTTGAGGTAATACATGTAACATAGCTCCTCTTTTGAGGTAATACTGTATGTAACATAGCTCCTCTTTTGAGGTAATACTGTATGTAACATAGCTCCTCTTTTGAGGTAATACTGTATGTAACATAGCTCCTCTTTTGAGGTAATACAGTATGTAACATAGCTCCTCTTTGAGGTAATACTGTATGTAACATAGCTCCTCTTTTGAGGTAATACTGTATGTAACATAGCTCCTCTTTTGAGGTAATACTGTATGTAACATAGCTCCTCTTTTGAGGTAATACTGTATGTAACATAGCTCCTCTTTTGAGGTAATACTGTATGTAACATAGCTCCTCTTTTGAGGTAATACTGTATGTAACATAGCTCCTCTTTTGAGGTAATACTATATGTAACATAGCTCCTCTTTGAGGTGATGGCTCCTCTTGAGGTAATACTGTATGTAACATAGCTCCTCTTTTGAGGTAATACTATATGTAACATAGGTCCTCTTTTGAGGTAATACTGTAAGTAACATAGCTCCTCTTTTGAGGTAATACTGTATGTAACATAGCTCCTCCTTTGAGGTAATACTGTATGTAACATAGCTCCTCTTTTTAGGTAATACTGTATGTAACATAGCTCCTCTTTTGAGGTAATACTGTATGTAACATAGCTCCTCTTTTGGGTAATACTGTATGTAACAGCTCCTCTTTTGAGGAAATACTGTATGTAACATATCTCCTCTTTTGGGTAATACTGTATGTAACATAGCTCCTCTTTTGGGTAATACTGTATGTAACATATCTCCTCTTTTGGGTAATACAGTATGTAACATAGCTCCTCTTTTGGGTAATACAGTATGTAACATATCTCCTCTTTTGGGTAATACAGTATGTAACATAGGTCTTCTTTTGAGTAATACAGTATGTAACATAGCTCCTCTTTTGGGTAATACTGTATGTAACATATCTCCTCTTTTGGGTAATACAGTATGTAACATAGCTTCTCTTTTTGGGTAATACAGTATGTAACATATCTCCTCTTTTGGGTAATACAGTATGTAACATAGGTCTTCTTTTGAGTAATACAGTATGTAACATAGCTCCTCTTTTGGGTAATACAGTATGTAACATAGCTCCTCTTTTTGGGTAATACAGTATGTAACATATCTCCTCTTTTGGGTAATACAGTATGTAACATGCGTCCTCTTTTGGGTAATACAGTATGTAACATATCTCCTCTTTTGGTAATACAGTATGTAACATATCTCCTCTTTTGGGTAATACTGTACGTAACATAGGTCCTTTTTTGGGTAATACAGTATGTAACCTGCGTCCTCTTTTGGGTAATACAGTATGTAACATATCTCCTCTTTTGGGTAATACAGTATGTAACATATCTCCTCTTTTGGGTAATACTGTACGTAACATAGGTCCTTTTTTGGGTAATACAGTATGTAACTTACGTCCCCTTTTGGGTAATACAGTATGTAACATAGGTCCTCTTTTTGGGTAATATTGTTTCTTTTAGCTGCAAACAATTTTCCTGCCAAATGATTTGGGAATGATTTTGTGCATTTGTTGATAGAGAGGGTGAAGACAGTGTTGTCGAAGACAGTGTTGTTGAAGACGATGACGTTAATGAGCATGTACCTGTCACCCTAACAAAACTCAAATCAGGAAAGCGAGAACATGACAAGTATTACATCGACTCTCAAGAGAGTGAGGAGGAAGAAGACAAACAGGAGGAAGAAGACAAACAGGAACAAGAACAAGAACAACAGGAAAAACAGGAGGAACAGGAGGAACAGGATGAAAACCGACGAGCAAGATTTTCTCGAACTTGTAATTCAAACAATAGATATGCTAGTAAATCAACAACCGACTCTGAAAAAGACACCAGAAGAAAGTCATCTAGCGAAGATATTTTCAAACCAAAAGAAAGTACCAATGTTCAGAAGAATAGGGTTAATGATGAGGTTATGCAACCGAAGGACACCAGTAAGAAGGTGTTATCTTCACAAGAAGAAGCATCTTCGGCGGATGAAACAAAGGTGGCAGATCAAAGAAATGAAGATTCGGCTAAAGATAAGAAGGTGACCAAGCTGCACCTGTGGATCATCAAACCCATGCAGAGCAAGCTTGGAGTGTGTCTTGAAGGGCAGAGAGAGTAAGTTGATGACGATGTGACTCCAGATAAATATATACTGCTCAAGAGAACCTAAAGCACACCAGATATTTGTTATATGACTATAGCAGAGATGCCAACCACTCCGATTTTGGAGGAGTTACTCCGATTTTCAAATACAAAATCCACTCTCTGATTTGTCTTTAAGAAACTCTGATTTTTTAGAAAATACAAATATGTTTATAAATTTAGAATTTTTGAAAGAATTTTAGTAAATATGTTCGTTTGAGTTAAGAATTATCTGGTTAAGTATGCCCAGAAATTGCATATTTCCAGGCTAAATCTAAAGATTTTCATATGGGAGGCCCCCAGACCCCAACCGCCAAAGGGGCGGAACCCCCTCACGCCACCCCAACTCGCAGACCTTGAGGGCTCCTCCGCTTTCATTTGATTCAGGGTTGGCATCTCTGCTATAGTTATAGCCTTACTATTGGAGGTGATTTTAACATCTTTTGAGTTGTGTATATAAAGCAGAGCTTGAAATTAGGCATGAAGGTAAAAGTTCTTTGTAAAAAGGCATAAGTCTAAATGTTTCCTTATCCTGACTCATGCTAAATGCTTGTCTCCTTCTTCTTGCGAATGATAGTGAAATCCCTTGATTCCCTTCTAAAAAGCGGACATAAAATCATCACTCACCCACGAGTAGTCTCCCTTGCCTGCCTTTGGCGCCCTTTTGTATCACATGACCAGCCATGTTTGTCACTCTCTCCTTCGCCCTTGAGGACGGTTGTGAGAGCACCTGGGTCCGTATATGGCACATATCCTTTTCTCTTTTGGACCTTTACATCAAAATTATTGCTGTATACAGCTTTTAGGATTGTATTCTACTATATTGTTTGAAATTTGATCTAAATTATTCGTTGTTTAACATGTTTTTTCATCGTGTTTACATTTGATGAAAACTTGTATTTGTTGTAGGTACCGGCTGTCTGCGACTGACCCACATTTATTATGTCCTGATTGCACTACTTCATGTTCTTTCAGCTCTCGCTGTAAACATTGTCTGAATTTAACCACTTTTGAATTTAATAACTACCTTTTTTTCATTTGTAGACATGCAAAGGACTGGGTAAGAAGGTATTCACAAGTCATGTCTAAATCGAGTGATTGTGCTGATAACCGTTTGTTAACTACTGCTGCCGATGTTCATAATTCCAGTGAATTGCCGAGCGTTTTACGGGGGCAGGTCACTGTTCCAGTGATGAACTCTGGAGCCAATAAGAGATTGTCGTCAACAGAGCTGACTTCTTCGCAGACGAAGAAGACTAGATCGTCTTCAATGCAGAAGAAGAAGGCTACTACCCCTAAGACTTCATAGAAGTCTCTACACAGCTCTACGCAGAAGACCAGATCCTTCTCTGCCGGATTGTACCTCCGGAAGAAGCAGAAGTGTATGATGATCCCCCCATCCTCATACCTGAAGTCACAGTCTCAGCAAGAAGACGAAACCTGCTTCTACAGCTACATCGGCAACTTTATCAGCGCAGACATTGACAGAAGACCTTCTATCAACGCAGACGTCGGGTACCAGAGATAGCAGCAGCGTCAACTCTTCACAAGTGCAACAGTTTACAGACCAGATGATGTCGTTGACGGAACGTCGCTTCGCGCAGGAGAAAGCTGCTACGAAGACCACTACAATGACTACTAGCCTGCGTGAAGATTCAGCAGTTTCTCCAAGGCACTTGGAAGAAGAGGGAAGCCTGCGTGAAGGCTCACGCACTGGACGATCTTCCCCATCTGAAGTTAGGAGCCTCGACAACGCAGTTAACGTCAGCTCAGCCTTAGACGTCTCTGAAGAAGCCGCTAAGAATTCTCCACGCAGAAGCAGATCGAAGCGTTCTCCCCAACCCAACAGACGTCGTAGATACGGGTCATCATCACCATCGGACTCAGACGCACATCGGGAACCTGCACGCAGGCACTCCACATCTTACAGAGGGGAAACTACGCCTAAGAATCAACCTTCACGAATGCCTAGAGAGAGATCTCAAGACTCCAGGAAGGATACACGATCACATCGGGATCGTTCACCTGCGCGCAGTTCGTCATACAGATCTTCATACAGAGACTCACGTAGTCGTTGATCGTCAGATGGGGAGTTGTCGAAATCAGAGGAAGAAGGTGCAGTCATATTCTCTGATACAGAAGTAACCTCATGGATTGCTAAAGACCTGGACCTAGCATCACCTTCCTAGGACACAGACGAAGCGTTTACATACAAGATGTCCAATGATGATTTCGACACACTCACCTTTCCGCCTATCGACCTGATCTCCCATGTACCGGACAGTCTCAACTCAGCCTTTGATAAGGCTACCAAGTTCCAGAATCAGCATATCCTGACGTTCAACGTCAGGAAATTCCCCTTACATCACATGGAACCCTTCCTGAAGGCACCAGAGATTGATGAGGACTACAAGATCATCAACGACTCCCGCTATAGAACTTACAAGATAGAGGACAAGAAGCTAGCTCAACTGGATACAACTACTAGACGTACCTTATTCGGACTAGCCAGGTCTAGGGCTGTCAACGAAGCACTCATCTCGAAGTTAAAGAACTCCACCGCCGAAGACGACCGGATGATATATTCTGCTCTACTGACTCAGAAAAACGACCACCAGTTAATGTCGGAGCATCTAGCATCCACATCAGCAGGCCTGACTCTCCTGAGGAGGCAAGGATTATTGTCATCGTGCACCTGGAGTGAGCGGTTCACCAAGTCCTTATACAGAGCCCCATGGTCAGCATCATCCATCTTTGGAGGAGGAATTGAAGAAGTCGCCAAGGAGGTTACACACGAATCAAGGGAGGTCATGATGATAAAGTCCATAGATACCTTGGCAAATGTGATTTGTCAAGACGTCCCAGCTCTACTCCAACAAATCCAAATTTGCAGGAGTCCAGAGAGCCAGAGAAAAGAAGTATTCCAACTTGAGAAGAGGAAGAGGTTCTTTTCGTCACCCAACCGGGGCCCCCAGAAGTAACCCCGGAAGAGGCCGAGCACCCAGGGATGCCAGGGGAACCAAATGCTGAAGGACAGGTTTGGAACGACTGGAGTCTTCCACCCCCAGCCGTTCCTGTACAACCTTCGACAGTGGGCGGACATCTTCAACGGTACTGGGAAAATTGAGGAATACTACAGGACGACTACGTATCCCAGATACTACGCAGAGGGTACAAGATACAGTTGGAAGCCACCCCGCCGCTTACAAGCAACCCGCTGGCCTTCAACTACACAGCCGTCCAGATAGAGAAACTGGACGACGCAATCAAGAATCTACTCGACAAAGATGCAGTAGAAGAGATAAATTAAGATCTCATCATGCCTGGTTTTTACTCCCCAATTTTTCTGGTACAGAAGAATTCCAAGATGTTTCATCTACAACATGAGGAAGTTCAACCAGGAGTATCTCTGCAGACCAGCAAAATTCAAGATGATTCATCTTCCTCATCTCTGACATCTCGTTCGTCCAACAGACTACCTCGCCAGCATAGATCTACAAGATGCGTACCTACACATCCCAATACATCCAGACTCAAGGAAATACATAAGATTCCTTTTCAATGGACATCACTTCCAGTGAAAGGTTCTACCGTTTGGAATATCGTCGGCCCCCTGGTTGTTTACTCAAGTGACCAAGTCACATATCTACATCGTCGAGGTCTACGCAGTGCTTTTTACCTGGACGACGGAATTCAAGTTCATCAAGATCCCAGTCAACTCAGACTGCAACTAGACTTCACCATCAGGCTTCTCACTCAGTTAGGATGGCTGGTAAATCTCCTCAAGTCGGAACTGGATCCGAAACAGGATCTTCAATTTCTAGGAATACGACTCATCACGCTGGTGAATCGCATAGTCGTCCCAGAGGATCGTTGGGTCAAGATACAACATATATCTCAAGCAATGCTCTCTCCGTTGACACTACGTGCTTGGCAAAGCATGCTCGGTCTACTCACCTCAGCTCAAGACATGACTCGCAGAGGGAGATTACAACTGCGCTCACTACAAATATTTGTGTACGCCCATCTTGACAGTCTGGATCCGCTGATACTACCGGACAGCCTGAAACCATACCTCTTATGGTGGACTCAGAAGTCGAATGTTTGCGGAGGCACCTTTTTGTCAGAGCCGGTTTGCAACACTCATCTCTACGTGGATGCATCGCTACAAGGATGGGGTGCCCACCTCGACAACGAAGTGGCAGCAGGGAAGTGGTCGAGTCAGGATCAGAGTCTGCACATCAACCTGTTGGAGATGAAAGCAGTGATCAACGCTTTACAACACTGGTCCAGCGTACTAAAGAACGCAAGGCTCACGGTCCACGCGGACAACTCCACAGTAGCGTTCTACATCAACAAACAAGGATCAACAAGATCAACAAGTCTGCTACAACTCAGCTTTCTCCTGGTCAGCATCGTCGACGACCTGAACATCTACATGAAGGCATGCCAAATTCCAGGAGCAAAGAATGTCATAGCACACACCCTATCTCGTCCACTACAACCATCCCCGACGGAATGGATGTTACACCCAGAAGCGTTCCGGTTCCTCATACAGATCCTCAGGCATTGGCAACAGACGCTCTAAGCATCTCATGGGAAGGACTAAACGCTTATGCGTTTCCACCTCCAGCACTACTACCACAAGTAATACAGAAAATCAAGCAGACGACAACTCTGCAACTGATTTTGGTCGCGCCTTATGGCCAGCGAGGGTATGGTTTCCCGTCCCCATACAAGAATTCGGAAGTCCAACCCTGAAACTACCAGAGTGGTCGAACTTGCTCATCCATCCACACATCCAGCAAGCTCACGGGAATCTGGCATTGTTCCAGCTACATGCATGGAGCGTATCAAAGCTTGCCTGAAGACTAGAGGGTACTCCACCAGAGCAGCGAAAGCAGTGACACTAGCTCTACGCAGATCAACTCGCAACTTGTACGCCGACAAGTGGCAGAGATTTGAACAGTATGCAACGAGGAAAGGCTTTACAGCGGTAAAAGCAACCCATCCTCAAGTGGCGGAATACCTGTGTCATTTGCGACAGACGAGACACTTAAAAGGTTCAACACTCTCAACGTACCTGGCTGCTCTCAGCACAGTTATCACCATGAAGACGGGTGTCAAGCTGACCAAAGTACCAGAGATACTGGCACTACTACACTCTTTCAAGTTGGAAGACCAACAAAAGAAATTCAAGGATCCTGCCTCGGATCTCAACATAGTTCTACAACATCTCACCAGTAACGCCTACGAGCCTCTAGAACAGACATCCTTTGAACTACTGACACAGAAAATGCTGTTCCTGATCGCCCTAGCAACAGCAGCACGGATGTCAGAAATACATGCTCTGGACTTTGAATGAGCACGATTTGAATCAAGACATCGTGACATCGTACATCTAGGACTGAGATGGGATTTTATTGCCAAGAACCAACTGCCCAGCCAGCCTGACAGACAGTTCCACATCCCAGCACTCTCTACAGTCCTTGGGCCACAGGATACACAGGATTTATCCTTATGCCCTGTCAGAGCACTAAAAGTCTACCTACAAAGGACAAAAACAAGGAGACGAAAATTCAAGCGCCTATTCATCCCCTTATCCACTGAGACGTCTCACGGACAACGATATCGATATGGATGAGAGCCGTTATACTAAGGGCCTACAAAGCAGCAGGACTTGAGCCTCCACGAGCCTCCAATCCCCACAAAGTCAGAGCCCTGGCGTCTACACTTGCTCTGCATGGAAACTGCTCGATTAAAACAATAATGGAGGGCTGCTTTTGGAAATCGGACACGGTGTTTGCCAACCACTACCTCAGAGACATTGCCACCGAAGACGTCACAGGCATTCACCATTTTGGGCCACTTGTTGTAGCACAACAACTAACGGTTCCACAAAGGCGCGCGCTGAGAAAAATCTCACCCTTTTATCACGTGACTTGTGAAAACCAATGCTCTAGAGAGCAAATGGTTAAAGTCCATGCACATGTCTAGGACAGGCTAGCATGAGTGATAGACCCTGTACTTGTATAGGACATACTCGTACATGAAGAAGGGTCGCATCTCCACTTGATGGAGTTGCAATAGATAACTAATGGAACATTAGTATATCTAAAATCCACACGAAAATGTCAGGGGAAGTTTCCCCTGTTGTGGTTCCCCCCAGACTCATCAGAGGAAGTTGAAAGAACAGAATCATCAGCAGTGCCGTCATAAGTTCCCATGGGGGGTAATACAGGATGTAAATCAACAGCCAGTGATTCCAGGAAGTGGCCTGACCCTACACCGTTTCCAACGGATTCTGCACGCATTTAGCTTGAGTCAGGATAAGGAAAAATATGTAATTTTCTCACTAAAATTGATATTTTATACTTATCCTGACTCATTTGGTCAGCCCTCCCAACCTCCCCTCTCAGGGCACTCTGGATTTCCCTGTAAATCCGGGTGTCAGGGCATACATATGCAGGGTTTTACACAGACTTTAAAAAATGGGAGTCATGCTGAATCACAGTATTTATTTTTGGGAGTCATTTTCAATATCTGGGAGTCTATTGGCTGTCTAAATATAGTGAATGACATACTCAAATGCTATTGGCTGGTATCTTTACCGCATTCTAGCATGGCTCTATATTTAGCCACTCCCGTACTTTCTGTTAATATCACCAGCATTTTCAACACAGTTTGCAGTAAAACGAAAGCTATCATTGTTTTCTTATCAAATCGATTTTATTGAACTGAATTCTGAGGGTCACTCATAAAACTTGCGTCAAGCTTGACTCGTATGATAATATTTTGAGAGTCTTTTAGAAAATTGTTACGTCAAATATGCAGGAATCACGCGTCATGTAAAACCCTGCATAAGGAGAGAGTGACAAAGATGGCTGGTCATGTGATACAAAAGGGCCAAAGGGGCAAGGGAGACTACTTGTGGATTAGTGATGATTTTACGTCCGCTGTTTAGAAGGGAACTTCAAGGGATTTCAAGTGTTCCACTATCATTCGCAAGAAGGAGACAAGCATTTATCATGAGTCTGGATAAGTATAAAATATCAATTTTAGTCAGAAAATTACATTATTTAATAAATGAATGTATCTAATGTTCATGATGGATAGGCTCTGAAGTGTTTTGACCTTGGGTCACTGCAAATGTTTGTGGACATCATTTGTTGTAAATTAGATGATGGGTAATCTCTGAATTAAGAGGCAGTGAGGTATCCTAGTGTTCACTCATCACGCTGAAGACCCGGGTTCGATTCCCCACATGGGTACAATGTGTGAAGCCCATTTCTAGTGTCCCCTGCCATGATATTGCTGGAATATTGCTAAAAGCGGCATAAAACTAAACTCATTCACTCACTCTCTAAATAGTTATAACACATGGCTGATCACTCAAAATGTTCCAAGACAATACCAGTTGTACACAACATTTAAGTTATAACCTCAGATAGCATTGATTGGGTCATGGCATCAGTACACGATGGCTGGTAAGTGTAATCACAGATACAACAAATGTCACATCGTGTTGTCTTTCATAGAAGACAGGTAGGCCCTGAAATGTTATTGTTGTGTTCTTCAATGCTATTTCCTTTCATTCCGTAACAGGAAAGAGAAGTTTCCTTATGGAACTACTTACTAGTGTTGGGAATTGGTTGAAATCTCACAATTGATGATAGGTTCAAAACCTACGACCAATCATCGAAAAAAAATTGGTTAGCGTCATTTTTTAGATTTTCCTATTCAGGTTGTAGTTTTAGATAAGTATAAAGTGAAAAAACATTTGGTTCTCTGTTGTTGTTTTTAGAAACTACACAAATTATATTTGCAGATTTCACATCCAGTGTAAAATGATTCAGTTCCAGTGTAACATTAACTTTCCATATTCTTCAAGAAATATTCAGTCATGACTTTTCAGAAAGTGAAGTGAGTTTTCTTAGAAATAAACGCGTTTTCAGGCCCTGACAACGTCCTAGATATGTTCCATCATCAAGTATTTCAAACTCTATTACAGCGGTTCCAAAATTGTTTGTGTTCGATGAGAAAATGTGATCGAAAATGCGACCAATCTTCGATTATTTCAATTAATCGACCACCACTACTACTTACTACGTTCATAACAAACAAACACTTTCGGTCCTTGCCGGCTGTTATTGGTATATATTGTGTAAGAAGACAAATCTTGAGCCAAGGAAATACCAGGGATCTTTAATATGTTGGAGTTATTGTAGTGGAACCTTGAGAAAACTAGAAAGACCCAACATGATTAATGTTTTGCATGTTCTTGTGGACTTTAGTTGAACAGTTTTTAGATATATTTTAGTATAAAGTAGTATGTCGTGCTTGTATTTCAGCCGAGAGGATGAATACTGGCACAGCTCGGTGATCTGTAAGCGACTTGATCAGAAACGGGTAATGACGTCTTCTGGATCCATCTATCAACTTGTCGGACCCATTCAGAAACTGGATGCGCTTGAAGCTGGTATGGTAATATTTAACAATGGCCTAGTATTACCGGTAATATATAATACAGTATAAGCAAATATATACACTCCATGTCAGGTGATACATGAAGGCATTTTGTGTAATTTCAGGTATTCCAGAGAGAATTGTGAAGGCTTTTCAAAATGGCTTCCCAAAGAACTGGGAGAATATTTTGAAGAAATACTATGTTGATATAGAGAGGTAGGTACAGTCTGTAGACCTGTGATAGAATTAGTCTTCAGCAACCCATGCTTGACTAATGACTAACAGGATCGGGTGGTTAGGCTTGCTGAAATGGTTGACACTTAATTTTATCTCAATTGCTTAGATCGAGGCTCATGCTGTTGATCACTGGATTGTCTGATCCAGACTCAATTATTTACAGACTGTAGTCATATAGCTTGAATATTGCTGAGTGCTCAACAACAAACAAGCAAAGGCCCAGTCTGTACTAACTTTGGTTTAGTTTTACAACACGTATCCATGTATTTTATGATTGATGGTTATCTTTCTCAGTGCGTCTGAAACAACTGAGACAACAGAGACAACCACAAGTTCTGTTAAAAACACGAAAAAAAGGAAGTCTCGTAGGCACGCTAAGAAAAAGAAGCCTGTGTCTGAAGATGAAGATGAAGATCCAAATAATAGTAAGTTTCAAAATGTTTCTTTGTAACACTATAGTCTCTGGATGAGACTTTGAGGTTGACAGACATGAAATATATGCTTCTGCCAAGGTGAGGTGTTGTGAGACTTAGTGTTTTCTTCTCCACAGCTATTTGACATGGTCTGATTGACTGCGATGTCTGGCTTCTGTACAGTTGCTGTGTTGTGTTAATTTGCCGTTTAAAGATCACATATACTGTAGGGGGTACAAATACATAAATCATTTATTGGCATCGTTCTGAATGAAACCCTGTCATTAAAACTACTCATTTTGACATTTAATTACCTTAAATCGACCTTTTGGACAACATCTCACCATTCTCTCCCGTGAACGAAATTTCATCCTATCAGAGAGGCGCGTCTCCGTGGCGTAATGTGAGGTACACATATGAGGGGCGATGTAGAATTCATGTACATTTCCGAGGGTAGATTATCTTGTTTACTGGTTTATCTAAACCTGAAATTGTGACAATTGTTGTGAAATATGAAAGCTTTATGTTTTCACAATCTACTGTCATTTAATCTTGTCACCTGCTTTGCCTAGCTTCCGAGTTACAACTTGTTTTCATAGACGATTCTGTCAAAATCGCAGTGGGACATTAGGAAGGGTGGATGCCCATCAGATGCCGTTATTTGAAAGAATCCCCGGTACTTCTTGTCTGATTGTAATAAAGTATCCCAACAGTGTAGGATTTTTCAGACTTTCTAAGACTAAAATGCTATTTAGGTTTGATCCTTTTCTGTGTTTTACCTCGATATTTAATTACAAAAATCAAAACTAATTTTTACTGGTAGTAAAATATGTATCTGATTGATGACCAATAGGATTTTGTATGACATACCTTATGACATAACAGTCATGTGACCATTCTCTCTTTTTAAGCCAAGCGGATGGTGGGTGTCAATATAATACTACTTGATAATATTATGTGTGACTTAAACTAAACAACCTCGCTTTGCCAGGAAGAAATCGCTATGTTACAAGTTGTGTCATGCAAATTCCTTTTGGTTCATTAATCATGTGCATATTTTACTACAAACTTGCAGTACTATTTGTAGTTTTGATTTTTGAGTAACTTCCATGAAGTGATCTGAACACAAGTAAGATATCGTTCCAGGCTTTCCACAACGCCACCTATAACATGCTAACTTCCATGAAGTGATCTGAACACAAGTAAGATATCGTTCCAGGCTTCAACAACGCTCGCTTCGCACTCACAAACATAACCCATTTAGCACGAACTGCGGGGTCCGGTGGAAATATGTGCATGGTGACACCATCACCCACCCCTGGGAGCAATTGGCGGCAACGCAACTATTTGGCATGTCTTCCTTGTCGTGAAAGCAGCAAAATGACGAGCTTGTCACACACTTTATATACAACTAACTGAAAATCCTTCCTCACATATTGTCACTTCCGGTGCTCTGGCATAGGAGTTACGTAACCTCTCTGTGGCGGGCGAGAGTGAAGCAGACAACTTTTGGCAACTTTTAATCGCTCGGTATTAATTAACCACAAGTGTTTTAAGAATGAATTTGGTGTTCTGCTTAAGACTAACCACACGTCTTTCATATGTAATGGTTAAAAGAGTACAAAAAAACAAAAGTATATTCATTCTTTAAACGTATGCCGTCCGAAAACGTACTAATAATAGTTCAGATAATATTTTTCCCGCTCACTGACTCAGAATCTCTTTCTGTTATATTATTGGGTATGTTTAATCTAAATCACTGGTAGATCGCAGGGAAGCGTGTGAACAGCTGATTGCTATTTCCGGCTCTGTTTACGGGACAAATACATAATCTTATTCTCTGTATATAATGCAGTGCCTAACAAATACAAATTAGAACTGAAAAAGTAAATAATCTTGTCTAGTGATCTTCAACTGAAAATTTGATGTCTTTACTAACAAAAGTCATTTTCTCTTGTTCATTTGCTTGAAGTGATACTATCATGTTTTCTAACCATGAGAATAATAAGTTTGACGAAAGTGTAACCCATAGATAAGCCGACCCCCTTTCTGCAGACGGCTACTTTTTGGTCCTCAAAATTCAGCTTATCATCATATACGGTGTATGCTTTTGTTTCAGAAACATTGTGCACACCTTCAGGACAGAGGGTTGATCTAGAGAAACTGCCTCAGACTCGTAGTGGAAGACAAGTTCTGCCGCGGCTTGCCTGGTGGATGGGTCAGCGACGATCATATGATGTGCAGGGTAATATCATTGCAATATCACGGGGCACTCCACATGCTGAAACCCATATGAAGAAGAATTATTCAGAATACAAGGTATGAAGTATATTTTGACAGGTTAGATTATAATTACATAGCTGAATTTGTTCATTTTTGTATTTAGTATTGACATGATTGAACACCTTGAGACATTTCACAGTTTAATAAAATGTCATCAATGAGAAAAGCTAGTCTCATGTCTCTGGCTCCTGAGTCATCAAATAGGCATGAAACAATAAAAAAAACACACCACCTTTTGCAACAGTATAAGACCAGACCAATTTTTTTTCTTGTTTTACGGATTTTTGTCCTCAGAAAACCTAAAGGCCGGAGGGAAAAAAATAAAAATCACTAATCAAAATATTTTTCCTTTTAAATACTAAAAGTATTTTATTTTTGGCACTTTTTGGAGTTTATATGGGCAAAAAAACAATCAAAAAGAGTTTTTTATGTAGGTTTACATTTTTGGCCAATAAGAACATGAGGAATATATTTTTTGAGCGGGGAAAATTGATTTTCATTTTTTTTCTTATTCTTAAAAAAATACGACTGGCGAATCCGTAAAACAAGAAATAAAATTGGTCTGGCCTCATGATAAATTATAATTTCAGTCAAAATGTATCTTTGACAATAGATCATAAGGCTGTTAAAAGCCATATTCTACTTATGATGTACAGTGCAGAATATTTCAAAGTGCACTTTTTCTTTCAGACTCGCTCACAACACTGTAGAAAGTATATAACTGTAAATACAAGCACTATGTCTACTCCACAAAGTCAGAGTGCAAATATTCAGTCACAGGTCCTTGGTATTATTGAGAAGGCCAGATCTGACCGAGCTCTGCCTAAAGACCGTCGTGAAACTTGTTATGACAAGAGGAAAAATGACACTCGAAGACAGAGCAAGCTTGATATGATCCCTGTTGTTCCTGTGACTTTAATGAAAGAAAATATTACAAATAAGGAATCTAGGACTGCTGTGCGTGAGAAAAAGGACAAACATAACAAAAATCCGGTCCGAAGTAGACGGCGAATTTTAGATGTACAAGAAACATCATCAAGTGAAGAAGAGGCCATAATTTCTGATAAGGACTCAAATAGTCAATCAAAATCTCAAACATTAATTTCAAAAAGCTCGAAGGCAAAAGTTTCAAGGAAGCGAAAAAGCACTGAGCCATCTTCAGATAGTGATGATATTGGAATAAAGAAAGCTCGGAGGGTGCAAAAAAAAATAGATGAATCTGAAGCAGAGTCAATCACAAGTGAGACTAAAACTAAGAAAAGTGTTCCCAACAAGAAAAAGGCCAGTTCTAAAAAGGCAGCATCAAAAGCATCAACTGAATGGGGGAAATCGGAAATAATGAGACTTTACAGGTGAGTTACATGTCAGCAGGAAAGTGTACGATTCAGCCAGCATCACTAAATAGTCTTGCAATAGTATCTACAGACACATTAAAAAGCATTGTGTGGTTTTGACATGCTTTGTATAATGCCTGTTACTTACTGAAATACAAGCTTTAGTTGTAATTCTGTGTCTCTGTGGGGTATATAACGCAAACACATGTCACTATATAAGTGCAGTAATCTTCACAGACCTTAAACCCCATTTCACCTTACCTCCATGTTTAGTATTTAAAATTATTTTTTAGTATGAGGGAGCTCAGTGAAAATTCTACCTTGAAGCAATGTTTTTCTGTTGGAGTAAAAAACAATCACCTGTACCAGGCCTTGGCCATGTCTTGCCCTCAACACCTTGATTTATGTTGACAGAGCTATAGAGCGGACGAGAGAAGAACATCCTTACTTCTGGGAAGTTATTGCAGAATCTGTTGAGACAAGGACAATGGATGAATGTCGCATATATTATGAAAACTCACCAAACACAGCCTCTAAGCCAGAACCCAAAACAAAGTCCAAACCTAGGTCCAAGAAAGGTAGGCAGATGGTTTGCAATATCCTGATTGTGATACAGTAATTTTTTGTTGGTTGTTTTACATTGCATCTAACAATATTTCAACTATATGCAACAGTCTGTAAATATTAATGTCCGGACCAGAAAATCCTGTGCATGACATCTTGGGCTTCAATCTATGCAGATCCAGTGATATACATCAACGAAACTAAGGAGCCTGACACCCAATCCCGTTAGTCACTTCTTTCAACCAGGATAGGTTTCTCATAAACAGTTGTAACCCGTGAAGATCCGGCTTAGAATTGGTCTTCAGCCCATGCTTGTGTTAAGAGGGGTCGGGTGGTCAGGCTCGATGACTTGCCTCACACTGGATTGTGTGGTCCAGACTTGATTATTTACAAACCGCTGCCATATAGCTGGATTATTTGCTCAGTGCAGCATTAAACAACAAACAAACAAAAACAAAACCCAAGATCTTCACAGGTAGCCGGTGATGTCAATATCACCCCATAATCTGTGAGCTAACATAGACATGCCTAAAAGTTACTAGCCCACAAAATACTTCACTTGCCCGAAATTTGAATGTAGACAGGGGTTTCCCCATTAAGCTGCTAATATGATAAACATTTTTATCAAGCCATGATCATGCATGATTTAAAAGTGTATTATAACTTGGCAAGTCGGAGAGAGTGATGTATTTACAAAATGACCCCATGAAAATCACTAGCCAGTCGGACCATTGACTGTGGAGATTTACTGGTCTGACTGGATATTTACTAGCCACAGGCCAGTGACTATTTCACACACTGACTATCATAGTGCTCAAACTTGTGCTGAAAAACAACACTCACTTGTCTTCTTTCTTCTACAGGAAAGGCCAACTATACAGAAACAGAAGATGATGACTTTTTCAAGGCAACTCCATTTAGACCAAGCAACAACAAAAAGGTAGAGTTATCCGTCTTTTATAGCTGGGTGTCTACCATGTTGAACTGTGTGTTTCTCTTTCATGGATCACTTGAATGGGTGCTGGCTTGCTCATTGTTAAAGTGCTAGTTAATATTCTTTAAAAGCTGATATGTTTGTTTTTGCGACAGTTTGTGTTCAGTATCCTTTCTTAGAGTTTTGAGACACAAATGCCTTCTTTGTGAGGACAACCATACCAGGATTAACAGGATTGAAAAGACCTAATGTGTCACCTCTGTTTATCACCGGTTTAGTCTGTGTACCATTGACCACATGATACTACTGAGGCTATTTGTAAGAAAGCAAATAGTACTTAATAAAATCATTTTGAATATGATCATATTGATACCATCAGAAAGTTCAGTTCAGTGAATTCTCTGCATTTGTCAGAAATTCACGAAGGGAAATATATTGGAGTTTATCTTTGATTTTGTTGAAACTGATTTCTGTAAACATTTTACAGAGCAAAGCAGACGTCAAGGTAAAGTAGTGTCACTGTCATTGTGGTTTACTCTTTCGATGGCATCATTTGAGATTGAGAGGCAGAAAAGGTCCCTTGTGTCCAAAGAGCTGTGGATGGATGGTTGCAATGTGTGACTTGACTAATAGTGGATCATTGTGTCGTTCTCTGTGAATCAAGGCTATCAACCACTGCTTTGCTTGGCAGGAAATAAAGATAATTCACAGGCCACACTGATACCCCATAAATATTGTATACTGCAGTGTCAGTAGCCTTCACTTATACTGATCGTATCAATTCTGTAGGGGCAGTAGGGTAGCCTAGTGGTTCAAGTATTCGCTCGTCATGCCGAAGACCTGGGTTCGATTCCCAACATGGATTCAATATGTGAAGCCCATTTCTGGTGTCCCCCAGCCGTGATATTGCTGGAATATTGCTAAAAGCGTCGTCAAAAGTTACTCACTCTCGCACGCACTCACTCACTTCAATTTTCTCACTAACTAGTTGACAATGCACAGGCTATTACAGTTTATTTGTTGGGAAAATGGTGATGAAGCTTCTACAAAATACATAGCCATGGTAACAACTGTCTATCATTTCAGAGTAAGACATTCAATCTGACAGCAGAGGAAACCTTGACCTTTGACGAAGAATGCCTTCCCACTCCAGGAGCTCCGCATAAAACCCCCATTGTGAAGGACATTCAAAGTCTCAGAATGGAAAAAGCTCTCAATAAGTATGAAGCTGGGAATATTATGCTCATTTTAGGGCATTGCAACAGTTTTCAACAATACCTGTATTGTGATCAGTCAGTACAGAAGTATGCTTTCATAAGCTGGTATTAGTGTAGTAGACTCAGGGCTTCCTGTCATGACCTTACCAGGCTTTCTATTGGGGGACATATTGGATAAAGACAATTTAGCACTGGCCCATGGCAGATACTGCAGTGTAATATTTTTATGGCAGTATTACACTAGTGAAATACCGCTAGACATATGATGTCATAATGGTGTACAGTTATGACGTCACAATACTAATACCTCGGTCACAATGGTATTGGACCTTGCTTGACTCGCAGAAAGCTGAGAGTCATCACACTGTATGCAGTTCTTGTCATTTTATGTTGGAGAGTAATAACAGAATACTAGACTTGCTTCTGTGAAATGCCATTTCGTATACCATACCAAGGTCGTTTAGCATCCTCTATGTGTATAATCATAGATCAAGTTACAGAGGTAACAGTTTAACAGAGGAGTTAATGTCATTTGTTTACTATGTTAGGAAAAGACCATTTCATATTCTAGTGGGGATCTTGCAACAATTTTTATATATAGTCTGTTTGCAGTGAAAACGTACCCATGAATTTCACTTTAAACAAAAACGTAAATCAAATAAAGTGAAATTAGAAGTACGAATCCTCATGATTTTACCTTGCCAATTGAACATTTAAATCTCAGAATTTTATTCAACTTAGGATAAAAGTTGTTTAACAAACGATCATAGTTTCAAATCGCTATTGTTGGTTTGTATTACAAGGGGGTATGCACATTAAATGAAACACCGAGAAGAAGTAGGGTTGGTCTAAGTTAACGCTCATCATGTACTGCACGTGCATTTGTATCACTGTTCCAATTACTGCATTTACTCCCTTGTAATACAAACCAATAATAGTGATTTGAATCTATGATCGTCTGTTAAACAACTTTTTTCCTAAGTTGAATAAAATTCTGAAATTTATATGTTTAATTGGCAAGGTAAAATTATGAGGATTCGCAATCTTAATTTCACTTTATTTGATTTACTTTTTTGTTTAAAGTGAAATTCATCGGTACGTTTTCACTGCAAACAGACTATAGTTGGCAATTGTTTTTCAAGAGTCTAAAGCATAATTTGAATCTCTTGTTTGACAAGTCTCTGAGTTTCTAAATACCATTGAAAGATGAAGCAAATCAGTCCCTGACATGAGCCAAGCAGCACTGAGTCTGACTCAGACCTACAGCTTCAGCTTATGTAAGACGTGCATGTTGTTGTCAGGAGCCGCCTGGGCAGACAGGAGGAAGAGGAAGAGGAGACAGTAGCCAGTGTGAAGACGAGCAAGAGCAAAACTAAATCCAACTCACACAATAGTACGTGCAGTTCTTTTACCACTGTAGCAGGACAAAAGGTTCATTATTATGCAGAGAATTGTGTTAATATTGTCTCTGTGTGAAACTAATAAAATCTGAATATGAGATTGATTTCATCCATGCTGGGTTCAGTTGTACAAGACAATCTTCGTTAAAAGATCTTGAATACTTGATGTATGAAAATCTTATAACTGTTTTTTTGTTCTGTGCAAGGTGCCAGGTCAAGTGAAAACCTTTGAAACATAAAGGGCATTTTTTCAGAAACAAAAGATCTCTTATTCAGAAATGGAGGGTCATATATCTTTGATTACACAATGCCATTAACAAAGTGGTCAAATGTAACATATGTTATATTTCTTCTTTGAGTACTGACAATATATTACTGATATGAAAACATCCGTGGAATTAAGCAAAAGTGGCCACTAGTACCTGCAGCTATGGTTTGTTATCCATCAACCCTAATAGGGATGTATGATGTTTTTGAGACATAGATGTGACTATAGGGCTGTTACTGCTTCCAGTGGGGTGGTGAGGTAACCTAGTGGTTAAAGCGTTCGCTCATCACACTGAAGACCCGGGTTTGATTCCCTACATGGGCACAATGTGTGAAGCCCATTTCTGGTGTTCCCTGACATGATATTACTGGAATATTGCTAACAGTGCGTAAAACCATACTCACTCACTGACTCCTCCTTCCAGTTGCCGGAGTGACTGCAGGGCGGGGCACCATGAAACGCAAGGAGCAGCTACGGGAGGTCTACAACAAACATAACAAAGGAGTGGAGGATGACATCTTCGATGCCACACCTCTAAAAACAGGCACTCAGAAGAAGGTGAGGATAACCTTCAGGACTCGTTGATTTGTGACTAGTTATCATGCTCATTAAAATTGTATTTAATAAAGACCATGGAAGACTGGACCATATGTTTTTTGGAACTGGTGAATATTAAAGCACTTGAGGTTATTATGGGAAGGATTCCAACTTTTAGAAAATTCCTCAAGCAAATTATATTTCGACCTAAATGAAATAGTCATCAGCAAGTTACTGAGGTCAGCTAATTCAGCATACCTGTTCCTGATGTACATTTATAAGAATTTTTAGTTTCAACATAGTGTGAGAAATTCATGATTACCTGTAACCAGATGCTGATGTGTGACCTCTCTGTTCACAGTCACTGCCACAGAAGTTCACACTCACAGAGGAAGAAGAGCTTGATTTTGAATCTGAGTATATGCCGACTCCAGGTATTCGACACAAGACACCTATCGTTACTCAAGGCTCCCGCTTCTCCCACAAGACACCCACTAGTAGTGCAAAGGCTGTCACTACCCCATGGCTGAACCCTCTCAACAGGTGAGCTATTTCCAGGTGTCAGCATCCGGCTTCTGTGTACAGTAGAACCCTGGTGACGAGAACAGTCCCCAGTATATAAACATGCTATGCTAAAGTCATGATGTTGTGTAGCCTAGTGGTTAAAGCGTTCGCTCGTCATGCCCAAGATGCGGGTTTGATTCTCCACATGGGTACAATGTGTGAAACCTATTTCCGGTGTCCCCCGCCGTGAACTTGATGGAATATTGCTAAAAGGGGCGTAAAACCAAACTCACTCACCCACTCATGATATTGTTTTTGATGATGATTGAACTCCTAAGGTCCCCAAAAGCTAAGAAACAGTTTACAATGTTGTTTGATGGATTGATTTAGGTCATTCTGACGACATTTAAATGTTTCTTAGATCGTTCTTAAAAGGTAGCAGGAACTAATATCTCTTCTTTTCTGCCGGAACGGGGACTACTGTGTATTCAGCGGCATCCGTACGTATGTCCCAATTCTTGTTACTTTGACCACTTTTCTAACTCTTGTAATAAGGGGATTGCGCAGACACCAGTTTATTTGGGTGACCTTGACCTTATCTTCAAGGTCACCATGACACTTTGACCACTTTTCTAACTCTTGTTAACGCGATATCTCATGGGCTGTTGTACCCAGTGTCTTCTAATTTGGTGACAGTCTACATTGGGGGATTACGCAGACACCAGTCGATTTGGTCAACCTTGATCTTATTTTCAAGGTCACCACGACACTTAGCACACTTTTAAATCTTGTTAAAGCGATATCTCATGGACTGTTGTACCCAATGTCTTCATATTTGGTGACAGCCTACTTCAGGGGATTACGCAGACGCTGGTTTATTTGGGTGACCTTGACCTTATCTTCAAGGTCACCACGACACTTTGACCGCTTTTCAAACTTATTTAAACGTGATGTCTCATAAAACATTGCACCCAATGTTTTCAATTATGTTGACAGCCAACATTGGGTGATTATGCAGACACCAGTCATTTCAGGCATCTTGTATGTGACCAAAAAATAAAAAGTAGTAAATATAGATATTCCATTCTTTAGCGGCGGGGGACATTGCCATATCAGTGGCAAACACTTGTTATGGATGTTTTGATAGTCATCTGGGTAGCACATGAAATCCTGACCAAAGGATTGTTTGACTGTATGAGCAATGTCTATGGTTGACTTGGCAATAGTTTGGTTGTCTTAAGGTACATTGTGTAGGTGTAAATAACAATTGGTCCAGCTGTCTGCAATTCAGTCTTATGTGATGTTTCGTTATTTCAGAAAAATGGCAGATCAAGTCATTGCACAGAATCAACGGAAAGGAGGGAGACAGAACAGAGGAAAGGATTCTAAGGTGACTGCTCTGTTTTACTTAACACTCTAATGGTTGTATGTCTTGAATATCAGCAGCATGGCCACAGTCTCAGGCACTGCAGCTTGTGTTTCTAGGTCTGTCACATTAAAGTATCTGATATGCGAGATTTCAATTCCAAGATTCACATTGTGGTCCTACACCAGTCTCTGCTTGACACCTGGTACCTTCCACAAAGCAATCTTAACGCAGCGACAGTCAGAAGTCTTTGTTAAAGTATAGGAGAAATTATGGTCTTGATGCAAACAGCACTTGTGGAATGGGATCATTGCTATCACAGATATAAGCTTCTTTAAATTATGTCACACTTAGAACTGCTTCCTTGGTCAGGTGGATGTAGTGTCTGCTCGGGGAGCAAATGTTTATTGGTTTGATGCATTGGTTGTCAGTACATCATAGCAAATGATATTGAAACATGGTAATTGTTGATTCCATGCCTGGTATATGAAACACATGCACACAGCAGAGAGATGTCAACCACTCCGATCTTGGCGGAGGTACTCCGATTTTCAAATACAAAATCTGCTGTCCGATTCCTCTTTATAAAACTCTGATTTTTGAGAAAAAATTCTGAATTTATTTTTACGGTATACAATTTCGTAAGTCACCGGTGATTTATTTGAGTGAACACTGGTAAAAGCATTCAGAAGCTAAGGGTGTGAGCCTTTGGGTGTCGGTTGTGTATATTGCGTGTTATTGAAGATGAAATTTCACAAAGTTTTTCTGAATGCATATCATAGTCCGTATGAAAGTGACAAAAAATGGCAGAGTCGACCACGAGCTCACCCCCAACTCGCACCTTCCGTTTTCCTTAGATTCAGGGTTGGCATCTCTGACATAGGCATGGCCACATATGCGTACAAACACTGCTTGATTTGTTAACCTGTTCAGTGTTTCTGTGGGACTTCTCCAAAATGTTTTGCCATGTTATTCTGAGAACAGCTGTTTGTACAGAAATATTCTGTTATATAATAATTAGGTTTTGTGTACCCCACAGAATCAAACGCCCCGAGCCAGCGGTGCTGAGAAGACAGGCCCTACCAAGTCACTGTTCAGAAATAACACCACCCTTACAAATCTGTTTGAAGAGGTGGAGGAAGAAGAAGATATGGATGAAGAAGAAAAGGACTACTACTGGTCTGATGAAGACTAGGAGATTTTAATGATGGTTCAAGACGTGGTGTGAAATGTCTATAGAGCGTCAGCCGGAGAAGGAGGAACCTAGGAGGAACCCCAGAGTAAACACTCCTGCCCACCAAGCGTGAGAAGTGGTTACTGTCAGTGTTGTTGAGAGATACAGATTGTGATGAATTCCTGAAGCTCTCTCACATATACACTACAGTACACTCTGGAAGCTTCAGAATGGAAATGAAGAGATCATGATTGGTTCCCTCTACAATCTGTACAAACATATTTGTGTTGCTGACCATGATGTAGATGGTAATGAAGGTTAAAGAGTGACATGGTTCAAGCCAGTATGTAGATCTTGATTTGAACCTTACCTTGGTTTTCTGCAGTCTTCAATGTGAAGGTGCTTATCAGTCTACTTGTGAGTGATTATCATATTATCTGGTAATTACAATGTATCATTGTTCTATGTGTAACCAGATGCTATGTTGAGACTTATGCTAGAATTGGGTGCCGTAAAGTGGGGCATCTTAAATCTCGTGAATCTGATAAAGACACTCTTGCTTTCAAACCTAACAGGATAGCCTAGTGGTGAAGGCATTTGCTTCTCATGCATAAGGTCTGGGTTTGATTCCCCTCAAGGGTTCAATATGTGTAAATGAGCCCATTTATTTACCCCACCATTGTATTGCTGGAATATGGTTGAATCTGCATGACTGACTGACTGACTGAGTTTGGTTTTACGCCGCTTTTAGCAATATTCCAGCAACATCATGGCGGGGACACCAGAAATGGGGAATCTGCATGAACCATAATCACTTACAGAGCTTCATGTGTGGGATTTTCGACAGCCAAGATGTCCCCATTGTCTTGACTGGTCAGATGTTATAGTAACTACAGAAGATATGTACATGTGTCAAAGCCCTCCGAGGAACTGTAATCAGCAAGGTGATCATGGGCAGCGTTTGCCACTCGATACAATGACAGTTGCTGGAGAAGTAAACACTCTTGTGATGCAACAGCCACTAAGGATCATATCACAGTTTACTGAGTGTTTTGTCAACACAGTGAAATTGTAGTAGTTAAGTGAAAGTATTCTAGACAAGGACTGTAAATCTTTGATCATTTTACCAGAGTTTGCTGTTACTATGACTACCCCGGGGAAAACCTGCATTCACAGGTGGGATTTCTAACCTGATCTGATGCACGGACAGCTGATGGGTGTATGGGCACCATTTTTTACTTGTTTTATCTGGATATTTATTTTAAAGTTTTGTTATTACTTGTATATTGAATTGTATATTTATTCCACTGAGTGAGTTTATCATGTTTATTTAAAATCTTTTTTTTTCATTATGACCTTAATAACACACTTTTTGGATGATGGTGATGCTGCTCACTAAACCTTACAAGTAAACACACGTATATGATATATTTTATCAAATATGTTTTATTTCTCATAAACATCATAAACTACTGTTTGGGTCAAATCTTTATACAGGCACACACATGATCTGAGAAGCTAGGAAATATGGTTATTTGGTTCTATGACTCTATGTTGAATAACTTCTGTTGATTATGCCAATATAGTAACAAGATAAACTTGAAAACTAATGCTAATGTGTGACTCATTCTGTAACTGAGGCTGTACTTAAACAGAAAAAGGATAAGAAGATTGAAGAGAGTAAATTTCATCATGTTTGAGTCACTTAAACTTTGAGAGAAATGAAGTAATAGGAATCGGTACATGACAGTGGTACAGTGATTATCTAGGAGATGAGCATTGTGACTAACGAACATGCTCATAATAAAGGACACCAACTGTTAGAATTTGTTTTCATCCACTAAAATGAACATTCATCTAATGAATTCATGTTGGATATTAACGGATGTGATTACTAACAAAGGACCCTATCATATAGCTGGAGCGAGTGAGTATGGTTTTATGCCGCTTTTAACAATATTCCAGCAATATCACGGAGGGGGGCACCTGAAATGGGCTTCACACCTTGTACAGCTGTTTGGGAATCGAACCCGGGTCTTCGGTATGACGAGCGAACGCTTTGGCCACGAGGCTACCCCACCGCCCCTCTCATAGCTGGAATATTGCTGAGTGCATGTTAAACAACTAACAAAGGGAAATGGATGTGTAGAGGTTACTGCATACTAACTGCATTGTACAAATGGTCATGGTTGTCAATAGCAATATTCTGTCATTTTCATTAAAGCAACCATCGTCTGATGACAACAGAATTGTCTTCTTACACCGTATCATGTATGTTGCTATGTTGTACTGATATGCTTTATGCTTTGCTATGGGAGTGCTTACTGTGATGCTGGACACTCTATTGCAATACAGTTGTAACATACGTACGTATGTATGCACGCATGCACGTACACACACACACACACACACACACACACACATGCACATGCATGCATGCATATACACATGCATGCACAATGTGAAAAAAAAACCCATAAAAATTTGCATTTGACATTCCTATTTCCATCATCAAGTAAATAAATACTAGCAGCCCCGGTTAAACCATATCCAGCAGATTTGAACCAGCCAATAACACAGTGTATATACATGCAGATGATAGCATTTTACAATAATGGTGCATAGTGTTTTATGTGGGATGCTAATGAATACTTTATTTTGTACCTCGTCATATGAGAGAAATATTCTCAAGCACGACGTTAAACTCAATTTCACCTAACCTCACCTTTATTTTGTACCGATACTTGACCTGTCAATGGTGAACCATTACACCCTGTGTGCTACCTAGTCAGTGTACGGGGCACATCTCACACTGGCTGTACTTCATGTAGCATTGCATCTCCTCATCACTTGATGTTACTCATAGCGCAATCATTAAGCCTGTTTCAACCAGGACGTCATGAACATTTGCTAGTTATGTATGGTTATGTCTTTGTACTCTTGGGATCAGATGTTCAGTTCAGAACTTCGATACAAGTCCTTTGCTGACATCAGGAAAAGGAACTTATGTAGATGAACTGAATGATAAAGCCTTTGACCTAACATTCCTAACATCAAAATGATTCTAGGTTGCAGCAGTCACTGAAACCAACTTTAAAAACAACAATGATAGTTGTATAAAATATATTAACATCGAATAACCCTTTCTTGTGTTCTTCAATCAGCCCTGAGTGTATACAGTCAGTTGGCTGGCAGTAGGTCCTTATAAAGGCTACTCTAGCAGTGTCTTGACTGTGTCATCTGCCTTTGTCTACATAACAGTTGTCTTCCAATTTTCTCATGATTTGAGACAACATAGCCATTTGTGTTGACAGTTATTCATGAAATAGGATATGATGAAATGTCAAATTAAGTTAACTGGGTTTTCCAGTAGTATAGGTTATAAAGCCAGGTTTGTTGTATATAGTGTGCAATGCTCTGTTGTCATGGGTGTAAGGTGGTATAACAGCTAGAATATGACAATTATAAATACAACCCAACAAGAGGTCAAATTCTGTAATGTTAACGCTTGTCCCCAAAGTGTCCATGTTCCTCTTTTTGAGGTTTTCCAATTTAATATGCTACACAAAAAAGCTAAATAACACCAGATTCTGTCAAATTACTGGCGCTAATCTGTCATGCCTGTGTGTGAGTTGGTTTAACATCGCCTCTATAACAGTAGTCCAGCTAGGTCACAGTAGGTCAGCTTAATGTGGGAGGATAGCCCAAATTGATGCAGGTGTCTGGGTCTAGATTTTCTGAGCTCTTTTAGCGCTAAGATAGTCGTAAGTTAATGTTAATGTATGGCACTTACGACTATCTTAGCTCTAAGAGAGCTTCAAAAGTCTAGGCCCAGGACTTTACCACTTTGGTGAATCCTAAAAACACAGATATGGTGCTAACAAACCTAGAAAAATAATCAGGGCAAATCAGGTTTATAGTCTACAATCACAGGTTTCTGGTGTGCCAAAGGGATGCAACTCTGCAGTGCCTTTAATGACTGATCCACCATTGCACCCTAATGACAATGAGTAATAATGAGAAAGAATTCTCTATGTGAAAGAAAGACATTTAATGATTTTAAATGGCTTTCTACCACTATTAGTCTTTATTTGTCATACATACTCAAAATGGCATCTTTCTTAGTCTTCCTTTGGCATGTTCGGAATACAAGTGTGCAGTGTACAGGCTTAGTCTGTGCTGGAGTTCTTGAGCATCTTTACTTAACACTTATAAGTGTTTAATTGGGAAGGTTTTCACAGAGTTATGATTATTGTATTGTCCCAGTCTAAGAAGTGGAGATGAATTAATGTTAAACACTATTCACTCACTGTCTTGAGATATATGAGAGAAACTGTATTTTGATCCATATCCTTGCTGTATACAGTCTCACTCTTACCTACTGATATTTGGTGTCTTTGATTTGGTTCAAGGGCACTGAAATCCAATATAAGTGTTATTTATTTAAATATGTTAATATCATATGTAGTGCTTTGTAAGTTTGCAGTCAGCGGCTGAAATGAAGTACTTCAAATCTGGAAGTAACCAATATGTAATCTTGTTACAATATTTCTGCTTGACCTGAAACACCATGAGACAAATTCTAATTGTATATCAGTATCTGGTACCTAAGACAACAGCTGATATTGATTTTGAATAGTGAACTTAGACAGTAAAATAAAAACATGGCCAAATACCTCAGTAGAAAAAATTCCAAGCAATGTTGTACTTTCCAACTGGCAATGAGGTCTGTTGAAACTGGCTGTTTGATCAGTACATGGTCAGTGTCTAAAAGATAGCTGGCTTCAACTTACAAGCTAAGTGAATATTCTGTTTCTGATACTTGCAATTATTAGAGATGATTTACAACAATGTACAGTAACTGTATGTTTTCCTCTTTAATCATACATGCAGTACCTACATTTCAGAACATATAAAATCTCATTGACATTGACATCTTTAAAAATGAACTGATTTTTAGTAGCACCCATTGAAGTGTAAATATTGTGCGAAAATAAAGTTCATGTATATTTAACTTGCTAGGCCTTCATTTACGTGTTTGTGATTTCATCATGTAAAGTCTGATTTGGTTATGAAATATGAAGAAGGTGCTTGAGTGATCTCAATTTTGAAAAGATTAGCAATGGCGTCTAGATTGATTCAATCAATGGACTGGTGTAATGTCATTATTTTGTTTGGGCCTTTATAAGTATTATTTCCAATATGTGTTCATGTTATCTGTAAAGTATGTGTTTGAGATTAATTCGTTAATGCTGCTTATTGTCTTGGAGGTGTTTTGCCAAGTTTGCAATAAAACAATACTATGTCAATACACAAAGTCTTTGCGTTGTGTTTAGAACTTGATAAGATGAAAAAACACATTTTTTATCACTGAGGTGAGCATTTGTGGTGTACCACAGAACCCACCAGAGCTCGACCCAGAGGACCCCTTGGAGATCAACACTGGGGACATTATAAAGACGGAAATCTGAAAGGACTTAAAGAGTCTGAAGAATGGCAAGGGAGAAGCAATAGTAGATCAGCTGCATGCTCTCCTCAACCTTATATGGACCAACAAAGAAATCCCAACAGACTGGAAGAAAGGTCTTCTTGTTAAGCTGCCCAAAAGCAGAAATACATCACTCTGTGGAAAGCGGAGAGGCATCACTCTGTTGTCTATACCTAGTAAAGTCCTCACAAGAATCATACTGGAACGCTTGAAGATTGCCATCGACAAGAGATTGAGAGAAGAGCAAGCACGGTTCAGGAAAGAAAGATCATGTACAGACCAGATAGCTACTTTCAGGATGATCGTTGAACAAACGATTGAATGGCAGCCTCCTCTCTATGTCTGTTTCATCGACTTTGTAAAGGCGTTCGTGTGGACAGGAAGTCCATATGGAACATCCTACAACACTATGGGGTCCCCAAAATGACGGTCAACATAATCAAGCAACTGTACAATGGTTTTTCATGCAATTTTGTCCATGATGGAAAATTTTCCAATTCCAAGGAGTTAGACAAGTTTGCCTGATATCACCTCTACTATTCTTGACTGGGTCACAAGGGAAGCCTATGCTGACACTGGGAAAGGCATACAGTGGACTCTCACCAGTAGACTTGAGGACCTAGACTTTGCAGACGACCTCGCGCTCCTTGCAGGAGCAAGACAAGGTGGATGCACAGGGAACTGTCTCAAGCCGAGTCGGCCTCAAGAGAAACAGAGATAAGACGAAAGTTCTGAGGGCCCAAAACAAACAGCAAGATCCATTACAGATACACGGACAAGTGATTGAAGACATCACCTACCTAGTAGCTGGGAGCAGAATCAGCGCAACTGGTGGTACAGGCGAGGACATCAAGGCCAGGATAAGAAAAGCCCAATATGCTTTCATCATATTAAGCCCGATCTGGAAAGGCACTGTCCTATCCTTGAAAACCAAGCTCCGGATCTTCACCTCAAATGTTCGTTCTGTCCTGCTTTATGGATCGGAAACATGGAGAGTAACCATGATCAGCTCCATCACAATACAGACTTTAATCAACGAGTGTCTCTGACAGATCCTCCACATCAAGTGGTTCGATACAGTCTCCAACCCGGACTTATGGGAAGCAGCAAACCAAGACCCTGTCTCTGCTCAGATCAAGCGACAAACGTGGCGTTGGATTGGAAATATCACCAGACAAGCGCTGACTGGAACCCACAAGGCAAGTGGAAAAGAGGACGTCCAAAACAGACCTGGAGACGAAGCCTGGATAGGGAACTAAGGGAAAACGGCTGAACCTGCATGGGAGGTTACCAAAAGCATAGCCACTGACCGGCAAGCATAGAGGACAACTGTTGGGGCCCTATGATCCTCAGTGAGTAAAGAGGATTGAGTCAAGTAAGTCAAGCTGAGCATTTAATCAAAATAGAGTAACACCAGGTGTTCTATAATAGTGCCAATGGGTTTCTCTACAGCTGAGTATCCCTGCTTGTCAGTGGTGAATTTGTGGCTACAGTCCATGATGTGTCCTTGGACAGATTGTTATACCTCTGACCAAGAAAGGTTGGTCGGATCTATAACTGTACCAAGGAGTTCCATCTGTCCATCAGCCAGAGTGAGTGGGTATGGTTTTACGCCGCTTTTAGGAATATTCCAGCAATATCACGGCAGGGGACACCAGAAATGGGCTTCACGCATTGTACCCATGTGGGGAATCGATCCCGGATCTTCGGCGTGACAAGCCAGCGCTTTAACTTCGAATGGATTGTTTTCAAATTTCACATATAGATTTAGTGAATTGACGTAGTATCACCATAGATATCTATAGGACACAGCCCAGTGCTGTTAGATACGTGTCGTACCTCGTTCTGTCGAATTATGCCTGGTTATGCCAGGATACGCAAATGGTTGGTAACCCGAGAAGATCCAGGTCAGAATTGATCTTCAGCAACCCAGGCTTGTTGAAAGAGGCGACTAAAGGGATCGGGAAGTCTCGCTGACTTGGTTGACACATGCATGTCATGGTATCCCAATTATGTAAATCGATGCTGACGATGTTGATCATTGGATTGTCTGGTCCAAATTCGATCATTTACAGACCGCCGCCATATACCGGAGTGCGGCGTTAAACAACAAACAAACAAAGCTAGTCGTTGGCATTTTGGGTGTTACTAATGTGGAAAACATCTGCTATCTGTGCCATGGAATTCTCTCACATAGTAGACAGAAACGCAATGAATTAATGAAATATTGTTATGAAGCTGCGTTCAGTTTAATTAACCACGCGTCCCAGATAGAAACATTGTCTTAATTCCTGTTCAGTCACAATGTAAACTTCTGGTCCAACGGACCTCGAGTTTGCTGGGTTTTTTTTTAGTGCCGCACTCATCAATATTCCAGCAATGTGTCTGCAGTCTGTTAATAATTGAGCCTTGAACAGATAATCCAGTGATCAACATTATGAGCATCGATCTACGTAATTGGGATACTATGACATGTGTCAACCAAGTCAGCGAGCCTCTTACCACACGCATGGGTTGCTGAAGGCCAATTCTAATCCGGATCTTCACTGGTATACATACCTCGTTGGACTACAAGATGTCTAAAAGCCACAGTATGTTATCTAGAAGCAATCTAACCACCTTAGTGGTGTAGTGGTTAGAACGTCCGCCCGGAGAGCGCAAGGTCGCGGGTTCGATCCCCGGCAGCGTCATATCAAAAGACGTTAAAATACGGTATTTGTTGTTCCCTACCTGCATGGCGCTTGGCATTAATGGGTAAAAAAAGGGTCAGGTAAATTTTGGTCAGGGATGACAAGTTTTACATCTAGCCAGCCCTGTGGTCTGACTGAATTGTTGGGGAGTTTCATACAATGCCTAACAGTAATCTGATGTTTGGGACTCAGCCCCAAAATGTGCTTTACTGAGTGTAGTCCCAAATATGACGTTGCCCCTGGTAGGCTAGAACATCACCTGAAGGGCAGTGTTAGGCAAAAGTTTGAAATGTAAACATAATATCCTCAAAATGCTGGTAAGCTGCATTGCGTCACAACACAGTGTCAGTGGATTTGGAAGTATCAGGCCAAAGTCCAAACCACATACAAGTCCCGTTTGTCTGTACGTTTCCATTGCCACCTTTTCCCAATTAACACAATTTATGAAATTGCAGTCAACCACCAGTCTCCAGTTTATGGTAAACGATACAAATAAGTGAAAACCTCGACACGTGTGCTGTTAATGTGACACCTAGACTCGATACTACCACACGAATGTAAACTTTAACCAGATACATACATAAACCGACGTCACGGTGATAGTCTGTCGTACAGACCCTGAAGCAAATATATCCAAGAAAGCCCACGCAAGTCTAGAAAATGTGGCAAGTCTAATTTCCACAGCTTCTGAAAATGAAGAAAGTCCCTGGGCTCCTTTTTATTGTATTTACATTCTTAATTCAAAAAATTGTATTTTCTGTAAAATATGTTCATTTCAGAGACTAGTTGTTAGTCTCGGTCTGTGAAACACGCAAACACTCGCCTACTTCACGGTAATTCGCGTGATAATTGCTGTACATTTACTTATATTTAGTGAAATGTGTGATGCATGTTTTTCGTGTCCTTGGTGTGATTTTGCGGGAACATCGCGAAAAGCGGCGTAAGACTATACATACTCGCTCACATTATAACATCTGTATGTTTTAGATAGGTAGCTAGTGATATCTATATTTTATAAAGTGACTCAAAGGGGAATTTGCTACATCTGTTCGACTTGATAAATTGCACATAATTCTATGCCATGATAACAGCATGGTGTGATGTAATGTAAACGCAAGTCTAGAAAATGTGGCAAGTCTAATTTCCACAGCTTCTGAAAATGAAGAAAGTCCCTGGGCTCCTTTTTATTGTATTTACATTCTTAATTCAAAAATACTTATTAAATATTTTGTTATGGTCAAATATAACTCGAGTCAATAGAGGTTTATACTCCGAGGCTTGCTGAGTGTTTTTGAACTGTTATTGTCGAGCGTTTATAAGTCTTAGAGTTGAGTTTACATCCACATACTGGGCGGTGAGGTAGCCTTGTGTTTACATCGTTTGCTCGCGAGCACCGAAGACCAGGGTTCGATTCCCCATATGGATACAATATGTGGAGCCCATCGCTGGTGTTCCCCGCCGTGATATTGCTGGAGTGAATCTAAACTCACTCACTCACTCACTGTGTACACAGATTCAGCGAATCTGTGAAAGCGCCGTGTAGAAAATCGCCCCAGAATGTCTACTATTTATAGATTGGGCATGCAACCGAGCTCCGTCTAAAAGCAACATGGCAGCCAAGGTGAGCCTCGTGTCAAGTATTTACAATGTTTTAGGCACATGTCTGTGTTCAGCGATGGCATGTATAGGAGGAGGTTGATATACTTATATGGGCCCTTATATGGTAACCAGATATTACTTGATGCACCTAAATGTCACTTGTTCGTTTTTTAGTCCAGATTGCAATACAAGCCTCGCAAACCAGTGTATGGCATTTGTACCGGAATGTCTCTATTAAGTGGAGTGTGACTATTGCCTCTCAACATCACAGTGGTAGTGACTTCAGAGCCAAGTTCTGTAACATATGATACTGTCATGTTTTGCCGTAGTACACGTGTTTGCCAATGAATGCGTGGCTGGAATGCCGGCGGTGGGGTAGCCAAGTGGTTCAAGCGTTGGCTCGTCACGCCGAAGACCCGGGTTCGATTCCCCACATGGGCACAATATGTTAAGCCCATTTCTGGTGTTCCCCGCCGTGATATTGCTGGAATATTGCTAAAAGCGGCGTAAAACTAAACTCAGTCAGTCAGTCAGTCTACCGGCACTGAAGGGGTCGTTGTCCACGGTAGCCCAGAGCCACGATGCGGTCCTATACAGTCAAGACTAGGGTACTACAAATATGTACCCCAGGTACGTTTCTTTATACAGATATGTACCCTGGCCATAATGAGAATACAGAAACGTACCCTAGGACGATTCCATTCCCCTTGTGTCGTATTCTTGATCGGAACTGTCATGCTGTTGTATTAGATACATTTGATTGCGTTACGTAAGTAATGAGAGTACACAGTAACGGATATTTTGGATACATTTGAATACCACTCGCAATCAGTTGAACGGGAATAACTACATGCGGTTTCGGTTTTGGATTGCGGGATATGGACTCGTCCGCCTTTTAGGGTACCAGGGTACGTTTCTGTATTTTGACTTTGTTTAGGGTACATATCTGTATACAGAAACGTACCTGTGTACGTATCTGTAGTACCTGTGCTGACAACGACCCCTTCAGCTCTACCAACCACATAGATAACACATGATAATATTGATAGTAATAAGTAACATTTGAATAAACCCATTTAATTGAAAAAGAGACCCCAGTGAGGAACCTGGGGAAATCAAGACTTGCTTCATTTAGTGCTAGGCAGTAGGGAAAATAATGTGGTTCACGGACTGTCAGACAGACTACAGGGCGCAGAACATGAACCAATGGAGGCCCACCGCGGAACAGTTATCCCTCTATAGCGCACCCACTGTCTCGCTGTATCACTGCTTTACTCACGCCCCACTGCTCTGCAGGACACTTCTTTGGAGGGAAACAACCTTTTATGATCCTAATGGTTAGTGTATGCATATAGTATATATATGCATAACTATTTCATGGAATAGAAAACGTTATTGTGAATAGGATTAATTTATGTGCCATAACATTTGAAATATAATGGCTTTTTTTTCTGTTTTTCAGCCAGTCCTGTACACATATTGGAGGAGTAGTTGTGCTTGGAGAGTCAGAATAGGTCAGGCTTAATTAGAAAACGTATTAATAAATTCAATTTCATAGAGTAGATATCCATTGATTTATACATTGCGATATGTGAAGGACTGAACAAAACACTTTTCTACAGAGACAGAGAGAGTGAAATATTGTTTGAGTCAGTGCAGTATCATTATTATAAAACTAATTAGGGCATTGCACAGAGTAAAATCAATATATGGCATCTAGAACACTTTCATATGAAAACATGGTGTGTCATGGTTTGTTCATAATGCTAAATGTTTCCTGAATAGCTGCCTGCTAACTATCCCACTGCATTTATGATTAATTTGTACTGTCTGCCATACTAAGTATTAGAAGTAGCTACACTGACACTGGAGGTTTGTAATCAGATAGATAAGTGACTCACCTCAGACTAGGAACAGCCTTTGTGATTATGAAACTGTAAATGTTAAAACAGCGTATATATGAAAACCATGCATCAGAAAGCCCCGAACTATGGAATATATGCACACTGTTTAAATAAGAATAGCAACAGTTTACAAAGCCACATTCCCCATAAAGTTTGCATCCCATAAATCTCAATGATAAATTTGATCATTCAGTCTCATTCTGTTCCCCTGATTCCCTAAAATAACACAGCAGCACAAAAGCTTTTCAGAATTCTTTCTGCAACAGCAGAACAAAAACTTCTATAACATATTCCTAGGTTATGAAATGTGATTTGAAATTAAGTTACTGAAAAAAGTACATAAATCATATTTAATTGTACACCATTGTTCGATGTTAAATGTTAATCCATAGTACCAAATACAATTTAAATTGTTTCCTACTTAAAAAACGGTATCCTTATGTTAACCCCGATCCTGTGCTAAAAAACCAGGGCTTCCAGCTACATTTATGTGGAGGATGTTAGCCATAGTGTAGGTTGATTCAATTAATTTTTCTCCAATTTTGATCAAATCCAGTTCACTAAATGTGAAATTTTTCATGCTTTCAGCTTTGGCCTTGAAAGGCATTGACTATGAGAGTAATATTGTGCATCTGGTCAAGGATGGAGGCCAACAGGTGGGATTTTTGTGATGACTTCTTATTGTCAGATACTGGTTTACACCCTTATTGTTTCCAGGTCAGAATAAACCAAGGCCCGAGACAAAGTGATCGTAGTATGTCGTCAGTCAGTATCTATTATGATTTCTTCGATTGCTTTGTTGAATGTGGCCAGATCAGAATAGGTCACGACAACCCAATGCTTGTAATTAAGTCGACATATTTTGTAAATGATGGTAGCTGCCATATCTGTTTATTCCAGCTTTGCACTAAACTGTGAACTGTACTTACACTTTTACAATTTTCAGTCTAGAACAGTGCCTTTGATAGTGTATCATAACAGGAATAACCTTTACCTTGACTGCCTTCATATTTCAGCATACAGAGGGTTACAAGAAGTTGAATCCTATGGAACAGCTCCCCTGTCTACTTATTGACGGACAAACTCTCTTCCAGTCAGTGAGTACCATCAGCCTTTCGGCCATTAGTGAAACATTGCTTCTAGACTTCTGATGGTCAGTGAATTACTTAGAAAATAACTAACGAATGACAGGGAATGATAGGCTCAAGAATTACGTAATTAATATAACTTTGGAAACATAATCGGTCATTCCCTGTCACAAGTTTGTTATTGTTTTGTTTTTTAACACATATCAGTTCTTGCTCTAAAAAACGCTAAAATGAAATCAGCATTCTCAATAAGGAATCTCCATATCCCTATGCGTTGATTGGCTGTTATATTTTCTGAAACAGCCACTCAACATTCACCAAAAGGTGTAACCTCCGGAGGGATTACAGGAAAACTACTACCCTGTGTCCTCTTTCCCATATGGGTAATAAACTGTTGTCATCACTGTCAGTCATTACTCTCATGTCTAAACAGAGAGAGCCATGACTTGAACAGTATTATATATGTTTATTCCTTTTCCCTCACATTCTCTTGCACACATTATCATCAAGTGTGTTTGAAATACAAGGACATTTTACATGAATGCTAATTTATGCTACCCACAAATACAATGTAGTTCCTGTTGTAAACAACCTTCATCATAGAACTTTCACAATTTGGATACAGGTATGCAGATATACAGAAAGGCTAGCTGTTCTGTAATTAAATGTAGTTAAACTACAAATGTACATAAAACACTGGTATGTCACTAATAGTGTTCACTTTGAATGTGAATTCATGGACTGGTAGTGTGTGAGTGAGTTTAGTTTACGCCGCTTTTAGCAATATTCCAGCAATATCACGGTGGGGGACACCAGAAATGGGCTTCACACATTGTACCCATGTAGGGAATCGAACCTGGGTCTTCAGTATGACAAGCGGAAAACCTGTCATGCTTGAGATCACAGTTTGATTTCCGATAAGTGAAGCCCAACTTTGTGTCTTCTTCAGTAGCTACTGTACTTTGTTACCTCTCCTATTTCTCATCTGATCAGCTTCTCAATAACATTCTTGGAATAAGTTGTGTTTTGGATGATCTCATAATTCACAGAATCCATGAAATTAACCATTGTGTGTGGAGTACAGTTATGATTATGAATAGTATAGTATATGTGCAGTTTCTAATAATAGTATATGTGCAGTTTCTAATAAAGCCTTAATGACAATTTCAGTTACCTATCATTGAATACCTGAATGAGACCAGACCCGATGTGAAACTGCTACCTGATGACCCTGTCTTGAGACACAAGGTTAGGAAGCTTTGGTGCTTGATTTGACTTCTAAGTATTTGTTGATTGTGAGTACATACTGAGATGAGTGGGTGAGTGAGTGAGTGAGCTAAATTATTTCAGCGTATCATGATTTTGAAAGCAATACAGTAACAAAAACAAACTTAAACGATATGAATATCTGTCACATACTGAGATATCTAATTGCATGTCAAGGCCAGTTAGATAAGGCCATTTAAGGTTTATGATCTAGATTAAGAAATTATTTTACTGTTCACATAAAGACAATGTACTCAAAACTGTCATCACCCCTTTCAGAGGCGTAGCGACCGTTATAGTAAAAAGCCCGGGCTTACACATGATTGTTGCTAAAACGGTTGGGCAAGCACTCAATACTATCTAAATATAAAGCTTTGCAACCTATGGGTCTTACACGAAAAAATTGGCTTGCGTTTGATGTGAAATGCCGATTGTTGTAAGATATTATACAGATGTTTGACTCCTAGGCAAGAGCGCTTGCGGAAATAGTGAATTGTGGGATACAGCCACTGCAGAATCTTGAAGTGCTGCAGGCAATCGGCGATGACAAGAAGATGGAATGGTCAAAAAGGTGGATTGAGAAAGGCTTTGACGGTAAAACCCATTGCTTTGGAGATAGTTTGAGCATTTCCATCAAACATTTGTTGAATGAATGCTAGTCTGTCTCACAGTCCCTGAACCACATTATTTTCCCTACTGCCAAGCCCTCTCTGCAGTGCTAAAGCCCTAAATAAAGCAAGTCTAGATTTCCTCAGGTTCAGGGTCTGTTAACATCTGCATCTGTGGTCTCCCTGGGCCTCCTTTTCAATTTAAATGGGCTTGTTTGTTACTATCAAAATTATATATATTCAGAGACTAAGCATTAGTCTAAATGAATGCATGTGATGGCGGCTTTTGACAGCAGCATGTGATCACTAAAGCGCACAGTTTCAAGTTATCAGGAGTTATCAGGACCTTGTGTAAAACAATTTTTCTTCTTTCCAGTGATGCCTCTGTTTGAATATGAAAAAAAGATAACCCATAATATGAAAAAACAACCCATAAAAGGACATAATTCGACATCTTTAAACAGAATATAGGTATTTAGATGGTTAGTGAAATGTATTGTGAGCTAGCTGTGTCCAAATGTTTACTTGCTCTTATGAGTACATGTACATCAGTACAGTGAGTACCTGTCACGCAGGACCTCATAAGTGCCTGATTATGTCTTTGTTCATTGTAGATAAGGAACTGTATAAGAACAGATGGGCTCTTAAATTTCTCTTGTTATTTCTGGAGTTATGCCCCTTTATTCTCTATGCAGTAAAAATGTCATCCTTTTCATGAATCCAAGAGTTCAGAGTTATTCATTATAATATAGTAAGACCATCCAGGGGTGGAAATAACTTTAAAATTGCTAGTGTACTCCGGTACAGTGGCACATGTAAAATCACTTGCCCTGATAATTTTTCCACTATACTGGCCGATTTTCTTGATTTTTTAAATAAACAACATAATAAACATTGGAAAGTCAACTGGACACCGGTACAGTGTGATATACAAATTTGCTTGCCCCGACAGAAAAAAACACTGAACTGGGGCGTCGGGCAATGGGTTATTTCCACCTCTGCCATCAAGTAGAAGTTAAAACATGCTATCAAATTGTTTCAGCTTTCGAGCAGGTTGTCACGGAAACAGCAGGAAAGTACAGTGTGGGGGACCAGGTCACTCTACCTGACCTGTGTTTGGTACCACAGGTGTATAACGCTAACAGGTGGGTAACGAGAGGGTGAGGGTGGGAGTGACACTGACTGACCTGTGTCTTTTCCGTGGATCATTAAGAGGTGTGTAGGTGTGTGTAGAATGAGTTGGGGATTGAGTTTGACCTGTGTATCGTTCCAAAGGGGAACAATACCTGCATATGGGTTACCTCTTTGAGAGGCATTTCAGAAGTTGTATTGGTGAAGGAAAACCAAGTTTTATGGATAGTCAACTTCTTTATTGCAATGAGTGCGACATTTCGGTTGTAAGTACTAACACCATTATCAAGCAAGTGATGATAACGGTGTTAGTATCTAAACCAAAACGTTGCACTCGTTGACTATCCATAGAACTTGGTTTTCCTGCATATGGGTTGCTAGGTGATGGGACAAGGGGGGACTCTACCTGAACTGTGTCTCATCCCTCAGGTGTACTTTGCTAACAGGTGTGTAACTTGATGATGGAAGGGTTGACTCTTCACCACTGTATGTTCAAGGAGGGGAGCAGGTGATACACTTGTTCAAGGCTGTGCAGTTGGTAACAAATCCATGTCAACTTCAGCTGATGATGGGTTTAAATGATTATTATCATTTGCTTCTCTGGTCTTGTAATTATCCCCAAAGTTCAGTGTTCTTCTACTGATGTCACTTGGGACTTGCTTATGCTCTCATATAACTTAAACGGTTCAGTGTTAAACCTAAATTTTATGGTATTCTACCTTCTGGTGTTGGCGATCTATAGCCTGTTTTTATATTGTATTGTCCAAATAGTGCTATCAGTTTTAACTCTCCACACTAGTTTTAGTTGTAATTGTGATATTCTAGTTGTTTTACTGTCCTTCGTCGACAGGTTTTTATAATGTACATATATTCCATTTCAATGTTAAATGTTCTTATTTCACTTTTTATTGTATAAATTGTTTTTGTCACAATATGGCTGCGATATTGCCGATGTGACGTTAAATATTAACTCACTCACTCACTCACTAAACATTGTTGTAATATTGCTTAAAGCGGTGTAATAATTTGCTAACTTGACAGATGTTAAAAAGATGGGTAGCTTAATGAATGGGGCACCATGATAATCAGTTAGTTTCAAGGTTAGGTCAGAGAAGGGCCCAGCTTTACACTCCCCCCAATGTTACAGGTTCAAGGCTGATATGAGTCGTTATCCAACCATCTCAAGGATTCATGCAGAACTGATGCAGCTGCCTGCCTTCAAGGTTGCTGATGCTCACAACCAGCCTGACACACCGGAGGCAGAGAGGAAACAATGAGGTCGATCTGACATTGTACTATATAGCAGCCTGTGAACAGCATCATGGAGTCAAATCTCTGAAAGCCTTTTGACCTTTTTAGATATAAGAAAGTGTGTCTAAATACTCTTCCTTGTTTTTCAGTTGCAAAATTTCGGAAAATGGTGTTCATTATGGTATAATGAATATCATATTCATTACATATTCCCTTGTTCTCATATTCAACAGAAAAGTGCTTCAGTGCCTGGTGCTCATGTGGCTGGTTTTCATACAGACCTGTAAAGGATTGGGAATTTCAGATCTTTTCACAGTGATGTAATGTTTTGCCTTTTTGAGTACACATTGCAAAATAGTGCTTGGGTAGTAACTAGTGTTGGGAATTGGATAAAATCTCATAATAGATGATTGGTTCATTACAACCGATCAATCATCGAAAATAATTGGTCAGCATCATTTATCAAATTTTTCTGGTTATGTTTGTTACGGCACAAAAAACAAAGAATAAACATGTAGTTCTTATGAGTCTTTTTGCAAATTCTGCAAAATGCATGTGCAAATGTAACACCTTTAAAGGATGACTAGTATGTTAGGAACATAAATTTCCTGGAGTCTTTAAGATAAATTCAATCCTGACTTGGAACGAGCTTGTAATGTTTATGAAATGTAACAGACAAAACCAACCTTGTGAAAAATATTGTTAATGCAAACAAGTGTTCCAGAATTGTTTGTGTTCGATTATGAGAAAACATGATCGATTGCTTGGTCGTTTAGTCATTGGGACCAATCTTTGATTATTTCAATTAATCGGACCACCACTAGTAGGAACTAATAACGGTTTTAGTTATCAAATAATGACATAAGGCTGTGGTAGAGTTTTGAAAACTTCAGCTTAAGTCTGTAATGATTCTAAATGATTTTGTTTATTGTGTGATGTCTACAAATGTGAATATCTGTCCTAACATATATTGGTGGAGGTACAAGGTTGTTGGCTATATTTTGGGCTTTACTCCTGCGTCAAACTGACATTATGCTGATATTATTGGAAATACTTGCACATGTTTTGCCTTACAAGATCTGTTAAGTTTATGAACTTGTCTTCACAAAGTATTAAGGTTTTAGTGTATGTAATTATTAGTTGACATCTTGATGATATTGAATACTATTGACAATCATGGAAGGTTGAAGACAGTGGTTCTTGCAGTATTACAAGGGTTATATATGATGGCAGCTATGTTCCTACGCACAATGAAATAAAATATATCTTTTCATCTTTATTGTTTTACTTAAGTTGATTCTCCATCATGCCAAAGTGTGGAATTCTTGAGTGGAGTGGATCATTGCAAGATAAATAGGTAGATTTAGCATCCTGTAAGTAATGAAGTCCAGACAATCCACTGATTAATATTACGAGCATAGATTTGTAGTGTTTGGTATTGTATAATGACCTGCATTCTACCAAGTCACAGACCGGACAGAGTACTCTCTTACACTTTCATTTTGACGTCTTACACTTTCATCACTCATTTGAAGTTGGGACCTGTGAAGATGCGGGTTAGAATTGATCTCCAGCAACTCATGCTTGTCGGTGACTAACGGGATTGGGTGGTTAGGCTCGCTGACTTGGTTCCCAGGTCACCGTATCCCAATTGCGTAGATCGATGCTCATGATGTTGATCACTGGATTATGTAGTCCAGACTCGATTATTTACGATAATTTTTATATTATTATATAGCTGGGATGTTGCGGTGTTATACAACAAACAAACCACATGAAGTTGGAGTCCTGAAACACCTTTGCAGATATATTACTCAAGATAGGTACAGGAATACATTTCCCATGTGAAAGTCACTGGATGTACCACAATCGTACTAGCCAAGCCCAACCCCGGTTGTGTTCGTTGGCCTGACATGATTTTACAGCTGTACATTAGTGCAACATTTTGTCCATTCACTCAAGGCATAATGCTAGCTGGACTGGTGTACAACAGTAACAGCTGGGTAGCTGGATGATGGAGGGGCTGACTCTTCATGACCTTATTGTACAGTGCGCCAATTGCTTGATGGCATTCTAGAAGTTGGTTAGTCAATAATAAAGCGACCGGTGAGGGGTTAGAACTGATCTTCAGTAACCCGTGCTTGTCATGGGATTGGGTGGTGAGCCTTGCTGACTTGTTTGACACTTGTCATCGGTTCCCATTTGGGCAGATCGATGCTCATGCTGTTGATCACTGGACTGTCTGGTCCAGACTCTATTATTTACAGACCGCCGCTATGTAGCTGGAATGTTGCTGAGGGCAGCGTAAAACTAAACTCACTCACGCACTCAATAATAAAGCATATGACTTTACGGATAACGACTTTAAGCAACATTCAAGCAATATCACGGTGGGGGGACACCAGAAATGGGAATCACACATTGTACCCAATGTGGGGAATCGAACCCGAGTTTTCATTGTGACAACGAATGTTTTAACCACTAGGCTACATCGCCACCCTTATTTTTGGTCTGGGGTTTCAGTATAATAGTGAGCAATGTATAACCATACTTACAGATACTGTTCACACCCACCACAAAAATATGTTTCACAGTATATAGTGTGACTATAATTAAGCGCATGCCTATATACTGTTCGACATTATATTGGTGAGGGTATACTAGTCTCAGCCCGGGTCCCTTTTGCTACGTGCATGATCTCGTAAGAGGCGACTAACGGGATCGGGTGCTCAGGCTCGCTGACTTGGTTGACACATGTCATCGGTTCCCGATTACGCAGATCGATGCTCATGCTGTTGATCACTGGGTTGTCTGATCCAGACTCGATTATTTTCAGACCGCCGCCATATAGCTGGAATATTGCTGAGTGCGGCGTAAAGCTAAACTCACTCACATGCATGATCTAATAAAGCGATTTCGGCAGATAGATACAAGGATATGTATACATAATGCTAGTTTACCATGTATATTATTTATAGATGATACTTTCGGTTACAGCCCTTAAACACGTTTAAATACTCGGCCATCAAATACATGTGTTTAATAAATACAAGCAGTTATTGTGTACCCATGCTTATAACTTTCAAGACTGTGTGATGATGTAAAATAATCTGGTTTTGTTCTACAAAGTAACCTTTCTCCCCAAATATATCCACCTGGAACTTAATTAAGCACCCCCTGATATATTTCATGATAGTAGAGCAACTGTTAACCATCGTTAAACATGAATGATATCTCTGTATTACAACACATCTCTAGTAGTCTAAAAAGGTGTTTCAGTTCCTTTGCACTCGTCACAACGCATCCCTTGTGCACGTGAAGCATACAACCCACACTTTTCCCAAAATTCAGTTTCTCTGATATGCAATTTATGGGTATAAAAGCAGACAAATTTGTAACTGTCGCCATTAATGAATACTGAAATGGCGAGGAGATGACTTTCTGAAGCACTAAGGTGGCAAATTGTAGGCATACATGCAACAGGCATGTCCTTCAAAGCTATTGGACGACAACTGGGCTACAGTCACTCGGTCATCAGCCGACTTGTCCGAAACATCAGATGACAGGAGATGTGAGAGATCGTTCAAGGCCTGGACAACCCAGGAAGACAGAGCCCATGATGATCGCAGCCTGGCACGTCTGGTAAGGCGAGAACCCTTTGCCACAAGTTCGGGTTTGAAGCGCCTGTGGTTAGACAGACAATTATCCACCGGAACCTTCAGAAATCGCCTTAGGGCACTTGTTATGAGGTTCAGAAGAGTCATCAAACGTCCTGCTCTGTCTGATCTCCTTAAGAGACGACGTCTGGAGTGGTGTATGGCCCGTCGGCAGTGGAACCTGAAGACATGGAGGAGGGTCCACTGGTCAGATGAGAGCAGGTTCCTCCTCCACGTTACAGATGGTCGAATGAGAGTGTGGGGGCATAAAAACACTGCTTACGTGCCCAGGAATATCCACCCTACTGTTCCTTATGGTGGAGGATCGGTTATGATCTGGGTTTGTCTTTCACACGACTGTAAACTTCAAATGTTGACTGTCCGAGGACATCTTTATGGTCAGCAGTACATCCGGGATATTCTTCATCCAGTTGTCGTGCCTCACTTTGACAACCATCCGTTGGCTACTCACCCGATATTCATGGACGACAACGCCAGGCCGCATCGTTCACAGAATCTTGCACAGCTGGAAGCTGCTTTGCATGAAGAATGGCGGCAATTGCCACTTGATCGTATCAGAAGGTTTACCAGTAGCATGAGGAGAGGATTCAAGCTGTCATTCAAGCACGTGGGGGATACACCCGATACTGATGCCAGACCCATCAGATGTTAGCATGTGACATTCCTTGTGCATCATTTCTTGTAATAGTCAGCCATTGACAATGCTACGACCATACTTGTTCAGTGACTATTTTCATCAAAAATCAATAGTGACCAAATCACATTGGTTACGCTATTAAAACAACACGAATTGGAATCATTATCTTGTTTTTCATTTGCCAATAGATCGTATGTTTCACAATAGCTAAGGTTCCACTATCTTTGGAATAGTGAGAAAGTTACAGCAAGTTTTGTTTCTCATCATCCAGAAAATAGGGGGGGTGCTTAATTAGGTTCCAGGTGTATACATTAAAGTGAGCTACACAACAGCAAGGCGCCTGGTTAAACGTAGTTCTTGTACGGGTCTTTACCATGTTCATACCATTGTGTGTGTGTGTGTGTGGTGGGTTTTTTGCTTCGACCACACCCCCGTTGTGTGCGGACACATCGTCATCCATTTGTGTTAAGATCGTTTAGTTAAGAATCAAAATCGGGCTTCAATCGACTTGCAGAAATAATAATAAAGAATTGGTAGGTGTCATGAGTGGTGCTCGATAGGCCAATCATCCATGATTATGTTAACATTTAGTTTTAAACGATTGCATGCGATGGTAGCGTAGCGATCGGCAAAGCAGGCGGGTGTGGTGCACCGAAGTGTCCGTCTTTGTCATGATGTATTGTACTGTGAAGCATTTCGAGTCGGGGGTCATCTCAAATTTTCATAAATTTCTATAAACAAATTTAATCCTCGCGAAGACACCAGGGCCTGTGGGGGAAAACACTGTGTCCAGAAGATGTCAGACAGGCTATCTGTAACTTTGCATCTCCATTTCAGCACATCTCAGAGGAATGACTAATTAATTACGCCGCTCTTCAGTACCATCTTTCAGACCGCTCATTATATTAAACCATATCTCGAACAATCCATAAGTAACAATATGGTAAAGGCCTGACGAGGAACACCACAATTGCATGTATTGAGAATGAGTTTTAATTGTGTTTAATTGATAGATACATGTACAAATGAAATGAGACTTTCATTTACATCTTCAGCAGTTACTGTAATAACATAATTTGTAAGTTTGCTTTCTAATTGATAACAATATATTTTAACGAATTTT